GCGAAAAGAGCGCGTACATGTCATACACGGCGTCTACATCTCCTGCAAAGTCTTTACTTCCTAATCCACTCACTGTGATGGATTGGCGAAGGTGTTGCATCCTCTTCTTCGTGCTGCCCAATTCATGGTGAGTGACTTGTCCTTCCACTTGACTAGCACTCACAGTTCACCGCGAATAGGTGGAAGCTTCTTGTCCTCAATTACTCCTTGCATGTGCAATATCACTTCGAAAATCCCGTTCGCGTCGCTCTGGGTCATCCGCCAGCAACTTGGCTCCTCGAACTTGCGAATCTCTACGCCGTCTTCCCATCCTTTCATCTTAAGAGTGTCAACCAAGTTCACCATGTATACCAGGTAAGACTTCATTCTACTTACCTCGACGAAGTTACTAATATGCGGCCGAATCTCGTTGCCTAGACATATTGTCCTCACCTCAATCAACGCTTCAGCTTATTATCAAAGTAAGTTGTCTTCGTGCAAGTCTTGTTGAGTGCTTTTGCTTACCTGCTTTTTTGCTGTCGTAGCTGTTGTCCATTTTCTTTCGGTTTGTACTTCGTTTGAAAGCGAGCGAGGGAATATTCTATTGCTCCTTGTCTTCTATATTTCTGCCTCTGTTGCTTCCGCCTTTCACCCGTTTTTCGCTTCACAATTTGACGTTGTCTCAATTTGGCAGTCCCTTTACTTTTCAAATATTTATCTTGCTGTATGGTCCATGGCCGGCGTTAATATTTTCCGTGCTTCCTATATTGCTCCCCACCTCAGAACTTCTTTTCCTTGCGCTGGACTTTCACTTCCTGCATGGTTCGTTTTACGCATCCTAGCGCTGATCCCTTAGTAATCATTTGTACCTTTCCTTTATCTGCAATCATACTTTCGTAGCTGTCTTTCTTTGCCTCCTCTTTGCTCATTTGAAGTTCACGCTCAGCTTTTGTATCTGTGTCGAGATCTCTACTCTGCTCTATAAAAAATGTATGATGTTCTCATTCTCTTTTGATTTGCCTAAGCTGTAGTTCTGTTGCAGGTCTCGCAAATCGAACCGCACCCGCAAACCCACGAATCGTCTGCTAGGCTCTGAAATGCTGTAAGTATTCTTATTACCTCAATATGCACATTCCTCACTGTCCCTAGTCCATCCCTACCTCGTACTGCGAGATCATCTTTGGGGGTTATTGGTTCTCCTGACGCTTCCCAATCTGCTGGCCACTTCGCAGAGGTTGAGGCCGCTGCTTCTGATGCTGACTGCAGTGATGGGGTATATGACACTAATGCCAATGATTGCGAGATGAATTTGGTCATCGTTGGCAAACAAGTTCGCGACCAGTCTCCCATTGAATGGTCTCCATCTCCTCCTCGGGGCCAGGCTCTGTATGTGTTGCTGCAGTTCTTAAATTCAGTCGGTCCTTACATTATTTTTCGAAGTGATTTTCAAGGTGAATCTGCCGATGAAATGGATGTAGAACCATCTCCAAAGTCTGTCTTTCTTGCCCTTCTCATTCTCAATTCCTTATCCTTCCGTCGACCGTTTTCTTCAGAAATTTGGCCACTGTTATACCTCACGAGCTGTATTCCAATCGCGTTCGTCAGGGAACTCCAGAGCAAAGTCACCCATCCTCGCCAAAAGTGTATAGGTCTGACTCTGTCTCTCATTCTCTTCTTCGGTCTCACGGAATGATTATCTTAGTCCAATCGAGTTGAGCGACGACGATTTTCCAGTCCTTCCTCCTTCTCCAAAAAAGTCTAAGGAATTGCTCAAGCCTTTCTTGTTGCATAGCCATGTTTCTGTAACTCACTCAGAACGGTTGCGGTGGGTTCGATTTAGATTCTTTTCAGCATGGTTAACTCAGTCTTTCTGTAGTCCTACTATTCCTGAATCCAACAGCACATCCCCAACTTATCCTCCCCCTCCCCGAAATCTTACATCAATTGTTGTTAATGGCCGAACGTATTACGCATCAGACGATCCCAAATTCACCAATTTGGTTTCGTCTCCTTCGTCTTCCCAACACCCGTCCTCTCCCATACGCCCTCATCCATTCCCGACTTCATCTGCCAGTGCTGATGTTGGCACTGGTCTTCAGATGGATGATGATTCTTTCGACTTGTGTTATCCACCAGAAGACCCTGAAGTTTCTACACCAGTTGAAACATCCTCCCGTGGGCTTTCAGTCGATGAGTATGATGATCTGGACATTGATTTACCTGCTGATTTTCGGTCCATCCGTGCTTTGCGGACTCCTTCGCCTGACTTACCCTCCAATCCATTGGATGGCTGGTCACCCACTCCTCGTGCTCAATCCACTTTGGGGTCCCTCGCACGTCGTGGCTTATTTCCTAATTCATCTACCAATCCGCTTATCTCTCCTTCAAAATTAAGACGTGACACGTCTCCCTTGAAGGTGTTGTCTGGTTCTTCACCTTCACCTCCTCGCTCCCTATTGTCATCACCATCCCATTCGTTTTCTGGCACGTCTACTGCGAATACGTCTCCGTCAAAAGCTTCTGCCCAGGGTTCTCCAAAATCTAGGGGGAAAGATCGTGTTCGGTTCCACCCCTTCAAACAATCGACACATAATCCTCACGTCCCTTCCTCTCTCATTGTGGGGACTTCACCTGTAAAGTCACCTTCTAAGTCTTCTGCTGCAGGGAAGAGGCTTCGCGACGATCTCATCCATCATGCGCTCTGCGATGGTCAACCTTCTCCTTCAACTACATCTACTGTAGCCAACAACAGAGGAGTTTCATCTCCCCGTCGTGAGTTTCGCAATGCACTCATTCGAGAGGCGCTTGGTGAGAGTGATCTCACAAACGACGTGAGCTCAAGTGGTACCGCAGTAGTGCAAGAACATGACCCTCAGGAAGTGCCTCCCTTTGTTGACAATAACCTCGGTGATACTGGGGTCCTGAATTCTGCTTGGATTGACCGTCGTTTTGCTGTGTCCTTTAGATCTGTTACCAATCTCCCGTTAGTTTCAGTCAACCTTTATGTTATCTTTGGCTGATCTACTGTGCCTGGTCATAGCGCTGTAATTATTAGGCCCATTGCTGATGAAAGCATTACCGAAGATGACGACTATCTCCTCTACCGCGATATGGTCTCTGGATTGATTCCTACTCAGGAGAAGTAAGTAGTTTGTATATTCGTCATTACTCGGGTTTTGACATTTCATTCATTTAGATGTATCCGTCAGGTCGTTAATTTCATCCGTTGTGCAAACGTTTTCAATGGTGCACGTTTTGACCCTACCTCTCCGTCTGCGATTGCATGCCCAACGATCAACAACAAAATTCATCTCGTCCTTGCTGAAGATCATTTTTTCAATGCCATCTTCCTCACTGTCGGCCGTGTTAACGAATCCTATATTTTCAATCCAAAATCCTTCCTTGCTAAAGATAAAGCTGTTCGCTATATTTGGGGCTTACGCGTCCATGGTCTTATGCAGGAGTCGCAGCGACTATTCGCGTGTTTTGGGAGCTTAATTGGTGCTACTAAATTTGGGTGCCCTGTGTCCGAAGGCATTATAGACTTCCGATCTAACCAGCGTTTTGACTCTGATATATGGAAGGATGATCCCGACAATCTCAGCCCTCTCGAACCTGGTCTGTCTTCTCCCTTCCTCTTCGATTTGTCTTCTCAAGTCGTTTTTCTTCATTTAGTGACTCCCGGGAAAAAACGCAAGGTCTCAAATGTACCGAAGAATATCCACTGTAAAGATCCATTGCCCTTTTGCCGTGCAGGTGAGCTTCACATGTGATACCTTCATTTCCCCATACTGATCCCTGCGACAGTTCCCATCTTTGACGGCAGGGGTTCTTTCGTTGCTTCTGCTGCTCAGCTGAATCAAATTGCTTCCCGTGCTTATCCCCTTTACTTGGACTCCCAAGAAGAGGTCCCTCCCGATTCGATTGTTTGTGTTGGGTACACTGCTCATACATGGCAGTCATCTGGGTCATCCAAGGCTCCTCCTCTTTGTCTTTCTCCTGGCCTCCAGTTTGTTGTGGTCCTTGCTCTTCCACCTGGTTACGACGGCCCTCCTCCTCCTAGTAGCGGCTCATCCCGTCCCTTCCCAAAACCCCTATACAATACTCCAACCCGCACCAAAGACTTTCCCGGCCCACCTCGTCGCACCCATTCGCGTCTGCAGGCGTCTTCTTCCCGTGTCAGTCCTGATGCTGCCAGGCCTTCGCGTGTTACTCACCGCAGCCAGGCTGACTCTGACGACGACAGTCCTTATCTATATTCTGGTGGTCTCAAGGATGGGTACGAATATCATGAAGATCTTATTGACACGGAGTTCCTCAGCAAAGGAAAATAGTACTACCCGATTTAGTTGTGTCGTTAGTTAGTATACTGTACTAGAATATTTGCATCTGAGAATTTGAAGTGCATTCATTCGGTAGTAGTACATTCTTAATCTGTCTATTCTAATCTCGCCAGCCCGAAAAATCGTAATTGTTCTATCAATAACATAAGCTATTCGTTCTTCTTCTTTCTTCTGTACGCATGCAAGCCAAGCCCCTCCACAGGCCAGGCGCGTCCGTTGCAGTTCCCAGCTTATTCAGACTAGCGTTGTTCGGCAAGGTGCACTGTTGTTCTTCTTCTTTGCACCTCTTCGACCTGCCAAGTTGTGGATCCCCAAAAGACCCTTCTGGAACTTCTATTCGTTTCCCTCGCCTGGTTCCTCAGTAATATTGCGACCGAGCACCGACGATTCTCCTCATATAATTGCAGTTTCTCGTTGTCATTTTGCTGTCGACTTCCTCCTTCATTTATGGCTGCTTTTCCGTCCCTCGACACATTGTCCACTCTGCGAAATGTTCCGTCCCTTCCTGACACAGTACGTGCATTTCTTTGGTTCCTTTCTTTAGCTAACATGGTCTAGGATAACCGGAGGACCATCCACTTTTTCTACGTGCATCCTGACTCTCCCTTTCCACTCCGCCAACCTCTGTCTTTCGCAATCTCGCCACAAGTTGCACATCATCCTCGTCCATGGATTTCTTCATTCCTAATCGCCATTCAGCAAAGCGCCTATCAACCCGCAGGTGTCATTGCACCTACACTTGCCTGCCTTACCGTTGATGAGGTTGGTCGTCAGCCCGAGGTCATTATGCTTTCCATGCACCAAGGCCCGCCGTATACCATACGTCAATGCGGTGACTCTTCCACCTGTACTCGATCTACAGCTACCTGCTATTCGACTACGCATGCTTTTGGGATTGCAGTCAATTCAGAAGGCCACCTCCGTGACGTTAACGAGCTTGCCTCGTTTTTGTGTGAAAGAGAAAGGAAGGAATCTAATGGGCACTCCAACCAACCAATCTAATACACAATATGCGAGTTCACTGCTATCAATTTTATTTAATAGCAAGGGGTAGCGTTGGCAAAGGTTCCGCAAAGCTTTGAGAGCTAAGTACGAAGCTTTGATCAATCAATTTGAATCGTTCTAAGGATTCGATATATTCCTTTGATCAAGGTAGATTCAGCACGATTTGTGCTTTGGTTTGTATTGATTTGGGTATATCAAGAATTGGGGGTTTGAATCAAAGTAAATTAAAACCGAAACACACAGACCCCTACGGAGGGCTAGAACTATGTGCTGGCACAACCACACAGCGTGATTTGCCCTTAAGACCAACGACTGATCCTAAGTTCGAAGAATACCCAACAACTGGATAGACTTCTCGCAGTCACAAGGAGCAGAACATGACGTTCCTATACTCACAAGTGCCGGGCCCGAATGGCTGCTAGCGAAGAGGTTTCAGTCTGGCGGGAGTGTGTCTTTCCTTTTTACGGATTAGCACTGCATACGTCGTCCCAAAATCACTTGTATTCCAGATACATCGGATCGCTATTTATACATACAGAATATAGAGTCGCATAGTACAATTAATTTAATACAATAAACGTTCGGAACCGCAAGGAAACTTCTACACTCAGTCAGATACCATTTAATTTGAATCTACATGTCCTTATTTGGTCCATATTGGTTCCAAGATTCTAGTATACCTCCAAACATAGGTAGGTACTTCAATATTCATTTAATTTAATTGCTTTTAGAGAATGACTCGAATGGTGTTCAACTGTCATTGCGGTTCAACACTTACTTCGATCGTTTGTCATCTCGTCCGGAGGCAAATCAGCTCTCCTCGATTCTAATTCTATCAATCTGATTCATCTGGATTAAACTAATTGCTTCTCTCTTTCAACAGACACCCATTGTGCCTATACTCTATCAAGGGAGTTACGCATTGTATTCATTTAATTGCATTCTTCAATGTTTTCTACGTCAGGACTCTTTGACATTCATTTGATATGTCTTCGGAGCCTCGCAGTACTTCGATCGTTCTTCTAGTCATTTTCCTCAACCATGCAACTTGATTGGTCTATTAGACTAAATCGCAGTCTTTTTAGATTAATGCATGATCTCGTTCTAGAAGGAGTATTTGATAATTCCTGAGTTCTAGAAAGTCATTTCGAGTCAATCCTCGGTTCATGGTCACTTGAGTAAGTTCTTCCAAACTCCTGCCAGTGTAAGGTCCAATAAGAATACCCTTGGTATGTCATACGTGAATGGTCATCCTTCGGATGTAGTCCGAGTCTGGTATAATCCTGCTTGACAAACAGGTAGACTGCTATCCGTAGGTAGAATCGGGGATGGGTAAACTAACCAACTTGTGGTAGTATGGGTATATGGTCCCTTCAACTTATTAGACTGATTCAGTATCGACTTTGACTGTCAATCTGGGTCTCAATTACAGTCCTCTTGATACAAATCTATACGTGAAAATGTCACAATTCACAGCATAGACGTCTAGCCAAAATTTAGGCGTGTCAACGTTGAAGTGGGTGACCAGTGGGTCATATGGAATTGGTTTCGGAGGTCAGTTTTTTCACAACACATAACACATTTTTTAATTTTCGTTTGTCCCTTCCAGCAAAGCATGTACTCATCCTATAACCTCGCTTCAACAATACGATCCTCGCGCCTAGCTATATCATTTGTTTTATTTTTGTGTACTCCTGCATTACACTTTCCGTTGCTTGTCATAAAACTGCTTATAATTTGTGCTGTCCATTGTCCTCAAATGATATTATTGTGTCTCATTGTCTTGACGTGTTCGTGATATGGTCTCTATAGTCTGACTGGTTGACTGCTTATGTTGAAAAAGAATATATTGCATCGCTGTATATGTACACTTTCCAGACTTGTACCCTTACCGGCCCTTAATCTATCATGTGATATTATTACAAATCAAAATCTCTTGAAATTTTCACTCGCACTCTTTCTCGTTGTCTTCCACCTGCGCGTAATTGCTTATATAGTGAGCAGTCCACTCTCTTCATTGAGCTGTTCTTCAAATGGTTCTAACTTTACAGCAGTGAAATATATCTACATAAAGCTCTTGCCCTTCATCTATTGCAATATGATTATCATTATTGCCAAAATTTCTGTATCATGCTCGAGCTTGTGGGCTAAATTTTCAGTATGTTCTTATCTACTTCTCTTTCAATGTCTAATCAATCTCCTTCACTATGTTAGGTTATTATATTGATTACTCAGTCACTTCTCCTGGTAAGTTTTGACATCTATGTTTTCCAATGTTCCTGTCTAACTTCTATATGTTGTAGCTTAATCATTACATTGATACCCTTCTCAAGATGAGTGTTTTTGTTATTGTCCTCATTGTGGCAATTATCTCTCAGTGTTTCTTTACTGTTACCTTTATGGTTCAGTTCCTCTTGACTGTGACCTTTGTGGTCCAATGTTTCTTGACTGTGACCTTTATGGTCCAGTGTCCCTTGACTGTGACCTTCATGGTCCAGTGTCCCTTGACTGTGACCTTCATGGTCCAGTGTCTCTTGACTGTGACCTTCATAGTCCAGTGTCCCTTGACTGTAGTCTTTATGGTCCATTGTCTTTTTTCTGTGAAACTAATAATTCTTTATTTCTTTGTAACTTTCAAAGTTGAGTATTGTATTCTTAAAATTGTGTATCTGAGGCCCCTGTCCAAGCAAAGACATTTCGGTGGAGGCAGACCTCCTCACAACAAGTCTGAAAGTGGTATAGTATCTACTTTGATTACTGAGGCCTTTACCTTTAAATGTCCTATCCCAAAGACAAGTACTGTACCTCCCAATACTGTTGATAATATTACTTTCAATTTTCCACCTCCTCCAATTACTCGATCCCATATGGCTCTAGTAATTGATAAATGGTGTAAATCTAGCTCACCTGTGAATATTGAAGAAGCTGGGTGTGCAGTATGTGGTCAACTTACCTTATGTACAGACCTTTCTGCTCTCAAGAATATGAAAAATTATCTGCATGTACTAGAAGCTCAATCTGTTACCCGGGCATTTAGGTCATCTCCTGATGAATTAATTTCTGAAATTGAAGGTCCAGTTTTAGATAAGTCAGCTGGTGATAATATTTGCAATAATTGTCGTTCTTCTCTGAGAGCTGGAAATGTGCCCAAATTGGCTTTGTGCAGAGGACTTTGGTTGGGTGTTATACCAGATGAGCTGAAAGGCTTGACATTTTATGAGAAGATGTTAATTGCAAGAGTCAGACATACTAAATGCTTTGTTCGAGTACAGAAAGGCTCAACTAATTATTCTAAATTAGTTTCCAATGTCATTGCTTTTGAAAATCCGATTCCCAAAATATATGACACTTTGCCTCCTCCTAAAGAAGATATTGAGGAAGTACTAGCTGTCATGTTTTCAGGTTCCACAAAGCCTACTCAAGATGATTATGCCCGTGCTCTGCTACTTGTCCGGAGAAATGTTGTTGCCAAAGCACTTCAGATCTTGATTCTCAATCATTTTGACTACAATGATGTTGTGTTTTCATCTGCTAATCTGGAAAGCTATGCTGAAGATGCACCAATTGTTTCTGTAGAATATTTCCAAAAAGGCTCTAATAGAAATGCTGAAGGTATCAGTGTACATGATGATTTAAATGATGATGGTACAGAGGAAGGTGATTGTGTCTTCACTGTTCATGAAATAGTTGGTCCATCAATAAAGAATATGACAAGGGATCAAATGATTGGTATTGCTGCAATGCATCTTGACAATGAAGGCAAATTTATGCGGACATCACATGCTGAAAATCCTGAGAGTCTTTGGAATAATCCTCAGTTGTATCCAAAAATGTTCCCTTGGCTTTTCCCTTTTGGTCTTGGAGGTATTGGTACTTCAGATATTAAAGCTTTCTCAGAGTCTTCACATATTAAATTCTTACTTTTATATCATGACAAACACTTTCAACTTGACTCTAATTTTCCATTAATTGCTTTTAGTCACCAGCAAATCAAGGCCAACAGTTCACAATCTTATCTTCTTGCAGAGTCTAAAAAATTCACTGAAATTAGTGACCGGTTTTTGTCAGTAGATAAATCCATTTTGCAAAATATTGCAACCCGTATGGCTAATGGGGAGCATGTAAAGCCTGCCAATGAGTCTGAAATACAATGTTTCTAGTTACTAGGTGATTTAACACATGCTGGAGCTAAAACCCAAGGATCTATTAGTTCCAAAAAAACTATGCAGTCTGAGATTTGGTCTTTGATTAATCATATTGGAGGCCCCAGCTGGTATATAACTGTATCTCCTTGTGATTTCAAGCATCCTATTTGTATCTACTATGCAGACACAAAGGAAAAGTTTGATGTTCCTCTGAGAACTTCATCTGAATGTAGGCTTTTAATTAGCAACAATCCAGTTGCTGGTGCACGATTCTTTCATTTACTTGTCAATCTATTTCTGAAACATGTTGTAGATATTGAAAGTTCTGATGGGGGGCTTTTTGGCCCCACAAGTGGTTACTACTGCACTGTAGAGCAACAAGGCCGCCTTGCTCTTCACCTACATGGCTTAATATTCAATAGAAAGACATTGTCTCCCCAAGAAATACGTGACAAAATTTTGGACCCTGCATCCTCATTTCAATCACAATTGGTATCTTTTCTAGAAAGTGTCAGAATTGGTGAATTCTTAACTGGGTCACATGCTTATGTCAAAGAAACTGTTGCTTCACAGACTAAGTCTAACCCAAATTATGTATCACCTGAAAGGACTTTACCTACTCCTCCACCACCATATTGTGATTGTGGAACATCAGATTGTCATAAATGCTCTACTTTCATTCAATGGTTTGAACAGTTCAAATTAACTGTTGATGACTTACTTCTAAAATCAAATGTTCATGATTGTTTTCGTGGTATCTCTCCAGATGGCTCTGTACTTAACCAGGACAAATTTGAGACTTCATGCCTGAATAATGTACACAAGAAGTGTAAAGCTAGATTTCCAAGGGAGTGTTTTCAACAAACTTTGGTAGATCCTGATAATGGCCATATCAATCTCAAGAAATTAGAAGAATGGCTAAATGATATATCTCCTGGCTTGACATATTTGGTGCGGGGCAATACAGATGTGTCATCTATCTTGTCTGGTACAGCTATCAAGTCTGCTGTAATTTATATTGCTGATTATATTACAAAAACAGGTTTGAAGACACATGTTGTATTTGGCAGCATTAAGACTATTTTTGACAAAAGCACTGAGATTATTGATGGTTCTTTCAGTACAAAGGAAAAATCTAGGCGCCTCATCAGTCGCATAGTAAATTTATTATCAACTAAACTTGAACTTGGGAGTCCAATAATTAGCTTGTATTTGCTGAACAATCCTGACTATTACACCAGCCACCATTTTATTCCTTTTTACTGGAGAACATATGTCTCTACAGCTAGATCAGTCTTTGAGGAGAATGATGCTACTTCTGAACCAAAAGTAATTCTTACAAAACGTTGGGGTAAAATTATAAGCTTATCCTCCTCATTAGACTATACTCACCGTCCAGTACAACATGCCCATTATAATCTCTATAACTGGATTTGCTGTTTCTATAAAACTGCAAAAAACAAAAGTAAAGAAGTCATTGAACATGATCCTGAACTAATATCTTCCAGGTCTTCCAAAAGCAATAAACAACTCCTATTTTTACCTGGTCACCCCTTAGTTGACACTCATGCTATTGCTACTAGACAAGACTCATCTATGACTGTGCCAAACTTTGTGGGCTCTCTTCCTCGCCCTGACAAAGATGATAGAGAATATTATTGCTGTACTATGTTGACATTGTTCAAACCTTGGTGATCAGGTGAAGACTTGAAGAACAAAAATCAATCTTGGCATGAGGCCTTTGAAGCTTATGTTTTTTCTGACCAAAGTTTATTATATATGAAAAATATGAATATCCGATTTGAATGTTTAGATGCTCGTGATGACTTTCGTGCTCAGTTGAAGTCAGGAAAGCTTGATGTTACTAAGCTCCCTTCTTCTATTCCTATCCAATTACATGAAGACTTGGTAAATAAACTTGATGGCTCTCAGTTGGATGTGAACTCATCTGTCATAGAAGACACTGATTACAGTTATGATCAATATACTCAAGAGAAAAAAGGTTCATTTTTCCTCAAAAGAGAATCAGCAATGAAGGCAATGAAAGATATCTTATTCAATAGTGGGTGGGTTACACCATTAACTAGTAATATACAACCAAAGCCCATTCCTACCTGCTCCCCCATTCCATTGCCCAAAGAAAAACCTCAGCATTGGGATCTCATTTTGAAAGGCATGAGAGATCATGTATTGGCTGCTCGTGAAAAAAGTAGAGGCTTACCCCCTGCTGACAATGATACCAACAAAAATAATGAGCCAGGTAAATATAGGCCAAATATTGTAGAAATTTGTGACAAGTATTACTTTGATAAGTTGGGATTAGAATATGGAAGTATCAAGGATCTAACTCTGAATATTGTTAAATGCCATAATCTCAATAATGAGCAGGAGAGAGCTTTCAGAATTATAGCACAGCATTCTGCTTGTTTAGTATCAGAGTCCCTTCAGATGTATATTGGGGGAATGGGTGGGACAGGTAAATCTCAAGTTATCAAAGCCTTGCTACAATTTTTTGCAGAACGGAATAGCTCTTTTGCAATTGTTACCTCTGCTCCCACTGGTAATGCAGCTGCTCTTCTGGGTGGTTCTACCTATCATTTTCTTTTAGGCTTAAATAATAAGGTTGAAGAAGTTGGAAGAGGTACTATGGCTCAGGTTTGTGCAAGATTGGAACATATCCAATATATGATATTAGATGAAGTATCTATGCTTAGTTGTCTAGATCTATATCATATATCAGTGCAATTATGTGAAGCTAAGAATAAACATGATATTGCATTTGGTGGTATGAATATGATTTTTGCAGGTGATTTTGCTCAACTTCCACCTGTAGGTGGTGAATCTGTATCCTTGTATTCTTATAGAAAGCCAACTGATGCAAATAAATACAATGGTCAATGTGCTGCAATGGGAAAATCTCTTTGGCATAATGTAACTCATGTTGTGATTTTACGGACAAATATGAGAAACACTGGATCATCAAAGATGGATATCAGTTTTCGATTGGCTTTAGATAATATGCGGTACAAGTCTTGTACTAAAGAGGATATACTCTTTCTCAATACACTAGTATCCTCTAAATTGCCAGATAGGCCATTTGTAGGTAAAAGCCCTTGGCGTGATGCAGCCATTATTGTAGGTGAGAATAAATATAAGGATGAAATAAACAGGCTAGGATGCTTACGCTTTGCAGCAGATACAAAACAGAAGTTAACTAATTTCTATAGTGATGACCTTGTTTCTGGCAATGCAGATCAAGGTGCTCCTGCTAAATCTAAAAATAAAAAACGGTCTATGTCCTCTATATCCAAAGACCTTCAACAACACCTTTGGGAACTACCAACTTGTGCTCATGAATACCATGCACCACCTGTCCTCTCTTTATGCATAGGGTTGCCCATTATTATTCGCCATAATATTGCAACTGAGCTTTCGATTACAAAGGGTCAGAGAGGTACTGTATATGCATGGCATGAAAGCACTGGGGCTTTTGGTCAATGTACACTAGATGTTTTGTTTGTTCTCTTAGATGACCCTCCAACACCAATTCAAGTCCCAGACTTGCCTCCAAATGTGGTTCCCTTAACTAGGCGTAAAACCAAAGGTATTGTAACATTGAAAAATGATGTCAAGATATCTGTAACTAGATTCCAGGTTGATGTCCTGCCCGGTTTTTCTATGACAGCATATGCTTCTCAAGGACAAGGATTAATTCCCAATGCAACTGATCTAAATACCTTGTCAGATCACCATGCAATGTATACTGCTTTGTCTAGAAGTAGATCTGCTGCTTCAACTGTTATTCTTCAAGGCTTTGACTCAAGGGCAATTACTGGTGGGGCAAGGGGTCCCCTACGTAAAGAATATCGTGAGTTGGAAATTTTGGATGAAATTACCCATCTCAAATATGAGGGTACATTGGACCCCTCAGTTGTAGGGGTTACCAGGAATTTGCTGATTGAAAGTTTTCTGGTTTGGAAAGGCACAAGCTATGTCCCAAGCCAAATTCATTCTGCTGTGAGTTGGTCTGCTAAAGATCCATATATACAACAGTCAGAACAGCCACTATCTTGGTCTAGAGTACAGAAAAAAGCAATGAAAAAACTTATAAAGCAAAATAAGAAGTCTAATACTTCAGAAAATACTACCACATCTCCTGCTCCACTTGTTCCACCTGATATATCAAAATTTGAAGTCAAAAGCAAGAAAAGAAATATATCAGATGTGTATGGCTTCACTGATATTCCACTGCCATCTGCTGTCAGACAACGTACTACAAATCAACATATAGTGTCACTTAGCAATGAATTGCGTCGCTCATCAGCTGCTAGACAAGCTTCACAAAAACGTACCCAAAAAAGTAGAATCACTTCAGGAAATCAAAGACAATTAGCAGTCCTTCCAACAGGTTTAACATGGTCAAATAATAGCTGTGCTTTTGATTCTGTATTGCTTATTCTTTTGTATATCTGGATGGAACTGAACATTACTGGAGATGAATATAGCAATTTACCACAATTGATCAAAGGTTTCTCTGAATATAAACAGGGTAAACATACACTTGAAACTGTACGTGATGATTTGAGGATATCGCTTAATTCAAGAAGACCCAGAGAGTTCAATTTGACTGGCTTTTGCTCCAGCACTGCCATTATTGAGGAAATGTTGAAAATGAAAAGTCCTTTCATGACTACCAAGCTTCAATGTGAACAGGGTCACCTGTCAAGGCGCCGCCCTCATAATGTAAAGGTGAGTTTATTAGAAGAACCTCGTTTGGTCTTGCCATCTTCCACTAATGAATGGATTAGTGTGAATGGCCCTGCTTCATCAAGCATTATGTGTAATGTATGTAATTTACCTTTGAGAAAATTGTTCCATATCAAATGTGCTCCTAATATTCTTGCTTTTGCTTGTGATGGAAGGCCTCAACTTAAAATTGACTACTCTGTTCATTTACAATGTAATAATGAAGATGTTCATTATGTACTCAAGGGTGTCATTTATTACATTCCCATGAGAGAGCATTTTATATCTCGAATTGTTGCTAGTGACAATATGGTTTATGTTTACGATGGGATGTTCAACAATGGTGTACCAATTCTAGAATCTTCTGATTACAGTGTATTAGATTGGGCCCAGTGCCAGTCAGGTTCAGCTTCTGCAGTGATTTATTCCAGGACTAACAATTAGTTATGGCAGACATCAATTATCAAGTAAGTTACCTATTTTTATTCAATACAACAAAAAAACCAGCCGAGTTTTGCCATGCACGATAGTGCAGTGGCCTACAATCGCATGTATGTTATTTTTCTGTCTCAATCTGCCTCTGACTAAATTTACCTCTACAAGCTTAGCTTGTCAACTACATTGTCCTTCGACCTTTGTGTCCAACCTTGACCTCCTTTGACCTCTTGCTTCCATCGGCACTTGCGACGTATCATGTTGTTCCAAGTACCAAGTCAGCTGCTCCGGATATGTCTTCTCTCGTTCGCTGCTTTCTTCATTGCCACCACCGTTGTCGCCAATCCCTTACCTGTACCAATTCATCGGCGAGTAGGGCCTGATTGTAAGCGCACACATTGCTTTTGATCTTGAAGCCTTGATGTTTGACTTGAGAAACAGCGAAACAGAAAGAGACACGTGTACAGCTTTGGTTTGGGCGTGCAAATTCCGAAGGACAGTGGATCGAAGTCAAAAAACCGTATCAGGCCGGCGAGGTCGGAGTTCTCGGCTTTGGAAATTGGTTGGCACTCAGCATGTCGACCGCTGTAGATAAGAAGACGGCGGAGGTAGTTTCGCGCAAAATTATCACCCTCAATCCTCCGAATAGCGATGTTCTGGGAAGAGGGAAGAAATATGCTCAGTACTTGGATGGGAAAGTTGATTTCGCTATTGAGGGTAGTCGAAAAGTGGAAGCCTTCCAAGAAGCTTTGCGGGCCGGGTTGGAAAACATCGCATATATCGAGAACGAGACTAACGACCATCTCGATCGCGACATGACTTACATTTCAGCTGCCCTACAGCTGACACAAAAATACGGGTTCTTCCAAGAAGGCGTTTATGAAGAGGTGTCGACAAGTTGGGATACGATAATGGGAGCATACGAGATAATGCGCTCTGCACATCATTCACAGTCTACCTAGTGGCAGGGTGAGAACGTGAAGAGCTACACATTACTATCAGTCATTCCCCACTATAGATTGTGTTTTTGTGGTCGATTAATTATTATCTATTCGAGAGGAGTTCATTGAGGAAAACCCGAACGACGACGTCTTCATATAATCATTCAACCAGCCCGAAAAGACTGACAACAGCCACGGATGGAGGCCCTCCTTCCCGGGCCTTCGTTTGACCACAATATGCAAGAAGATGTTTAGAAGGGTGCCAACAAACTGTCGATGCTGCGACAAGGGACGGCACACGGTGCAGAGGAGTACCAGTTTCTGTGGCGCACTATCAAGATAGTTACTTCAAGATCGAATAGCAGATAATGAATGGATGACTACTCACAATGTCGATGTAGTTACCACCACTAGCGATAGCGATGTATTCTCCGTCAAAGGAGAAGCTCAGAGCGCTGATGGAGTAACTAAAAGCAGCGTATTGATGATTAGCAGTCGAACAGAATGGGCTTGAGCACTTACTCGCACGAAGTGATCGTGCGCACACAAATCCAGTCTTCCAGATCAAAGAGGTTGACGATTGAGTCTTGGCCTCCAGTCGCGAGGTATCTTTGGGTAAAGATTCAGTGGAAGGGGAAAGATAGGTAGTTGAGTTTTTATACCGGCCGCGAGGATCGAGTGCAACAGCTAAACATCCTCCTACGTGAGCTGCCGGATGGTCGCGCACTTCAAAACTGGGAAAGTCTAAAACACGGAAGACATTCTCCGAGATATGAGTTAGCACCAGTCCTGTTCCAGAATGGTTGAATATGGCGGTCGTGCCAGTGACCTGCACGTCGTTGTGTATGAGGAAAATGATACGTATGATTGTAGGAAGCACGATTTACGCACCGGATCCTTATCAGACAAACGCCATTGCTCTTTAGTCTCTTCCCCAGTCTTGCCAAGTGTGAGGGTGTACATTTGGTGTTGAGAAGAAGCGCAAAGGAGCCATCGTCCGTCTGGTGAGTAATTAGTGTACATGGGCGCAAACTTGAGGGATATTTGCTGGACATGTTTGCTTTCTGCGTCAAGCATCCTGTTCATACAACTTGAAAACTATAGCAATGTTCAAACGCACGTCTTGCATCCCAGAAGACAATTCTACGATCTCTTTGGCTCGAAGTGCAGAACAGATCGGGATGCGTCGGATTGCAAGAGACATAGTCAACCTCGTCGATGTGTCCGCCAGTAAACATCGAAGCGGATCGAGGCTCCATCTATCTATACATTCATTAGAGGGTATCCTGGCTGTTGTAAATTCATTCGAGACGCACACTCTTTTGCGGTGTCCAAACCCGTGTGATTTTGTCGATGCCCACAGCAGCTAGCTTCTTGCCGTCGCAATTCCAGGCGACATGGTTCATCGCCTGTGTACTGGTTATGCGATAGTCTCTGGGCTTGAAAGCAGAGAAAGTTGGAGGCTACAGGCGCAGAATCAGAACATTTCGGAAGGGTCCCGTTAATCAAGTAATGCCGAGCTGTTCAGGGTGGTTTCTATCGTACATGTACGCCTCTAGCAGCAAATGTGGTATGTGGAGGCGGAGAGGGTGGTCTCTCAGGAGGTGGAATTTCCTCGATTTCATCCTTTCCACCGTTTTGTTGAATAGACATAGGTCAAAAGCAAGATTGATTGTTGATTACCAAATATGTTCGCTCGGATCGATGTTGATGAAAATTTTTAGATTGCGATATCGCGATAGGTATAACAAACGGAAAGCATACGAGGAAAGCATATGAAGGGAAGTATATGTACTTGGAGTTCATCAAGAGCAATCGAGAGCAGTATAAGCGTAGAAAACATGTACGTAGAGCGAGTAAAAGACAGTAGTAGTACACATGTCGAACCCTGTTCGAGGAGACGAGCATTGCATAGCAAAGCAGAGCGAAAAACGACGAGCGAGATCGAGACTGTAGAGAGCAAAGATGGAAAACTAAGACGAATGACAGAGAAAAGCAATACGAAATCAGTGCAAGTATGAGCAAAGCAGTAGTTCGAGGGAGGAAAAGTTAAATAAAGTCACGTTTCGAGAACGGGAGCCACAGCAATTTCGTTGGGTATCATCCGACCAAATTAATCACGGAAACTGTACGCGTAGACCTGGTGCTCAGTCGTAGACGGCGGTCTAACGACCACGTCAGGCAACAGCTCATCTTGCCTCAAGATGGCTCGCATCTTATTGGTGTCCGATCTAGCAAGATTCAGCGGCTTCAGAATGTGCTTGTTTCTTCTAGAACGAGGCGCATCCGGGCTAGCATTCTCATCCGCTGGCATGGCCTTTGCTTTCTTCGAGATAGCAGCACCTTCCTTCTTGGCAAGCACAAGAGGACGGGTTCCTTGGGAGTTGGCAGCTTGAACACCTGTTCCAACAGCACTATTTGTATCGCGCTCTTGGAGCAACGATAGAGGTCGCAGACCTCCTCGTGGGGACTCCGGCTTGGAAGTGTTTTGTGTAGGCGGGGATGCTTTAGAAGCCTTGCGCTGAAGTTTGCTGGATTTAGGCATAAGAGGTCGTACCGCCCGGGAAGACCATTGAGCAAGAGAGGACATTGCGGACGTCGATGACGTCGAGGTCGCGTTGGGAGGCGTGATAGTAGTGTTTTCGTCAGATTTGATATATACGATGCTGGAGCGGCGGCTTGAGGCTGAGGAAGAGCGGTTCTTGTTAGTCGGGTTTCTATATTGGTGAGATGCGGTGGATGTTCTGAATTGACTGGACGAAGGCAGTGGTGGAACGATATCCTCCGAACCGCGCTTGTGAGCAATGTTGTTATGAGGGGTACTCTCAGCTTGAGGTCCGGATTCTAGTCCATTCACAAAATCTTCGAAAAGAGTGACAGTGGAGGCGGCAGAGGGAGGTACAATGTTATGCATCGACTGGATAGACGACCGGGCCGTATCAATACCATGAGGAACCTCAGCACGTAGACCTAGAGAACGAGTGGACATAGCCCGACCGAGCGGTGCACCCCTGGAATTGGTTTGACTAACAATTTCCTCAGAGCCAGCGCGCAAGTTTGATAAGTCGTTGGGGATAGAGTCTGCGCCGAAGACAGTGTTCCTGCGAAATTCAACATTACTGGGAACAGCAGTGTACGGCCCAAATCGGTTCTCAATGGCACGGCCAAGCTCAGTACTCCAGTAGCTCAAAGATTGGACGCCATCCTTTCCAAGACCAAGACTAGAAAACGCGTAAGTAGATTTCGGGTATCTCAAAACCAAACATACCTTGGCAAGCTAAAGTGGTTGCGTTTATGAGCGGATATCTTGCGCCCACGAGCTTCCCTTGCCTTTGTAGCTCCCGCGCGGGTTCTCGCAGGAGTTGAATGTATCTCCGGAGAAGAAAAGTCTTCACCAAATTCATTCAACGCTTTCAGGAGGCGAGCAGATCTTCCCTCTCCTCTAGTCCTGCTCGTACTTCGACTGCGACTCCTTTCACGGCTGATCTCTAACTCGGCCATAGCACGTTTGCGCCACGTAGCGGGAGGGGAGTCCCTGATCTTCATGTTATCACCAACTTTGAGGCCTGGAACGAGAAGAGGTAAAACACCGGCAGTGAGTGCGTCGATCTCGTTCATATCATCGACAGGGCCAAAGGAGAATTTCCCTGCTGAGATAGAGGAATAACTTTTCTTATGCTTCGCAAGGCGAGCAGCACGGACATTGGGAGGTGTAGGTGGAAGTGGGAAAGCAGGTGGAGGACTAGGACTAGCATTGAAGGAGATAGAGGTAGGCGTTTCCGGACCGACAGAGGTGACCGAGCGAGTGCGGAGGTGCTGCGAGGCGCGATTACTGCCAGAGACGGGGATGTCGACTGCGCTAGTAGTAGCAATTGGTCCATTGAGGAAGAGCTCGGCGCCAGCAGAAGGTCCCTTCTCAGGAGAACCACTGACTTGAATAGTTTGTGCCAACGCAGAGTAGTGCTTCTGAGCAATCATGATTTTGGAGGCAAACGCAAGTGACTCATCAGCACCGGAAAAGTATGAGCTCGCCTTTGAATCTTTTCTGATACGACCAAATTGGGCGCTGGTTTCGGAGTACGAGCGGCTGTGAAGGTTGACTGGCATGGAAGAATCTCCGTCCTGAATAGGAAGAGGAGGTGTGGTTGGTTCGTCTGCATTTTCCTCCGGCGGCAAGACTGAGAGTTTGGGCATAGGTGACATCATACCGAGTGCACGGCTGACCTTGCTTTTACCGTCAGCGGCGTCGCCGTTAGTGAGCCATACATCACCGCTACGTCGGCCCTCAACCACAGTAACACTAGCGCTGCGTTTGTACTCGTAGGACCACTTGACAGTGTCAGAATTGGGTGTAGCTCCACGGAGAAGGTTAGTGGGTAAGTCATCAGGAGAATCGAACAACCCCGAAGGTATCGGAATAGGTGACCGGAAGAGAATATTAAGTGCCAGGATAGGTGAAGACATGGTTACAGACAACGTAAACAAAATTGAAGTCGCCAAAGAAGCGGGGATGTGCTGTGATAGAGTGATCAGATAAGGCAATGAAAGTCCCTGAAGTAGGTGTTAGCGAAGAGAGTAGGTACCAAGGGAGAAATTTTCGTACCAGAGGAACCCAAATGAGAATCAACCAACCTATAGAACGATATACAGAAACGTCCAAAGTAGTGCCAGGCAGGGGCGTCGAACCACCCTCCTTCTCAGAGTCCTTGTATCCATATCCACCTAGAACCTGCGCATTCGACAACGCAGGTGTTACCGGCCTAGAAGAAATCGCACCCGAAGAAGGCAGCAGCGTCGTGTGCAAGTTAGGAGAACTGGCATTGTGTACACTCTCAGCTTGGGTGGCAGGATATGACCATGCAGAGAGCGTAGTGTGCGATCCGTTCGACGATGACAACCACGAATTCTGGGACCCGAGAAATCTTTCACGCGGGTGATGAGGTAGCGGGGAAGGAATGCGCCTGAAGGGGTCTGGTTCAGAGAGGCTTTCGGAAGTAGGGGACAAGGGGCCATGTGAAGAAGGGAGAGCAGGGACCGGAGGAATCGCGTTGACCTGTGGCGTAGAAGTTCCGAACCAATACGAGGATTTAGCAGGAACAGAAGGATGCGACGCTGTCTGAGGTCGACCGCTGTGACGAGATGTAGTGACAGTACGGTGTGTAGAAAATGACCAAGCAGAAACAGAATCCCGACGGGAGCTGGCATTGGACGTAATCCAAGAGGCACCGTCACGAATAGCATCAATCTCTTCCGTCGCGAAGGATGGGCGGGGCTCTTCCACTTGTCGCATTGGAGACCAAGAGTCAGGATCCTCATTCATAGACGCCAAGTTCCTTCGGATCATGAGGAGAGTGACCGCGAGACCGATGAAGGCAGCACTGCCTAGGATCGCTAGGGTGGACGAGTAAGCGACAAGTCCAACAAAGAGACTGTTCAAGCCAGCAGCAGATAGTATTCCCGCTACAGCGGTTGATGTGAGAATCAAGATAGAAGAGGGTCCCCACAACATCCAGTGTTTTTTCCCGAATGATACGGAGCGACCGAGTCGGATGTGCAATAGTGTCAATCCGGCGACGACAAGCAGGCATGTCTGCCTCACTGTCAAGATAAACCAGAGTCGAGCCGAAGAGAGGGCTTCCTGACCGGTCTCGTAGCCTGTAGGTCCTCCAGTGGATTCGCTGATGGCCTCCCAGACGAAAATGGACAGCGCAAGGATGTCAAGCGACGCGAGCCAGACATGACTGCGAAGGTTCAGAAACAATATTTGCGTCCGAAAAAGATCACTCACCTCTTGTCTGCCGCTGAGAGAGAACGAAAGTTTGGGAGACCGAATTCAGACTGAACGAAGTCAAGTGAGCTCCATGAATGTAACGAAAAAGAACATTAAAACGCACAGGAGCAACTCGGCGACTCAAGGGATGAGGAGGTAAAATTGGAATTACAATTCGAAGAACAACAAAAGCTGAACACAAAAACGAAAAAAAAGCCAAAGCAAGAGCAGGGATAAGAGGAATCATTTTTTCAGAAGTAGATTATCGTAGATTCGTCGATTGATTCTGAGAGAGCGTTGATGCGTCGTGCGTTAAGGGCGTAAGGCCTGCGTGAACGTGAGCCAGAAAAGGCTGTAAGAACACTGGAAATTTCGTGGGCTTTAGAGGAATGAAGTCGGAACGAAGAAGGCAGACGTTATTTGTTTGTTCAAAGTTGAACTATGATTCAATTGAAACACGGACCCTTGTGGACCTACATAGTCCAACATCATGTGATCGTTCAATTTGACAGGGATGAGTAATTGCCCTGCTGCTTCAATTTGCCGCATTTGTGTAATGTGGACTATGGCAATGGGTAGGCATATGTGTCGCACAATAATGGCTAGCAAAGATTACTCCAATTATTTGAGTATACTAAATATGTATATGACAGTGTCACTGTGAATGCGTCCAGATACTAGGAGCTACCAAGTCTTTCTCGTCCTTGCGTTGGCTCTAAGTGGATGAGTATATGTATCAGAGATCATGACTGCTCTGCTCCCTCCATTTCAGTTCCCAGGATTGCCACCTCGAGGTCTCCTGAAAGGCATCTCTCTCTCGACCCCGCCTATGTGTCTGCTGTCCTGACCATTGCTGTCATATCACCATCTCCTTGCTCGTCGATGTCCCTCTTCGTCATGCCGGCGTCGCGTTCCTGCTCCTGCCTGCTCCTGACCCCTCGACTTCGATCCGATATCCAATTCGACAGGTTCCCTTGCCAAATCGTCCACATCTCTCCCCTGTAACCCTTGCAACCTATACTCAAGATTCCCGCCACCATGACCCGTAACAGTACCCAAAGCGGGGATGCGCTCTGCCTCCAAGACGGCCTCGTATCTCTGCAATAACAACCTCTCCACCCACCCTTTCTCTGGAAAATTCTTCTCCCACTGGTTATGTAGATGAATGCCAAAAATTTGAGAGAGGGCGCGTGCAAGAGCGGGTGGGTTTCCAGTGTAAGCGGTCTCAGTTCCCATACCCAAGCCCATGCTCGGGGCTACGCCCTTGTCAATGCCAGACAGTTGTGGCTTTTTCGTTGTTGGATTTCCCACCACGAAAACGCCGTTCGTTCCAGGCTTTATCTTAGACCAAGGCATCCACCAGCTTGAACGTACGCTCGTACCGCCACTTTGTTCCTCCCACCAACTGATGCCAGCTTTTTGGTCCTCCTTGAACGGATCGGGAAGTCGGTTGTCTAGTCGACAAGAGCGTCCGTCAGTGAAGCACCACGGCAATACCTATGAATGATACAACGAAATAAGATAGATAGAAAGGATTCAGTGTACGTAGGATCACGGAGATGTACCTTGAAAGGTCGCACGCCGCCCCTCAAAAGCCGTCTGTAAAGCTTCAGATAAAGTGTGCTTCCCCAATCCGTCGAATGTGGACGCGGTGGTGAGTCTGTCGCCATGATGTGAAAAGCTTCGCAAAGGTATGGTGAATGGATATGAAAGCGCATGAGTGCTCCGTTTAGCGGGGTGTATTTTTTATCTACGAGAAAAAGAAAAATTAGCAATGAAGCAACTTAAAAGAAGATTGCAGTTCACCATAGCAGTCCCACTGTGTAACAAACTCATGTTCCAGCAGTGGTTCTAAATCCCTCGTCAACAGAAAATCCATATCGACCCAAACACCACCAAAATTCCATAGTAATAGCAGACGAATGAGATCTCCGTCGAGCCATGCCTTAGAATCCGATAACAGAAGTCGATGAGCGGATGGAAAGATATTTCGCTCAAACTCGGCCTCGTTTTCGTGAGCATGATATTCTGGATCAAGCTCCGTACCTCGCGCCAGTAGTGCGATATCAGCCACTCGAACGTCAAATGAGCCTCTTTCCGAACCGACTATATCGCCTTGATCGCCCTCCACAGCTCCATACCTTCTAAGATACTCTCGCAATATCGGATTCCCTCTCATATCCCCATTACTCCACAACACGAGTTTAGAAGTTGCAAGATTCTGGGTGGCAAAGAATGATTTGAGCATGTATTCTTGTCGTGGACCGAATAGGGCCAGATCGGAACGCCAATAGGTGTGGAACTGGGTTCGTGAACGATGAGAGGGATGGGATATTGTTGGAATCTGACTCCGCACTGTCCCAGCAAACTCGTAACAATCCAACCCAAACCGCATTTCCAAACCAGCGTGAACATCCGTTGCTCGTGCTCCAAACAGGCGCTCAGTGACATTATACCTCCGACTAGGGCGATTGAAGCATCCTGCCAAAGGTTTCACAGGTAGAATCTCCTCTCTTGCAAACTTGCGTGAGTAGAAAGCCAGCTCGATGTGAGGCTCATATATCCGGAGTAGGAGGTAAAGCAGAGTGACGAAAGCGATTAGAAGAAGAGTGTAAATGATTTTGGGTAGAGTGGAAGGGGATGGATTCTTCACTCTGCGGAGGTTTATTCGTCGAGAATTGGTGTTGGTAGTGACAGGATGGCCCCGGTAAAGGACACGAATACTCTTCCTGATATAATAGACGGGCGTTCGTAACAGTAATGACCCTACTTGGCGTACAAAACGCGGTACGGGTATAGGTATAGGTGGTATTGGTATATTGTAGTTCCAATTAGAGCCATTAGTTCGTACAGGCGACAACGAGGGGCCCCGTCTCCGAGAGCTGGGGTAAGTCGAATATGATGAATACCCGTAACCTCCTTGGCCATACGAAGCAGTAGATGACCTTTTTCGGTGTCGGTGTTGGGTTATGGGGTTCGGAGATGCGGAAGCAGAGGCAGAGGCAGAAGTTGAGGCAAAGTGTTCAGTGTCGTTGCCGTCGTGAGAGCCGTCATTGTACATCGGTATCGTTGTTGGGAGCCGGTCATAGCTCATGTGTAGCGCGTAGCTCTGTCTATAGCTGCTTCAAGCCAAACTATAGCTGGAGTACTAACAAATTGAATTTAGTCAGTGAGTTGGAAATTTCTATTAGCTAATTGACCACACAGCTAGTAAGATTTAGATACCTCCTTCCGCAAAGATTGAGGACGTATGCAATATTCAGAGCCTCTCAGGTCGTGCTCGATGGTTGGCGTAAGAAACTTTTGCCGGCCGGCATTTATATTTCTGGCTTCTGATTTCTCTGAATCTCTTCCGAAATTACTACCACTCTTTACGTATCCAGCATTTTGGGCTCAGTTGTGGCTTGCTGATCGTGTATCTATCGCAAGTCACTATTGGATTCATTCCTCAAACTTCTGACCACCATGCCGAAGTATCACTAGTGGCTCCTTCCTGCAATGACCAGCGCTGCTATGCACAAGACATCGAACGTATAGGTATCAGCCCAGCCATAGACACAAGCTTATTCACGATAGAACGGGGCATCACAGTATTTAGTGCTGGGCTTTGCTGATTCCTTACGCATTATCTCCTTGACCTCCCTCCGCTTATTTCGATTTCCACTATCATTGCTTACAACAAACTCCCTTTTTCCACATGCAGTAATCCTTTTGGTCCTTTCTACTGCGCTACACCCTGAAATAAATTGGACTTGGCACGCCTCTTGCCCTCTTTCACCACCGCTGGGATCACGCAGGGTACATGGCTTGCTATGCACTTTTGTTATCGGAGGTATTATTACTGTGATCACATCGACTCCGGATGTCAGAAGAAATGGGGTGTTGAACAGCTATGTCTGAGGACAGTTCGTAGGTCGGTGATGAATACAAGGCAAAAATCATGGTATATTCACAACATGCATCATGAGATCGAGTGGGGAGTTGGTACAGGATTTGGATTTCACAGTTATCAATCTGACCCGCCCACATCACATACATATCCTGCTTCGAGAGCATCCAGAATATACTCAAGGTATTCCTGGTGGCCAATAGCCAACGCTCGGGCAGTTTGTTGTGTTTTGGCTGCCATCTCGAAATCAATCATACGCCACCCATGCGTACGAAATGTGAATGGAGAGACAAGGCTTGGGAGGCCAGGAGGGCAAGCTGGAGCTTGTAAAATGTTCGCGTATCGGATGTCGTTCTCACTAAGAACCCCAAGATGGCCAATCTCCTCGAAAAGTGTATTCAAGTCCTCACTATATTATGAGTGAGGTTCAGAAATCTTGTGAGAGTATCTAGTATGTAGTAGAAAATAAGACTCACCGAAGTTCCGGAGAGACGGGCGAGCCGATGGACAAGTGGCCACCCAATCTTTCCTCAACCAAGATACATAATTTGTTTCGTGTAGAGCGCAGCTCTGTGATCAAAGGATGCACAACTTGATCAACTTGAGCATCCCTAGAATCTGGATTATTGACGAGTGTTTGATTCTCGGGCAGTAGCAATTCACAGCCAGACGGAATTTCTGCTTCAAATAGACCGTAGCATCTCGGAATAGCAACACCTTGAAGACATTCCATTTCTTCATAAAACCACGCCTCGCGGTGGAGGTCAGCGCAACGATGTAAGCGGGCAAACTTGAACACAAGCTCTGGCAAGAAGTGAGTGGAATCCGATAGGACGGCGTTTTCGAGAGAGTACACTATTCCAGTACGACCGCTTCCAAGGAATGTGCTGAGGTTGGTTTCAAGTGTGATACTACCAGGCGGTGGTAGAGAACTGGGTGGACGAGGTGGAGCTTCTTTTAAATAATAGCTTTTGAAACCTTCCGGTACCTCATGAGGGCGAATTAAGTCATCGGGAAGCTTGATACGGTTCAGATGAAGTGGGACGAAAACTCCAGTTTGAACATTCTGGACTACGTCGAGCAAGACGACCTTGCTGATGGAGTTTTGCACCTAGATGATGTAGCGGGACGAGTCAATATACCATTTCACATTTGCAGAGAGGTTAGAAACGTACAATGATTTTCAACATGAGTTGAACGCTGAGCGCTCAATAACTTATGTGGGCGGTAATAGGCAGTAAGGACTTACGTCAGAAAGCACTCAGCCTGATGTACTCATACCGCTTGAGGTGGTATACAACGTTGCCGGACAGAATATGGTCCCAGGACCGACAGCTTATAGTGACAGGCTGAGCGTGAAAATGTGTCTGGATCCAAAGCGCTAAACATTAGACGCCCGTCAGTCTCTCTTGCTTTTACATACACTATGTCGACATGTGTTCCAGTAAGGCCTGTTTTTTTATCTGCTAATGCCCTTCGATATCGAAACTTTGCTCCTATAGCATCATGATTGGTTTACCGCTACGCTAACATTTGGGCTTTGTTGCGGCTTGGTCATTTCATATGTCCCCCAAGTCAGTTTATTTGAACGTTCCATTCACATTCCAAGTCCTCAATCAATGTTCATAAGCACTACCGAATCATTTCCAGTGGCTCTTCAGAAGGATTGAGTCCCGTTTTCCTGCTTCTTGGAGTGACCAGTGCTGCTTCAGGGATGTTGAACATGTACGCGTTTCCTCGGTCATTACTGGAACCAGCTGATATTATGCCTAGGTTCACAATGCAATGGGGCATAATCCGATGTTGTCATCTTCTTGTACGTGGCTCCCGCACTACCTCAGGGACAACGTGATCAACCTTCCACGTTGGTAGAGCTTCGGAAGCTGCATAGAAATGACGGCCGGAGTAATCCAAGTTTCCTTGCAATGGGCCATGTTCTCGCTAATGTGAGTCTCAATTCTGGATTTTACTTTACGCTTTACTAATATGCCTACAGATTGGTCTTGTACATGATATACTACCCTCCACACCTCAAATATGTCAATTTGGGCTTCGAATATGATGAATCGCTCCCGTTAAGGCTGTCGAAGAGTACAGAGAAGACGAAAGAATGGAAAACCTCCATCGTCGTGAGCTGGTTTGCCATAATGCATCTGTGCGTTTTAGCGGCCCTATTCGCTACCTGAACTTGAAGCTTACTACATACTTGCAGTTTCATTATCTCTATTACGACCGGCTTCCTACTCGCCACATTCCCTACATCCCCATCTTCATCACCATCACCATCACCAGACCCAATTCCTATACCTTCGCCAGACGACAGCACCATGGCGCACTCCGTTACTCAATGGGCCACTTTCCTTGGTGTTTCTTCCGCTATCCTTGCCGCAATACAATATATCCCTCAAATAGCACACACGTTCCGACACAAAGTCGTCGGTGCCCTTTCCATTCCAATGATGTGCATTCAAACCCCAGGCGCAGTCCTAATGGTCCTCTCGATTGCTCTTCGTCCGGGTACCAATTGGACTTCATGGGCTACGTTTGCTGTCGCGGGCATAATGCAAGGAACACTCCTCGTTATGTGTATCTGTTGGAAGATTCGTCAAAAGAGACTTGGACTGGATGATTTTGGGCATAATATCGTAGAAGATACATTATCGGAATCATATCTTTCGACTACATCTTCTCTCGCAAACTCTGGTCATCGGCATCCGGCTGCAGATGTAGATGTTCCTGGACTGGTGGTAGAGGATGAAGATGCGGTGGCAGTTCGAGTTGCACTGGCGAACGCGTTGGAATCGGCTGTAGAGGGCGATGTGAGGAGCGGAGGCGTGAGGGAAGTTAGAGAGATACCCATACATGCATATCATGAACAGGACGATGAGAATACTCCGCTATTAAACAACGGAAAACAAAGCTCTGCTCCTGCTCCTCGCCGTTGGTTCGGATTCTAATTAACATCACCTTTGTATGCATATTAGTTGTACGAAATACATATAAAATGTAATCGATGGAATACCCGTAAACTACTGAACCCAACGAAGTCGAGGTGTAGTAATTCAGAACGACGAGCACATTATTGGACTGATAAATCCCGCCATATAGATAAAATTCTCGATATTTGTACATTTTATCTACCCAATGTAGTGATCATGGGTACTATTCGTGTGTGATACATGAATTAGGCGAAGTATGCTACATTACAGTGTTATAAAAATGGGACATTCTTCATCTCACCCGCAGCCAGTAAATCCTCATCAAACGCGTCGTCCGCTGCCACTTCATCCACCTCATCTTCACCATGCGGATCATACTCCTCATTATAATCATCGTTCGGGTCATCATGAACATACTCCTCATCATCATCATTACCAAAGTTCATGTCCTCTAGGGAGCCAGGCATACTGGTTGTACTCCGCCTACGCTCGCGTCTACCGCCATTCCATCCATCATCGTCATCCTCGTCTTCTGACCCAGCATATGAAGATGAGGAATACGATCGTGTGTCGGGGCTATCGCTTCTGCGGACCTTGAGGACTGAAGAGCTACTACCATTACCCGAAAATCCGAGCGTACTGCTTAACCGCTCGAACGAAGACATCTGCTGCAACTTCATGTTTCGTAACGGCTGCTCGTCATCCAAGGCACGCGATGACGCCGCTGCTACAGCAGCAGCGACTTTCGGGATGTTATTCTGTCTAGTGCCAACCAAACTGAAGTTTCTTATCCGCGCGAATGTACTGGAATCCGAACGCGCACTGAGGGCGGGCGACGGGGGTGAGAAATCGGGAAGGGGAAATTCTTGCATAGGTGGTTTCCAGAAATTGAAGTCGGTGAATTCTGGTGCCCATTTTCTATGTATGGGCGGGAACATTTGGTCGACAAGGTCCGTCATGTGGATATACCTGCAAGTCATGTTCATTTAGGTTATAGTCAAATTGAAAGGGATATTTTACTACTGACGAGGATTTGTATCCAGCAAGCTCGAGCAGCTCGCATTTCACTTCACCTGCGGAATCGATGGTGAATATCCTAGAGCTAGGAACATTCACGGTCCGGTAGGACAGTGCGTCCGTTATACGGTTACCGAAACCGGCGTAGAACGGATTCCTCGAAGCTTCCCCAAATAGTCGTTGAATGTCACGAAGGCAAGCCATTTTGAACACTTCCGGTTTACGCATGATCACCTCGCTGTGAGTAAAGCGAAAGACAATCAGAACACACTAAATCTCCAGGGGCCACGAAGAACCCACCGATGTAGCGAAGCCATAAGCCTGTCAGGACTCATGATAACCGGGCCCTCCGGAAGCTGGTAATCATTCTGCTTGATACCCTTGAGATAACCTCTTGTAGCATCCGCCTGACCAATCGCTCTGGACGTCAAATACATGATTTTGTAGCCGTTCCGGGTGATATCAGTATACAGTTTTGCCACTCCGAGATGAGTCCAATCTCTCCCGATCATAGCAAAAACATGTCCTAAACCATCAGATCTGCGGTCAATGAAAAGATTTGGGAGATTCCGATTCAAAGTCAGCGAAATAAACCACTACATGTTTGACAGAAACCGCATACTTCGTGATAGTACCGTCTATGTCCGAGATTACGACGAGATCGGTAGAATCCCATAGGAAGATCCTCGCTGTACATGCTACGACCCCGCTCATATATAAGGAAAATGTTATCGAATTCGGACCGGGTTTAAGATTCAGAGATTTCTAGTAGAATGGCTGTCAATTGTGAAGATCATTCGCTTCATAACATGAACTTACAAGTTGGTCCGAGGTAAGTCTCAACGTTTTGGCATACTTCCTTGAACTACTGTCCGTAAAAGTCGGTGTACGTTCAAGCTCAGTCGAAGATTGATGAACTGGAGTGGAAGGCAAGGCTGGAGCGGAGCCTGTTATCAACTCATCAGGCAGCACGGGAACCTCAAGAGGTTTGGAAACCGGAACCTACAAAAAACGAAAATAAAATTATTGTTGGATTGACCGAAGATGTCATTATGCGTACGCCACTAGGAGCAGTAAATGACTCCTTCATCTCTGGTCTAGCAATTTTATCTGACGAGCCTTCGGGATTCGCTGCGGATGGGACATTGGTTGACTTCCTACTCCGACGCCACCACTGAGCCCATAAAGACGAGGTCGGCGGTGGGGACTTCACACCTCCGAGTGAGGGTCCTTTCATTTCCTCAGGTGGTTCCGACTTTGATCGTTCGAGAACGAGTTTTTTGCCTTCTGGGTCGGTGACAGGACTTATCTGGGCACTTCCTTCTTGGTCGTCATCTAATGCCGAAGTTGGAGATATTGGACGCATGGAAACGCGTTTTCCTTTACGCAAGATATACGAGTCGCGCCATGTAGCTAGGGCGTCCATGAGAGGAGAGCCATCTCGTTGAGATATGAATCTAAATGAAAGCGGAAATTCAGCTAAAACGTTGATGGATTAGAAAAGTTGGAGGCGCACTGCTGTCGTGTCCACTTAAGAACAAGCCTTGGATCTCTGACTAATTGATCATTCTGGATGAAATCCTCAAACGATATTTTACCCTTCTCGAATAACCGCGCAGTCTCAAACTCGTCCATACCGGGCCATCTGCCATCTGGAGAAAACACCCGAAAATGGTTCCTGTTCCTCATATTGTCAGAAAAAGGACGGAGGTTGCGACTTTGTCGACCTCGGGAGGGTTCCTCATGATCATCACTTTCTCCCTCTACGTCGCTGCTGTCGTGTCCATTCCTTTCATTCTCCAGATATTCCACCAGGCTTAGCTCAAATTCGACCTTCTTGCCTTCGATCGATAACTTGAACACCGTGGGATCGGACTTGCTGACGCTCAGCTTTCCACTTGACCCGAAGCCTCCTGCGGCATCTAGCTTATCCTCTTGCCCTACCGTGAATTCTGCAGCTGCATCTGCATCGTTATACTTTGCAAACAATGATTCTCTTTGTCTTTCCCTTGTAGGACTTTCGTCGAATCCAGGAGGCACACTCATACTCCTACCATGGACGTTATCCACCTCGTCACCAGGGTTGACGCTGCTAAGTCCAAATAACATACTCTTTCCCTTGCCATCCCTTATTCCGCTACCGATTGTACGGCCCCGGCTGGAAGTAAAATTCCCGTTGTGTGGCTCGGAGGAAGTGAAGCTATCATGTTCTTCTTCAGGACCTATGGTTCCAAGGCCAGATTCAAACCTGCCGCCCTTGCCAAATGTGCTCTTCATGGGCGACGGCGTGGGGAAAGCGCCCCATTCCCAAGAGTATTCCTGAACAGGCGAAAGAACGTTTAATTTTCCTGGGCCGGGAAAGCGTTTCAAAGTTAAGGAAACGGGAGAGGCAGAATTGGGGGCGGATGAAGATGGGGAGGGAAAGGGGAGATCAGGCGGCGGTTCTGTTATAGCTCTGCTAGGGAACGGCAATGTGAGTGATTTGGATTGCGAATTACTGTGGGCCGTGCGATAGCCGTGTTCACCATCGGGGAGAGTATCATCTTGGTGAACGTCGGATTCGGAATCTGGTGCATCGTCAATTACATGAGGCTGAGATTGTGTATGCGTGACATAAGGAATACTAGACACTGAGTAAAATTTATGATTAACAGATGAATGTAATGTATAGCACGACGCTCACCAGATTTACGCGTCGAGTCACTAGGAAAGGCATATAAAGTCGTGTCGTCGACATCGTCGTTACTACGTATTGTTCGATCTGACCTTTCCCGATCATGCGAGCTGTCATGTTTCTTTGTAGAAACATTGGAAGGAGTCTGCGGAAGTGGTTGAGAATGATAACCCGCTGTGTCTAGCGCTATTCCTATGACGAGTTTGATTTGGTCAACTATACACAATTACACACTTGACCGGATCTACTCACCATCTTGATACCTGATTTCCGGAGCTTGTATTTCAGCCACAGACTGTTTGAGAGCGGCATCTGCACACGCATCCTGTGCTTTTTCTGCTGGAGTACGAGTAGGAGACGGGGGTGGAGAAGGTAAACTGGAAGCGTGTCGTATCGAGACGGAGACTGTGGATGCACGCCTCCGAACATGGTGAGGTTCAACTGAAACCGACGGAATTGTAAAAGTTGAGGTCGATGCGGATGGCTTGTGGGTAGTAGGAGTGTGAATACGGCCAGAGGAAGTGTTCGCGTTGTTATCACCGTCCACACCAGTACTAAATTGTACATCCTCCTCTGGGGGTGAAGGAAGAGCATTGAGATCCAAGGGCTCTGGCTCGCCTGCATCTGAATTTTGGTCGCCTCCTTTCTTGGTTCCAAAACGAGTAGTCTCCACATCTATACTTCTTCGGGTGTTTTCATTTGTAGGAGATGATGGACGCAGTAGTGGCGAGGTGATAAGATCTTCTGGGACGTCATCTTCTGTTTCAAATATGAAGAAAGCTTCTCCAGCCTCTCCAATCTTCATATCGAAAGGTATCGGATGACCATTGACTGAAACTGTCACCTGTGGAGAGCAATAGATCAAGCAGCTGGTAAAGCCTGTTTAGCCCCAAGCATACCTTCTTCTCGCTGGGCCTGAGCACTTGCCATTTGCCGAATCTAACGTGAAATGGAGAACAGGCAAGCTCGGTACCTCCATTGTCTGCAGGCCTCTGAATAACGATAACATCGATGGCTCCTGTGAGTGTTGCCGGATTTATGTCCTTGTAGTATTGGTATGGCGCACTGATAGCATTAACGGCGCCTCGAATATAATTCATGGAAGTAAGAGACAAGAGATTGATTTAATAATTAACCATATCGCCGTTTTTGGGGATCGGAGCCTGATTCGGAGGAGTGGGGCGAAATCATATGGATTTTCACGTGTTTCTCTGTACCCCTAACCCTGATCGGTCTGACAAACTTAGATTCGTCACAAAGTCAGTTCCGCACTAGTACTACCTAAACACGCTTTCAGATGAATATTAAGCTCTCAGATATCCGACCCTCCCACTCCTCTTCCTTCATTCCGCCTCCACCAATTAACGAACAAACCTTGACTTGTCGTGTCTTTTACCCCCTCTAATATCGTCTGTCTTGACTAGAAGCAGCTCTCAAAACTCAGCACGTCACATACCAGGAGGTTTTACAATGCCCGGCACGTTACCCCCTCCGATGTTCCCATCGTTAACGGCGAACGCATTGGCATTAGTCGCGCTGGACGATGAAGCGCTATTGAATGCTGCCGTCGTATTCTGAGCGTAAAAATAGCCATCTGAATTTGGCTTTTTTGGCTTTGGTGGAATCGGTTTTGGTTTTGGTTTTCTGTGTGTCCTCTGACTCGTCGCTGACAGTGTCAAAGAGGATGGCTTTGTAGATGATTTTTCGAAAGATTCGTTAGTGGTGAGAGACTCGTCGACGTTCTGAGCCGAAGGCTTTGATTTTTTTGGTCGTTTTCGAATTACCGGAGCCGGAGAGGAAAGCTGCGATTGGATATCCAAGGAATTTTCGATGGGAGATTTAATAGTTTCTGCATCAACGGGAGGATCACTCTTGTGCGTTTTCTTGTGCCTGTGCGTATTGGTCGATTTCCTCTCATTAGCATCCTTCGAAGATTTCCTGGAAGATTTTTTGGCCTGAGGATCGGTGACGACGAATTTAGCGGGATCCTCGGGTGGACCTTCTGTAGTTTTTTTCGAAGATTTTCTGGAAGATCTGGGAGGCTTGTCAACCTCCACATCCCCCGAGTCGGCGTCGTCGGCACGAGGATACCTCTCTCTGTTCGGGAAGTGATGAATTTCTAGAGCCAACGGTGTAGAAGTGTCTACGGCGAGCGTGTGAGCGCTATTAGTATGTTCTTCCCGTGGCAAGAATCTGGTAAAAAAAGCGAGATCAAGGAGGATCAAGGATAAATGACGAGCATCAGTTCGGAAATATGAATTATATTCATTGCACTAACGGAGGGAATGGTACTGGGTTCGGTGTACTTGGTGTACTAGGAACGCTCGGTATATTTTGGTCCAAGATAGACACAGGAGCCGCGTATGTCTCGAAAGCAGAAATAGAGAGGGAAGCCAAAATCAACGCGGAAGCGGCAGAGGAACACTTCATTATGTCGTCTGATGATGTTTTAATGTGTGCTTCAGAAACGTTGAGCTGAAAGGCCAGCTTAGTGTACACGAAGACCAGCTCCTGGCAGTGGAAAAAGAGAAGAAAATTTCCTGTCTCCTCTGGAGCTGTTCGCGTTTATATACTACACATGTCTCTTTTTTTTGAGGGTCGATACATCTGCGCCACTCCAAGCTCCCGCCGGAAATAGCACTGCACGTTCAAGCCAAATTTGATTTGGATTCAGGAGGGTAAGTACCTAACCAACCAATACCTACCTCATACAGTTTAGTCTGTCTGAGAGAGCTTAGACTGCTTGAGCTCTCAAGCTGTTTAGTACGAACATTATGAACGTTTATGTGGACTAAAATATCGATCCGCGAGTATTCAAAGCCAATCAACAGGTTTACATTCCTCAAATGGGGGTTGTCCATAAATTTTTGCACCGCCCTGTTGAGATCGGTCTACCGCTTCGCTTGCATAAACCCTGAAAATTTTTCAGAAGGGGCACTGCCTCCCCGCAATCGGAATGATCCATACCTCATGTCAGCTTCGTACGTGCCAATTGCCTCCGCCGAAACTGTGCCTTCATTCTCCAGAAATGCCTTCCTCAGAACCTCACACAGAGCAGAACTGTCTCTCAAGGCAGTGTTGGCTCCGACGCCTCCGGTTGGGCTCATAACATGAACGGAGTCGCCAAGAAGAGTGACAAGAGACGAAGGTTCCCAGTAGGGTAATTGTGGGACGACGGAAGAAATGCGCAATGGGGCTGCCTGTTCGACAGTCTGTAATTCGAAGACCGTTCGAATCGCCGGTGACCACTTTTCTGTGATCTTCAGAGAATGTTGAACGGTTTGTTCAGGTGAGAGATATAAAAATTGAGAATCTGGAAGCTCGAACGTATTTGGAGTACCGGATAAGACCTTGAATACATACAAAATGAAATGAATCGTGATGTATGCGCGCAGTGAAGAACCAAATACGTACCCAGTAGATATAGTCCTCGCTAGCTTTTGGAAGAACTTTGGTAGACAGAGCTTTCGCTTCGTCACTGAAGTACAGAGGCTCCGTGAGGAGTGAGAGGGGTTTCAATCCGGTGTCGTCAATAGTCAACGACATCCAGTTGTGCAATTCTTTAGGAAAACTTTCCAACAATTTCGGTGTGATAGGTGTTTTGCCGTAAATGCACCTCCCTGTCGTATCAACTGGGATGTGTTGTGGTAACAACTGTTTCCTGATAGAGGAACGAAATCCATCGGCTCCTACAAGAAAGTCGCCGGTCGCAGATGAACCATCACTGAAATGAACTGAAACTTTTTTTGCAGGGGAATCCAAGCTGTATCTGTCGACCTGTTTACCAAATTGGACGTCTATATTTTGTAAAAGTAGAGCGCGAAAGAGTGTTCTAGAAGGACAAAAATAAGTCGTTCAGGAATGGCTGAGCACGAGCAGTTTACTACCTGTCGACCGTGTAGACACCGTATTGGCCTGGCTTGCTAGATTCTGTTGGAACTCCTGTCTTAGGTATTGGAATACCCCGTACAGGGCCGAGTCCACCAAGAAAACCTCCATGTCCTTCCTGACTTTGCAGGACTGTCCCATCATACTTCATTTTTGTACCTCCAATGCGAGTAATAGCAGTAGTCTGCTCGAACTGTGCGAAAAGATTTTCTGGAAGGAGAGATTTGACTGCAGCCGATCCATATGGATTCATACGAAATCGGTATCCCTCTGAAAAAGAGATCGGCTCTTAGAAGGTAAGTACCACAGTTAGCATAGATCTACTTACGGGCACGGAAACTACTTGAGACGCTATGCAAGACAGGGTCATTAGCGTTGCATTAGCTCGAAAGGTGAACCTTTCGCGGTGCGTACTCTTTTTCAAAAACGGTGACCTTGATTCCATGTTTTGCGAGACCATGTGCCAGAGTCAAGCCTCCAACTCCAGCACCTAAATCGGACGCATATATAGATGTTAAGTACGTGACTCCCATTGCAACAAAAAGAATACATACCGACGATAAGTACGTGAGGTTGAGTCGGCATAATTTCCTGAACGTAAACTTTCAAAGTTGTATAAGCGCGTCAAAGATTTCTTGGTGAAAATGGAGCTCGCAGTTGAGCTCTAAGGGGCCAGTCAGAGATTGAAGTGCACTGTAGGAACGAGGACCATCTTATAAGTCGTGGAGAATCTCCGAGATGCCGTTGGACTGGTCGCTACTGCTGATTGTTGATCTATGACTCCTCGTCGTTGTATTGTTGTCTCTGTCTGCCTACCTGATATCTACTGTACCGACGCTAACAAACAATGAACAACACTGATATAGATAAGATACTAGATTAGATAGTGAATCCTGAGAGACCCTACTCCATGTGCCCCCAACAAAAAATGGCGGCGCCCTCACCGCCTATGCCTTCTTCTCGTTCTCCTCCCGCTTGCGAATGATTTCTTGCTGCTCTAAGGCAAGCTTAGTCCCCAGGCGTGGCTTGAACTCCCGTAGCCGTCGTGCTGCGAACCGCTTTTCCTCGATGAGTTGCCCACCCGTGGTTTCCAGGGTATAGGAATTTACGTCGCGCTCGACAACGCGGTAAGGCCGAGACCATTTAGGTATTATCTTCTTGATGGTTTTGAAGGTGTAGTCGAGGTCACTGCGGTACACCTGGACCAGATCGCCCTTCCGGAAGATGACCTCCTTTCCCTCCTTCTTCAATATCCTGCGATCGAAGGTTCCTTTCCGCTTCAGCGCGTGGCTTACGAACGCGTTGTACCCATCGAGCTGCTGCTGTGCGACGTAGGCAGCTTGCACCGCAACGTCCTGCTGCGGGAGCACAGAGGTAGCCTCCGCAATCGGAGTTCGACGAGTGTTAACCACAGCACCCAGTAGAAGTTCATTCGGTGAGAACCGGACAGATGGAAGGATACGGCTGTTAATTATACGTACCGCTTCGTCCAAATACTCAGGCCATTTTTCGGGTAGTGTTTCCCAATTCATTGCCAAGAACTCCTCTGAATCCTCCCCTAACTTCGGTGCACACAGGCGTTTCAAAACGTGGAGCAAGATTTTATTAGTACCTTCTACTAGACCATTGACCCACGGGGAATAGGCTGGGGTGAAGTGCTGCTTGGTTCCCCACTTCGCACAGAGGGCCGCTACTTCCTTGTTGGCAAAGTGTGTACCGTTGTCGGTCATGAACGTTTCTGGTGGTAGGTATCCGCCAAATAGCGAATCTAGACTAGATGTAGTTGTGGCACCCGATCCTGCGACCTTGAACTTGAAGGCCCATACTCGCTGCGAATAAGTGTCCAAGTATAGCCCGATGGTCTTGTACCCGCCTTTACCTTTTGACATTGAGAGGTAATCACCTACCAGGAGTTCGAATGGATGGCGTCGAGTTATGGGGTTCAGGAGAGCGTGTAGGTGGGTGGAGCCAAAGTTCTTGCATTCCGGGCAACCTGTGATTGCCTCCATGATGGACTCGTCTAACTTTGGACTCCAGATCCTGTCCATTAGCGCGAGCTTCACCGAATCCCTTCCCCAGTGACCCGCCTCGCTATGTTGTGCCTTGGCTAGTGCGACCGCCTCTCGCCTTGTTACACATTCCACCCGCGCACGGTTCCGAATACCCTCATTACCACCCACCTTCCACAACCGATTTCCGTCAACCATGTAACGCGCCGCTTTGTGTTTGGCTTTCTGCTTGACTTTGTCACTCGCGGACCCCTCTAGTACCCTTAGCGCTTCAACCACCTCCGTAAACACCGGCTCGTTCAGGAAGCGTTTGGACAGCGCTGCCCAATCCGTCGTCCCCTCGTCCTGTAGCGCCTCCCCACTTACATCCACTCCAAAGACATCGTTAACAAGGCCCGTAACCGCCTCCCAATCCTCACTCACTGTCCACTCACTTCCATCCCCCACCACCCGATCTTGGCCTTCCCACATTCTGCTCATGCCATCCGCCACCACGTTTAATTTACCTGGAATATGCCTCACGTCCACGATGTGGTGCGCTAAAACACCATCCCGCCACCTACAATGCGCTGCATTCAGCTTGTCGTTGGCAATGACGTCGCGCAGCGCCTGGCAATCCGTTTCGATCTCGACAGGGAAGCCCCATATCATATCAGAGAATTTGTCGAGACCAAACTTCAATGCCGCGAACTCCAGCAAGAACGGTTTGTAGTTCTGTTCCGAGGTTGACGTTCGTTTCGAGGCGAAGCCCACAGGATGTGTCTTGTACGTCGTGGAGCCGTTTGGGTGTACTACTTCGAACCGCTGGGCTACTACCGCCGCGAATCCCTCCTTACAACCGTCGGTCGTTATAATGAAGCTCGAGCCGTCCCATCGGGGTGCTTTCAGGACCGGCTCCGTGACTAACACCTTCTTCAATGCTAGGAACGCTTTCGTGTGGTCTAGTGTCCACTTGCCGTCTAGCTTGAAGGATTCCATGGCTCTTCTATAGGTGGATTTCGTGTAATGCTGCGGAAGTGGGACCGACTTGATCAGGTTCCGTAGCGGGCCTTCGATCCGTGCATAATTGCGAATCAGGTCTCGGAAGTGGCCTGTGAGCCCCACGAAAGAAGCCAGGTTCAAGGCGTCGGAGGGCTGCTTCCACTCCACAATGGCTGTGAGTTTTGCCGGGTCGACAGTGACTCCTTCCTTGCTAATCTTTCCTCCTGCAAAGATGCCCTCTGACATGAAGAATTCTGATTTTGCAGCGGACAGTGAAAGGTCCCTTTCGCGTACACGTTCGAGGATTCTGGTGAGTTTTTTGAACATGGACTCGAAGTCGTCATCCGCGGATCCTCCGTCGTCTACGAACAGCTCGATGGTGCCATCTGCAATGAGGTCGTCTAGGTGGAGGGCCGTCATGTTAGCAAAAGTCGAGGGAGCACCTGTAAGACCAAAGGGTAACTTCGCACACCAGAAATAACCCTTCCCTTCCACGTAGAACGCAGTGTAAGGGCGGGATTTTTGCTCCATCTCGCAAGCGTAGAACCCGGACGCGAAATCGAACAAACAGATGTAATTATGTCCACTGAGCGACTGTTGCTTGGATCGGATGTTGCCTTGTGGCATCGGGGCGATTTCCGTGAGTTTATTGACCGCCATAAAGTTCTGGCATATTCTCCATTTGGCAGGTCTGTTCAACTCAGGACGTTCCGTCGGGCTCGGAGGTTTTACCGGGCGAGTGGGAAGATCAAAAGACGCGGGAAGGCCCGCAGCCACGCATTCATCGTTGAGTTTATACATTAGTTCCTCCACTGTCAATCCCACACCTTCGTGTACTTTCTGCGCTAGTGTCAATGGCGATATGCACTTCACATCCTCCGGGTTGCACCGTTCGATCACTCCCGCCTCCAGCAGCTCGTCAATCTTTGCGTGGAGATACTCTCTCTGTGGTGGTGTCAGAGACTTCTGTCTCACTTTCTTGGGAAACGTTGCACCCTCCGGTATGTTTAGCCTATGTATAGCATCCTTGACCGGCCTTACTTCGCCAACAGACAAGGCAAAGCAATCGGCGTATGCACTTAGGAGCTGTTCGACTCGTGCTCGTTGTTCCTCGGACAGGCCAGGCCCAATCTTGACCTTACGGAGAATTTCTCTCACGCGCCCTGGCTGGAACGCTCCCTGTTCACCCTCGTTGCGTGTGAATAGGTTGGCATTGTCGCTCTGGTCCAGTGCATCGGGGAAGAAGTCTGGTCCCATGGGATCCAAGGTTTCGAAAGGTTCGTGCTGGAGCACTTGAATCGGAGCTATTGCGTCGTTGTCAGTATGTTGCTCGATAACACTGCGACTATCAGTAGAGACTCCCCTCGAGGGGGGCACTTCACATCCCCCCACTGAGTCCACCCGTGGGTCCTCTGGTACGGTTTCGACGCTTCGCTCCACCGAAGTTTCTTCAGTCCCCTCCGCCATTACCCCAACCTCTTCTGTCGTTATTCCTTCAGGTGTGCAAGTTTCAGCTCGGTTCCTTGGATCTGTACTGACTGGGTCAATATTGTGGTCATTCCTAGATGCGTGCTCCGTAGGTACTTCCCTCGAGGGGGATGCGCTACTTCCCCCCGATTTGTCCACGCTCAGCCGTTTTGGTGGTTGCGGTTCCTTCAGCCGGTTCCTCCAAAAGAACCATTTGCGGAGACCCGGCTCTGCACGCCGCTTCCTCAGCCACTCCTTCCATTCATCCTCCCGTTGTGCTTCCTCTCTCTCTGAGGCCGCTCGCCGTTCCTTCTGTCGTACCTCCAGCTCGGCCTGTAGCTTGATAGCTTCCGCTCTCCGCAATCGCCGCTCCTCTCTGAACCACTCTTCCAGCTCTCGCTCTGTGATCAGCCATTCCTCCCCTTCGCTGCCGAAGTCCATCTCTTGGGTACTTGGATACAGGTCTTGGTGTGAGTTCCCTCTCCCAGACTCCTCATCTGGTACTTCCTCGACTTGCGGTCTTTGGCAATGTCGACGCGGTGCGACCTGTGGTATGGACTGGGAAGGTTCATTAGTATGGGGTTCTTGTCGACGATGATTCAGCTCATCAACTTCCCTGCTCAGCGGGGTTAAGGCCTGCACGATAACCCCGCCGGATGGTCCCTCGCGATCTTCGAGAACGTCGTGCGCCTGGGCAGACGAGCTCGGCATCTCCTGCTGGCTTCTCTCCTCCAGCACGGTTGTGGGGTCCGGAGCTAATGCCACCCCCAATCCTTTGTTGAACACTTCCTTCCACTTCCCTTGCTTCTCCTTGAATACGATGGTATCTCGGTGGTAGTCGTGCACTGCCGAAAACCGTTCAAGGAGGGGTTTCCCAAACAGGAACTTCCAACTTCCCCCGCTGTCGAATACTTCGAATTCTCCATCCGTTTCTACACCCTTTACATTGATACAGCCCTTCCAGCGTGCTAACCCCGGTACGATGCTCCCATTCGCCATGCGGAACTTCCTCTCCGTTGGTTCCCATCCTCCCAAGGTGATTCGCAACTTTTCGTACACCGCTATGTCCATCGCTGCTACCATCGCTCCATCGTCGACCATTGCCTCCACCTCTGCTTGCCTCCCTTCCAAATCTCTGAGACTAATGTCTATCGAGAACGGAGAACTAATGTGGCTGTCGTTGTCATGAACACTGTAAACGTCAAGAATATTGGATTCTTCCAAAACAGACTGTACATTGTTCACAACCGACTTAGTACCTAGGGTCAAGTGTTCGCCACTCAGAACGCTGACCCTTCCCCATTTCCCGACTCGACCATGCCTTCAAAGATAGCCTCCGGCCCCAAAATCTGCACTGCATTCACTCTTGGTGTTCTTCCTCCAAGCTCTCGTTGGCAATACGCTCTCCAATCAGATTCCACAGCTGGTATGGTACCTGGCCTGGGGCAGGGAATCTCGAACCCATGCCTAGGTCCTCCGCATCGGAAGCATTCCCCGGAGCAAACCGCCTCCGTCCCCGGCTTCAATGGTACGATGGTGGTTTCCGACAGGGCCCCATCCACTCCGTACCTGGAGGCCCACTCCAGCAACTCTGCCTTCCATGCCGATAACCCTTCAGGCGTGTCCGGGTGCTGGGTCTTCGCCGCGATGCCACGACGCAGTACACCTTTCTTCCCTTCGTCCAGAGTGGTGAAGATTCGACGGGGCTTTTGGTTCACTGCCTGGTTGACAAAAGTGGGTTTCATCCGAACCGGTGAAGGAGATGGCGGGGTGCTGATGCGCGCTGTCGCAAAGCTACTGGTGAGCTTAGTTCTTGGGGTCTCCGGAATCGCCCTCGGAACCACTTTGCTGGCCTCGTGCTCTGCTTCGACCTTCAGGACACTCCATTTTACCGCTTTAATCGCCGAGGTGAACTCAGCCCAATTGTCGTGTTCCTCGTCAATGGCCTTCTTCAGCGCGTAGGGAAGGTGCTTCCAAACAGTGCCTATGGACTGTTTCGTTGCTTCCACTTCTGCACCCTTCGCGAGGCGGAGCAAACGGTCGGCCCACCATTGGTGGTATGGCTGATTGGTGTCTTCACTTGTTGTCATGATCAGCTCATGTGTAATCCTCTCTCCTTCCAAACTGGTGAGGTATGATTTCGCTGACTTCTTTTCCTTTTTCTGCGACGGGAACCGTGCATGGAACTTGGCCTCGAAAGGCTCCCAAGCGCCAGTACGGTCCGTGGCCGTGAGGTCCTCTGTATACCACTCCCAAGCTCTGGAGTCGCGTTCGAGGTAGGGTTTGATTCGGCTAGCTAAATCCGCTCGTGGGGTCATTAACTCGGTCATTCTGACCTCGAAGTCCTGTAGGAATGTGGCTGGTTGTATGGGATCATCTGGGTCACCAGAGAATCTGGTAAGTGGTTGCTGAGTGGCCATGGGTCGTCGGTTGACTTTCGGGGTCAATGTTTTGGGTTGTTTCGACTTCGTAGGACTTGGCGAGCGGGATTGGCGCTCAGAGTAAATTTTTACGGGCGAGTCTAGAGGCGACCAATCGCCTAAATCCTGATCACTGCTGAATCTTCCGAAGACTGGTTCCTCCGTGGGATCAACTTCTGCGCTTGAGGGTGGTGCTGAGACGAATCGGCCGGTGGAATCTCGTGTTGGAGCCAGGATGCCGTCGGTGTTGGACTATGCGAGTTTTAACAAAACCGCACTTGTGACTGGATGGACTATATCTAATGCTCTAAAATCGTGGATCGAACCGCTGTCGTCACCAAGATGGACTGGTCGCTACTGCTGATTGTTGATCTATGACTCCTCGTCGTTGTATTGTTGTCTCTGTCTGCCTACCTGATATCTACTGTACCGACGCTAACAAACAATGAACAACACTGATATAGATAAGATACTAGATTAGATAGTGAATCCTGAGAGACCCTACTCCACCGTGGATTATGCTAGTTATTTTACATCATCTACATTATGGTATCTGCAGCTTCGAGCATCGTCGAGCGCTAGCAGCAGGGCGGCCCGCTGCCGGTCATGGAGAACGTGAGCATTGCCGGTAAATAATCCTGCGTAGCCTCTTCGTTCCCCACGACAATCGCCAGATCTCTTTACCACTGGCGCCGGTTGTACTCCTCCATGGCGGCGTATGACAAAAAAGAATGACAAGATCGCTAATTTACCGAAAAGCAATTCACCGCAGCATCAGATTTATCAAGTGTAGCGTATATAGTGTTTGTGTACAAGGGGAATGAACTGGGGGAGTATAGCATTTTATAGTGATAATAGTCATTCTGACATCGAGCAAGGATAGGATTAAACCAAAGTCCAAAACATATTCTAGTCCAGTGAGAAAATGGTCCAACTCATGATCATACCTAACACATGTTCCACATTTTGACCCAATCAACTCTTAGCGCCTTGTCGTCTTCACTCGTCGGCCAGCTCGCATACCATTCATCCTGCGCTTCTGCAAAATCATACATCGCTTCTGTACTCCCGTCCGTCCACATCTTCCCTCCAGCTCCATCCGGAAACCACCCCGAAGTTCCACCAACAGCCAGTTGAATGATCAGGTAGAATTCCTGGTCGAAAGGCGCATTCCAACCTCCTCCAGCTTCATCGTAGATGTTCTCCACGGCAACTGTATCTCCGGAGGACGAGTTTATTGCTGTGGACGGATATCCGGCGCGATTGAAGAAGGATTCCTTGGAGGATTTGAGGGATATGTCGAGCATGGCTTGGAGTCTGGAGTCAACGTACATCCGCATCCATTGGTCTGTCCACTCCAAGGTATAAGTGTGGAATCCGGTGTTCCAGGAAGAGGAGTCAAGACGTTTTGTGAACCACCAGCCGTACATGGTGGATTGGGATAGAAGTGAAGCTAGAGGTGCGTAGTTCAGGGAAGATCGAACGTAGTTGACGCCCTGATCAGGATATGTGATCGAATTTCCGCGGGATTCCATAATCTGTTGGAGAAGGAAAATGAGATAGGCGATAAAACATCTCGACTTGAGGACTTACGTCGATCTCTCCTGACAGAGGCCAGGCGCCGTAGGTATTATTTACCGGTAACATCCATATACTAGGCCACAACCAGTCTCCAGTAGGTGTCTTGGCACGTACTTGGACACGTCCGTATTTCAGCGAGTACGTGCCATTGGTCGATATCCGCGCGCTTTGCACCGGTGGGATAACCGTTTTCGTACTGGAATCACTAGTGACTGAACAGGCGGTCTCGTTCGATGTCGTACAATCGTCACCAAGATCATACGTATACCCATTGAATATCGCGGAAGTGTTTCCTATCGAAGCGGACGTTAGGGTGGGAATAAGGTATAGTTGAGAGTTTTCGATTTTAAGGTTCTCGTCCTTGTTAGTCATGATTTCGAATTCACCGTTCCCGAAACCACCTAATTCGACGGTCCGGCTCCATATCGAAGTGTCTAGGCTCCCTGAGGTAAAGTCGTCGAAGAAGACGGTGCAAAGTTGGGACTCGTCAAGAAGGTTTAAAGATCGTAGCTCAAAAAAGCATAGCAACGCAGCTCCTGCGAGGCCGAGGAAAACCCCAAATAATGTAAACCAGTAGCTTGCTCGTTGGCGTGGAGCGGGCTTGGCGAGCCAGGGCTTATCTTCTTTTGGAATTTTCTCTGAAAGCAAAGCTGACTGGAAAGGTTGTTTGCCACTGTGACGTTGGGTGAAGGCTAACGCAGTAGAGCTGGCTGTAGGAGACCCAGGACGTGTCTGTGGATACGTGGGGGGGTTCCAAGTATTAGATGCGATATTGGAAGTTGGACGGGAAGCTGGGCTGAGGAATGGAGCACGAAAAGTGAGGCTGTTATTACGTGAACGAGAAAGGTCATTATTGGAGCCTTTGGAAGCAAGGTGGGCACCGACGCTGCCGTGGTACACTGAGTTACTAGGGCTAGAATTTTGTCCATGACCATTACCATGACCATGACCTGACTCTGACATGAATGGGGCATTGGGTGGACCGAGCTCATGGATGAAAGGTGCATCCTGAGATTGTACAGGTGAGACTGGGGACGGAACTTCATCGGAGAAACGACGAAGGTACATTCCAGCGGGTGTATTACTTAGACTTTCCAAAGAGGTGCGACGTGAAGTTGAGGACTCGTTGTAGAGATTGAACGATGATGGGGGTGGACGAGTGCTCCCATCGTCAATTGCGGGAGGCGGGACCATGGCGACGGTGATGGTGGTGGTGGTATTATTCTAAGGCTATCTGCACGATAAGCCATTGCTATAAACTATGCTGCGCACGAGATTACATACATATCGCGATTCGTTTGATCGGAAAAATTTCAAGGCAGCTGTGACATCATCACTGCGATTTATTGCTTTGACATATCCTTTTATAGTCACTGCGGGGATGAGCCGATTTCCTCGAGGCAAAAATGTGAATTTTATCTCGAGGTTATGTACAAAAATATGGCAGCAGATATTTTGAAGGAATTGAGCTGATGTTATGGTAAAATTATGAAAAGATAATTTAAAATAAGCACGGCCCCCCGCCAAATTCACAATAGCTTCGTAATAATCGCCACACGAGAAGTTTTGAAATTCGTGCTCAGGATTTTTGATGAATTTTGGTAAAAATCCTTGCATTTTCTCTTCATTTTCACTGCGAAGACATTGGCTCATCCCCACAGTGAGTATAGAAGGACAAGTTAAGCTCGTGGCACGTGATTCATAAGGCATGGACGACCTATGTACCATTTCGACCCGCCGCCTTGCGGGCTTTGCAATAAGATTCCCAGATAACCTTCCCCTGACACTGCTCGAACATATACTTTCTTGACATCCCCTTCAAAAGTACAATCGCTGATTCCACATAATCGAAGCTATTTTTGAACTCCGGCTTAACGTGGTTTCGCACAGTATCCACTACCTTGTCCCTCTCCCTTTTGTCATAGAAAGAGACCCACCCGAGTGTCAAAGCATCTGTAGCCTCTATCTGTGACCAAGTACTCTCTTTTATTTCGAGTTTCCCAGCTGTATCTACCTCGGGGGATAAACACAGTGTGTGAATGCAAAGCCTCAAAATTTCGGAGGAAGAAATAGATTCTTGGAGTCTCGACTCAAAGGGAAATTCCGGCGCGATGGGTCTGCCACCGGCTGTCGGGAAGCGAACAATAGTAAGGGCTAGGTGTTCAACTCGGTCTGCGACACAAAAATACATGAGAAGGAGGAATGAAACCTCAAGCGAAGGAAAACTTACCATCTGTAAAAACAGTGCGGCGAACCAACGGACTGGCTATCGCTGCATGGACCATAACGAAAAATAGGATGCACAGGGCAAATAGACGTGGGAAGGACGTTCGAGGAAAGGGCATCAGGGAACGAATGAGGTTGGACATTGAGAAACTTGTGCGTTGAGATCGATAGTATGACTCGGAAGATGAGAATGCGGAGTCGTAGTTTTTGTGGATTGTTCTGTATGAATATTTAGAAAATGCACCATCACCAACACATGAAGTGACGCACGGAGGTGAGTCTAGACGAGTCTGCACTTTTTCGAGCTTCTGAAGTCGCGCTGCAACCCAGAGATCTTTTTAAGGAAACTAGAAAAACAAAGAAAAAGGTTGGTGTTTAAGCAACGCATACAGTATAGGCTCAGAAGCAAGTAGGAGTTCGCAGTAGGACGACATACCGAACCAGCGTTGGAAGTTGGAGAAAAAAAGGCGAGCCTTTATTTAAGATCTTTACACAAGCCGGCAGTGCGCAGTGCACAAGATCTAGGTTCAAAACCACGGTCGGACATTCATGCCCATTTATCGTTACTCCAGCGAAAATCGCGCCAGTTTGGGAGGAATGAGAACGGGATGAAAACGAGTTGCTCGACTAGTAGTGTCGGTGGAGAACCAACCTCTGATTTCAGAAGAAGACTGAGATACTTAGATAGATTACTAGTAGTGTGATATCGTTCCGTCTATACCTCTCCGTCGCAAGCCGTCGCACTTGCTACATAGGATCAGATTGATCCATATCAGCTGCAAAGCACTTGGCTGAATCTGCTCGTTTGCATGGTGTTTTGTTTTGCTCTGAGAAATTGTGTCTGCACAATTTCGAAGATATTCGTTCATTGGATTTGCATAACGAGATAAAATGAGCGGAACAGAACAAAACGATGTGGCTTAACAAGAAATCGGACACAATCGAACAGCATCTACAGCATATGAGGCACACGAGAACACCATATATTATATCCGACACGATTCCTCTTCGATTCAATTGTTGCACGGCTCCGCCGCGTTAATGGTGTGGTCCCCTCTGGTTCCCTAAATGATTTTCACTGGGACTGTCACTGAACGTTGAACGAAATGACCCGGAACCGTTCTGGCCTGCTTTGCGATCAGATGACAGTGGGAATTTACGGCGCGTCTCTTTGCGAAGCTTGTACATGTTTGGGGCAATCACCTCTTCATCAATGTCGTCCTTGAAGAATTCGCAATTTGGAAAGCGGCTGCGCGCATTCCGTGGAACTGGAGATGAGAATTCGCCATCCAGGAAGCGACGGAGGCTCAATCTCGGATCACTCTCATCACCCACGAAATCACCCACAAAGAGGATAAGGTCGCTGGCCACTGCTGCATTGGACGTAACCAATACACCGTCCAAGCGTCATAAAACCCGGTACAGCATCGGCAGTGAGGACAGATTCGTTCCTTCCCGAGACCAGAACAATCTGTGGGCATCCTACAGTCTGGATGAAAATGCTAATAAACCTTCGCCATCTGTGAGACAGCCAATGCGACGTTGGTCTCTTCCAGACCCTGAAACAGGTGTGCAAAGACCTTATAGAACTCAACCATCAAATTAACATTCTGATAGAAAGAGCCGATGACCTTTTCAAGTCTGTTCTTCGGTCTGAACTCGCAGGTTCACCTATCGCCTACCATTCTCTTTCAAGGAAGTCCCAGTTCGAAAACTCACCCAGTCGTCTTGATGACCCAACGGACCGTTCATACCAACTCAGCCCTTTACACCCAGAGACAAGTTCATTGATAAATCAGCCGCGTCCCGAATATCGCAATGTGGCGAAAACACCTTTTCGCATCCTGGATGCACCAGGTCTTTCGGACGACTTTTACACCAACCTTGTAGATTGGGCTCCTTCCGGCGTTTTAGCTGTTGGTTTGGACAAACACGTGTATCTTTGGACGGGAGATAATCATAAAGGTGGAGCGAAATTGTGTACGGCCTTTGACTCGAAGGATGAGTACACCTCCTTGGCATGGATGAAGTCCGTGCGTATCTATGACTCTGTTTTGCTATCAGAGGAGTCTAGCTGATATATCTTACAAGGGGTCTACTTTAGCAGCCGGTACTGCTCAAGGTCATCTGGAAATCTACGACACCTCTACCCTTCGTCTTATACGCAGATACAAGAATGCTCACGCTCACGTTGCTGGCAAACGTATCGGCTCTCTTTCCTGGACTTCCGACACCCTATCTTCCGGCTCACGAGATCGCATGATAAAGCACTGGGACTTTCGCGACTCGAGTGCTAAACCATTCAGACAGTGTGCTGCCCACACACAGGAAGTTTGTGGCGTGAAATGGAGCGGGGACGGTGGAATACAGGCGTCCCTGTTGGCGAGTGGCGGGAACGATAACAGATTGTGTATCTGGGATCTTCGGGGTTCTGTACGGGAGTCAAGTACCAGCGCGGGTTGGAGTCCTTTTGTACGAAACTTCGTCAGCGAGGATGAAGGAGTGTCCGGAATCGCTCCTCTGTATCGATTTCGTCAGCACAAAGCTGCTGTCAAGGGTCTTGCTTGGGACCCTCACTTATCAAATGTGCTGGCTTCCGGTGCAGGACAACAGGATGCGTGTATCCGGCTATGGAATACGGCAACAGGGACAATGACGAATGAGATTCGGACTGGGAGCCAAGTAAGCTTTCTCGTTCGTTATTGATAAACGGTGTTGACGTTGTGTTTATCCGTTTAGGTATGCAATCTTCTGTGGTCTACCAACTCCCACGAGCTCGTCTCTACCCATGGGTATTCCACTCAGACCATCCCAAACCAAATACGCATTTGGAAATACCCTTCCATGAATATGGTCGCTTCGTTGACTGGCCATACTGATTGTGTTCAATACGTTTCGTTGAACCCGAACGGAGAAACTATCGTCACTGGAGGTGGTGATGAAACTCTCCGATTCTGGAATGTCTTTCCTGGTCGGACTTCCAGTTCGAAGGACGAAAACAGTGTGCTGGATTATGGGAAGCTGATACGGTAATAAAATGATCTGTCTCCTTTTCGGATTTTGTACTATAAACTCACATATCTACCTATGACTTTTTCTATTGTCTACAGTACTTTTTGCACAGTGCTCTAACCTTCGTTGCTCATGCTGGTAAATAATTGTAATGTACGTGGATTCAAGTACATATTGCTGGTTATAATCTTTGGATTCCGTGGATGTAGCTCTTTATCTTGACGGGCTTCAAGCGTGCATTGCTTGACGACCGCCTTCGTGCTCAGGAGCATACGTCGTGGAATCTAGGGGGTGGAAAAATACATTGCATGGTATCAGGTTCATCTACCGGTTAGAAAAGCTCGCACACGCAGATCCTCAAGGATACTCTTCATGAAGAGGTAAGCTGAAGCGTATTGACCCCGCAAGTCGGGCATCATACGCTGGTTGGATATCATATATCTTGAGACGTCCCAAAGATTCCGACAGACAATGGTTGGGAAGAGTAATGTTTGTCTACCTCTCTATGAACAAAGTCGAACATGTTACATGGGACGGTTGATATCATATCAGGGCCGGAGTTTGTCCCCGAAAAACTACTAAGTGTAGGATTGACATCTCAGGTATGAGCTGGTACGAGACCACTTCAGCGTTATTGCGACTTTCATATAATATCTTGTGTGCACAAGCAATGTGTAACACTACTATCGTGATTCAGATCATAAAAACGTATCTTGGATCCTGGTCATCCATTTCATTCACCGCAGGTAACAATGCTTTCTCGTCTTCAGACATTCCACTCAAGCGTTGGGCATTACGCTTGTTGAGCCACGAAAGCCGAGTGCGAAGGGCAAAAGCCATGAGCATGGACAAGAACAGACAGCTACGAAGAGGGGCTTTAGCATTGCCTGTGAAGCACTTGGAACGTATATACCCGGCGGATATGGCGTGCCCTTTGACATAGTCGTCTTCTGGATCGAAGTAGATCTGCGGAGAAGCGCTACGGATAAGGACCTCAGATAAACTTCAAATGAACGAAGATGATGCAACCATTCACATAGACACGGTGTTTGAAATAGACACAATAAATGCAGTTCCTACTCCTCGCTTGGATGTAGGAGATAATGTATTTGCTGCCCAGCTCCTGCAAGATATGGTCAGAAGAGAGGGAAACTTTAACATATGTAATTCACATCACTAGCGGGAATAGACTGTACAACCCTCCAACGACCAAAAATAGCGCAAAATACGATGCGCCAACGCTCTTCCTCGCGGATGTAGCCAGTATGATGTAGCCCACGAAAGATATTAGACAAGAAACGATAATATGCCACCCTCGTTCTCGGGTCTTGTCGCTGTGCCAAGCTTGAAGCACAACCATACCCCATCCGAGGACATAGGGTGCGACAGTCAGGCCCTGTGCGTTGATTGCGGTGAAGCCGAGATCATTAATGAGCTAGAAGTAGCAGTACTAAGTGGTCGAGCCGGAGGATCGCCAACAAGATACCCACCGTAGGTAAAAAGTATGAAATAGTGGCCACTCCGACATTGACTAGAGATAACGTTTTTCAGTTATTTGGTGTTAGCACTCTTTGAAATCTCACAGCTAGCGTAAATCGACATGAACATCCAGGCATTGGGGTCGATGACAACCGCCTTGAAACCTTGCCACCCGGTCATTCCACCGTGCGATTGAGGTCTGTGATCGCGGTTGACGCGAGCTTGGGCGATAGCCTTCTCCCGTGGGGTGAAGAAACTTGCGGAAAAAGGGAAAGCGGGAAGAAAAAAGAGTGTTACAAAAGCCATGATTATAGTAGGTATCGCTTCAACCTGTGTATGTTCTTAAACAGGTGAACATATGATACTACTGCGAAAACACTGACAAGGTAGAGGAATTGCCATCTTGAGGAGATCGTGTAAGCGTTCATTTTTGGAATATAAATAAATTTACCCATCTAGAAGGGGAGTGTGCGCTCTGACAAGACCAAATGCAAGCAGACCCTGTAAAGCGCATTTAGAACATGGATGCTAACGACCGTGAACGAAACAACAAAGTTAACTTTTGCAAGACTCACACCAATAGCACCAGAGTAAGTCGCAGTCATGCAGAGACTTCCAAAAGTTGTTATCAGACATCAGTTTCGCTTATTCAGACTGGGCCGTTCGTAGACAGACCTGATACGCATAGCAAGCTCGTGTCTACAGGAATCATCAGTTTCAACTTTCATGTCATTTAGCGGCGATTCGTGATACCTACCGCTTGTACCAAAAAGATAGGTAATAGATCACTCCAGCATAAAAACCAGCTTCCCCAATCCCTAACAAGACTCTAATGAAAGAATATAACGATAATGCTGAGTAAAATATGCAGAGAATTCTTCATTGAAGACCTTGCCGTAGAACAAGTAGAGCTGCGTATCCTTTCGCATACACGATTGAAAGCGAGGACAGACCCCAGAAAGTCAAGGAGAGAAAGAAGCTGGCAAGGAGAGTAAGATCCTAGGAGATAGATTCCTTTTCTTCTACTGTCGAGAAGGAAAAGTCACGTACAATCGATTAGCGCCAATGTGTCGCTGTAGAACTAATTCGGAAATAAGAAGCACGTCAGGCTAGCTCCAGTAAACGTTTACCATTAGCTGGTATTTCCAAGAGGCCTAGCGAGTGTTATTAACTGATGTTATCCTTTGGATCTCAAGGGTATATCTCACAGTATCCAACGTAGAATATGCTCAGCGCCAGGGTCCATTTGTTGTTATCAGTGATACCCTTGAATGATTTTTTATCAGTTCTTCGAACTGCAGCAGCTGACGATGCCGCATGACTGACAAAGTTTTCGTTGAAAGCTGGGATGATATGGGCATTGCCACTAAAAAAGCGTACCCATATCAGTTCGATATACTGACAGATCCGGGATGTAGACTATACTTACATGTTCGTCCGATCTATCAAGTGTTGAAAGCTATGTGAGGATTACGACCGAAGCGGTACAATCTGTCTACCCACCGAATTGATTGACTATGGGAATATCGTCGCGATGAGCGCAGCACTTCGGAAAAAGATTGGATCGCACAAATAAAGCTAGAATGACGATGAGGGTCTAACAAGAGCATTAACAATTAAGTAAAAAATACCTGCATATGATCAACGGAAGTACTCTGTTGTCAATCTTTCTTTTAATCCTGGTCTTGACAGCAATAAGCTCTGCGGGGGCACACTGAAAGCTCAAAAAGGCCTACATCTTCTTCCAAAGTGTACACCACAGTCTCTGCATCCAAGTTTACAGCTTCCGCATAATTTGAATCCAGCGCCGAGAAAAAATGTTGCCTCTTGGGTCTGGCTCCGAGTTCGCCCTGGTAAGTGACGCCAGAACAATCTGGAGAGGATGGTGTGTGAGGCAGCGAGTTATATGGCTCGGAAAGGTTCGAGGGTCGTTTTTCTACGTCTAGTCTTTGGCTTAGCGATTGAGACATTTCAGATGTACGGGTCATCATAATGGTATGTTCAGGAAGGTGTAAAAGATGACTATGCGATCTCAGTCTTATCAGTTCGTTGGGGTGGAGCTGTAGGTCAGGGGATGGTTGTAGAAACGGCTGTCCGTCTCAAGCTTGGTTCTTCAATACAAAACATCGAGTGGATGTATGTCATCTGAACAGCTCGTACCACTGTCCTGAGAATTTTCCAGAATATTTGGTTTCATTGACAAGAGAGTCGTTTGACCTAAGTCCAAAGGGCCAATAGCATCTTGATATGAATCGTACAACACCAGACAATACCTTGAAGGAGAGTAGTATCTGAAGTAGCTTGTCAAAAAGGTTATTGAAGGTCAAAGCTGTCTCTACTAACTGAAAGTTACGTAATTGTCCACCTTAACTTTGTACTTGTTTATTATCCATTGTATTTGGTGACCATCATCTAATCGGAAGCCTCGTTGTCTCCTACTTACATCTTCCCTCTATATCATTAGTATCTTATTCAAAATGGGAAAATGGTACGCTCTCCTTGCGCTCGCCTCTTTTTGCACATCGTCACACCATGAACTCCAGGACATCAGGCTACTACGACGATGTATTGAGCTCTAAAATCAAAAGCCTTGTGTATGTGTTCAAGTTTATATTTCAGTATGTCGTGAAGTGCTAATAAGATGAATTCAATCCACGTGGGGCATTTGTTATACTCATGGGCAGTTCTGGGGCTATCAAAAGATCCAAGCTGGACAAAACGGAGCCGGAGATTAATTTTGAGAGGTTTGTGGAGGAGCTGGATGCTGGGGACTCTTTCACGACTTCTATCTTCGATATATTGGTTAATGTGCGAGCCTTGAGACCTTGGAAATTTAATAAAACTCTACTCATGAATTCAATAGGAACTCGCTGATAGGCAATCCCGCTCGAATGTGGACGACCGCCGGCTCATAGGGGAACGTACCGCAAGAAGCCTCCGAATCATAACCAGCTCCAACAAAGTCTACTTTTCTTCATCTTTCTCTCACCGTGTTACCGGGCGCAGTAGGTCGCATATATACTACCCCGGACCCCCTGAAGACATAGACTTGGAGGAGGACGAGGACGAGGACGAATTCAGTGCTCTCCTTGATACAGATACAACTCTGCGACAGCAGCATGATGCGATGATGGAGACTGCGGGTGCTAGTAGTGTACTACCCTCTTTCGCTACCAGGTCTTCAAGCCCAGCACCCATTGCTCCGACAGATGAAGTATCCGCCTATTCACGCAGCTGGGTCCCTCCGCGTTCATATCTTCAATCTGGTTCAAGCTTATCTCGTTCATCCTCTTTGCGTCGTCCAACAAGGTCAAGGACAGTGGATTTCAACGATTTTACCTCCAGAAGGCGATCTACCATCCGGAACACCACTAGTGGTGCTACTAGTAGTGTGAATACTGACGCTACTTCGAATACTGCTTCCGAATCTCGAGACAGAGACAGCAATTCTTGGCTTTCGCCTGGAGCGACCCGTAGATTCTTCGGTCTCAGTCGACCACGGAGGTCAAACCCTGAACTTAATCTTTGGAGCGATCTTCCTGATGGTGACGACGGGCTTACTATTGGTGATAACACCACTGTACCGTATCTACCTGCTTCCTCTTCATCACATGGAGTCATCCTACCCCCACTCTCTGAAGCGGAAATAAGCGGTGAACGTAGCACGACTTCAATTCCGGGCTCAAATTCAAACCCCACTTTTCCGAGGCTACGAAGAGGTAGCTTACGGCGTCCAGAATCCTTGTTATCGAGACAGGCCTCTCCAGCCGAAACGGTGGTACTTCCCGACGATTATGATTCTTCGAGGCGTGCACCCTCACCTCCAGATATATCTGAATATATTGTCGAGAGTTTTGATCGACCTCGATTTGGACGTGGTACATTCTCCAGCCTTCCAATTCTGATTCCAGAAGGAGGAAGTGAAGGTGGAGCAACATATGGTACTATTGAAACTGCCGCGTACCCAACTCCAGGTTCTACGGTTGACAACTGAAGTGTGAAGGGCGGGCGGTGTATGAGTAGCAGTGTATTTGCGGAAAAATTGTAGCTTCTAGCTTTTCTCATCTGATTCCAATCTTTATCGACATTGATTTTCCTTTGCATTATCACCCGCTCCGCTGGTTTACAGTACATCATGAGAATAAATATAGTAGCGGTATGTGTATCGTGAAGGACGGGTAAATTCAACCTTCCAAGGGCGAACACTGGTAAATCTACGTCGACCAGATGTTTCCGAGCATCAGTGGCGGCGAGGATTCAAACCATCCGGAAAAACCTCTTCTAATTGGTCACGTCACCTTCCTGGATCTCAAGCACAAATGCACAATGCTTCATGGCTTCGGTAAAGGTTACGCTCTCCATCAGCGTTCAAATTTGGGGTTATACTCGTTTCATGGTGGCGACACTTAGAGAGTGCAATAGGACAGGAGCTCAGGCTCTGCATTCCCAAGATATTTTATTCGGGAAGAGGGAAATGAACAATCTTAGGTGAAGTCTGTGTTCAGATTGGAATTTATGTAGATTTATGTACTACATAGAGTTAATCAACAAGCTCCTTTGAACTTGATACTAAGAGGATGGATATACATACATTCCATGAACGCACAATACACCCTGCGACAATACGTACATCAATATGCCCATGGCGAAGTACGATATGGGTTCTTACATCGGCGATATACAGAGATATCCTTGACCAGTTTCCAGCAACTCGTTGCTCCGAGCATGTGGTCTCTAATATTGCCGCGCCCAGACGAAAAATACAACATCCAAAGTTTCATTCGTGTCTATGCAACAAACAAAATACAGGCATTCCGTCAGGGACTCCCTTCATCTTTATCCACCTTGTCCCTCTCCCCCTTATCCTTTGAACTTCCATTGCTCATCCCGCTCTTCGGTCTCCCCATAGAAGGACTCCCAGCACCTCTCTCCCTTTCTTTCTTGTCCTTACTACTCAACAAGCTTTGGAAAAAGTTTTGAAGAACTTCATGCTGACTCTGTCCAGATCCACCTGCTCCTTGAGCGCCCGAGGTGGGTGAAATGCCAGACGGGGACAAGCTGGAGGGCGAGGGAGATGAAGGACCTTTGCCGGATGGCGGTGAAGCACCAGTTGAAGTGAGCATCGTCGGACGGTTGGTTGTAGGCCTGGTTCGTCGGTCATGACCAGAAGAAGGCCGTTCATTTAATGAGGAAGATAGTCTGTCGGACCTATCAGGACGATCCGATAACGAAGACGAGAGTTTGTCTGAACGGTCAGAGGGGCTACCCTCCATTTCCATGAAAAGCTTCTCAACGTTCGGGAGGTTGAAAGAGTTCGTTCCCATTGGTCCGACGATGCCTGTGCCCGCTCCTGAGGTTGAGTTGAGCCCTAAAGAAATGAGAACAAAAAAGACGACGTTTATACACAGTAACATACCATACGCTCCTCCATCGCCCTCGACTGGATTTCTGAAGGCGCCTCTTGGATCCCGGTCTGCTTTTTTGGTGCTCTCATCGTAGTTCCTTGCAAGGAATGATTGTTCGGGTATCGGGGAGTTAAACGGTGGGAGGGGAGGAGGCTGTACCAAAAAAATAAAAAAGGGAGGAAACGAGACAGCTCAGCGAACACTTATCGCATGAGACGTGATGAAAAGTGAACATACTTTCGTTCCGAGGTCTGGTACGAGATCTCTATACATCTTCTTCGCCCCATTCTTAACATCCTCTCTCCCTTCCGACTCCAGATCTGCTTCCCACCCTTCGCCCCAAACAGTGGGCTCAAACTCCCTTAAGACGGCAATTTTGCCCCAGGAATCCCAGCCAGAGGGAATGACGACACGATCACGGTCAAGTGTATTGGGTCGGTGAGAGAAGGGGAAAGGATTACGAGTGGCAGTCGAAGCTGTGGCGTTAGCCATTGCAGCCAAAGAGTTTGTAGATACGGTGGAAAAATTCTGTGCTTCACCGAAACCGATAGCGCCGCTAGATGATGGTAGTGAAGTCAAGGAAGGTGCCGAAGGAACAAAGAGTGTATGGAGTGCATATTGGCGCAGGACGGAAAGCGTTTCTGGGAGATTGGTGGTGTAGAATAGGGAAGCACCGTCTAGGATGACACGACCAAATCAGCTTCAATTTTACGAAGGTCATAAAGTAGACGAGACATGGAAAAAGAGACAGAGTACACTCAACGAAATTTAATGAACAGATATACGCACACTTCAAACATATTGTTCTTAGAATTTGCATAATTCCGTCTGTCCTCTCTTCCCATTCGCCTCCTTTACCTTTCACCATGCCGCCGCCGAGACCTGTAGGCACACCTATCCCACCTATATTGGCGGTACCCTCCTCTCTTTCGTCTATAAGGTCGGCTTTGGTGCAAACGACGATGATAGGCACCCCAGCGGCATTGTGGGTAAGTGTACCGGGACCCAGGGGAAGAACAGCGTTTGATGAAAGCGCTGTTGAAGACGTTGATGGCACAAGGGTGGAAGGATCCGAAGATGGTTCGGTGTAGTGCTGAAGGTAAGATTGCCCTAAACGGTAAAGAGTTTATTACAAACATACGACGAAGGAAGGGTCTTCACATACACCGTTCGCGATTTTCTTCGCGAATCATGTCCAATTCTCTTCCCTCCTTCTTTAGGTCCTTTGTCTTTACTTCTGCTGAGACCATTGGCATACTCAATTCACCTCCTGCCCACTGTTCAATCCACGCGAACCATTCCTCCATTTCCTCCACAAATGTCCATGGTTTCGTCCAATCTAACGCCACAATGACCGTTGTATGTCCTAGTGATGATTTCGGAGGAAGGAAGGACGGAATCAGGGAGGTGAAAGAAGGATGGGAGGAAGGAACAGTGTAAACTGATAGACGGGCAAGGGTATCTGAATATAAAGTTAAAATAGCAGGATTGGAATTAGTTAATAATTATACGCACCTTCGTCGGCATCATCTCTAACATCTGCCCAGTCATAACCCATGGCGAAATCACTTTTAGATTCCTCATTGTCGTTATTACTGTTGACCTTCGTTCTACCCAATAAGGCTTCGCAAACTGTGCTCTTCCCACTACTGGGTTGGCCTAGAATTAAGATATTCTTGGATGGTATTGAACGAGAAGATGAGACACTATCGAGGATGGAGGACCATAGATCCTGTGGCGGAGCAGGAGGCGCGTCTTGAGAGTCTTGTATTGAAGAATCTCGCGGTGATTCTGGTTCCATTATAAATTGTTCTTATTTGCAGACGGCGTTGATTAGATGAAAGAGGCGAAAACAACTATACCAAAAGGCACTCTAAAATTGCTGGCAGGAGCCGTATAACATGGCAGAAATCAAGTCACGATTCCCAAGCAAGTTTACGGCAACTTTTGCGCCGTCGGGGTAGTGCTTGTTTCCTGCACTCACTGTAAGCTTTACTTTCCTCTGGTTTTATCAAAATTATTGTTGAGAGTTTCCCTGCCAAACTTACATATATACAATGTCTCTTCTCTTCCCTCAACCTTCATTCTCATTACTCTGGCAAGACCTATTTCTTCAAAATTTACCGTCAAGTCTGCTGGTTCGTTCTGAAAGGAATTCGTCCAACGGATCAAACACATTCAATGACTGGCTCCCACTGGCTCCGTGAGCTTTCCGATGATTCCTGGGCCTCATTGGATCTCTGCTGGATCCCTGCTGGATCCCTTTTTACCAGGCGAAAAGGCTCGAAAAGGTCAATACAATACATTTACGCAAGACCGGCTCCAAAGCACTTATTAATATTGGGCATGCTTAGACCATTTCTTAGACCTGGACACAATATTTTACGAGCTCGGGGCGATCAGTGCAATCCTGTGTAAATCAGAAATCCTATGGGAAGCGTACTGGAATTCCGGCTTTTGGCAAATACTCACCGCCGTCATTTCATCACCAAGGAAGCATAGAGTATATAACAGTATATGACTCCCACTTCGTCCTTGCCGTCCCTGTCATCCCCTTCCTCCTCCTCACCTGACGCTCAAACGGCCGCTATATCTTCCGTCAAGTATGTCCTCCGATGATGCTTCAGTCATCGCTTTGGGCTACGATCTGTAAGTCTTCAACTCTGTTGTGCCGTTTCTTGGGGACTGACGAGGCATAGATTAGCCGAAAAGGTAGTCCATGTTGCTTCATTTTGCATCTTGTTGAAACGCTCATTGGTCTTTTCGTGCTGTGTTCATCAGCGGTACTGGATTGGAATAACGGCACTCTGGGTCTACGAGTATTTCCTTACCGTCGGCGACGAGGTAGGACCCTCGTATCATGGAATTTTCTATATGGCTCATTTCACGTTCATATCTAAAGATACGATATATCTGGAAAGCACCCAAGGACAATATCGTTTTTTGTCTGTTCGTTCTGGTCAGTGGCTCTCATATTCTTGTCGACGACTCGCTGGACCAATGTAGAATCGATACCTGGCCCTCATCATCATTACTGTGACATGTGTCGGTGAGTCTATCGGCTCTTTGTTCTCTCCTCTTTCTGAACGCTGTGTCTCCCTCATGTAGCTTTTTTCTCGTCGTACTGGACTGAAGAAGTAAGTTCTTTGGCGCTTCCTTTTGCTGTTTTTTTCATCTGACTTGTAATGCGTAGATGTTCGTACCAATGGTTTTTCCTTGTGGGGCTCCGAATGAATATGTATCTTCTAATAGGTGTCTACGATATGGTTATGCAGAGCAGTTGGAGACTCTAGTCATGTGTACGATCGCCGAGATGCTTGTCTTACTTAGGTTCGTCATTGATTCTTGCTTGGGAGTTTTCTTTTTTCAACTTGAATGATCATTCTCAGGGTATATGCTCTAAGCGGAAATAATCGGACGGTCATCATCTGTGCAATTCCTCTTATCATTAGCCAGTGGGGCTTGTTGTTCTACGTTTGCAGTCAGTCTGCTAACGGTACTGCGAACTTAACACTGCTTCTTGGGCCCAGCGACGTTCCAACCCTCCCCGATATCGATGCATTCCGCCGTAAGTTCAATGAAAGCAGAAGGAGACTGATATCTTACGCTACTTCCGGATAGTGTGCATATCAGTTCCACCACTAGACGTGTAAGTTAAGTTACTCTACTATGTCGATCCATCCAACTCGTCCGCCTTTTCTTCGCAGTGTACCATATGGCCAAGCATACCTGTGCCTGCTTATCGTATACGATGGACTAGCGGTGCTTGCAATTTTATACATAGTGGCGGGACAGTCCGATAATCTACATCTCATGCCGATCTTGAAACTCATCCAGAGAGATGGACTGTTGTATTTCGCCGTCATGTTTACGAGCCACTTTGTTTGGTTAATGCTGACACTCTATGCGCCGGTAAGTACACGCACCTTCGTGGTTTACTGGAGACTTACACATTTCTGAATAGACTGGATTGCAGTTCATACAGAATCAGTGAGTAAAATTTCCAAGGTAACTTGAAGGTAACTCTAAATAAAAGCATATCTTCGCCTCAGGCCTGCGATGATGTCAGTATATTTCCATCATAAGTATACCCATGCACCCTCACTCAACTTCCCTTTCAGAATATCAAGTATCGTTGTCAGTAGAATCACCATCAACCTGAAGAAGGCGTCGGACAAAAAAATGACTGTTTCTTGGAGAACAAGGGCTTCGAGATCAATTTCGCACAGCACAACTTGCGAACGGAGTGAAATGATTGACATGGAGCTGGGGGAATTTCTCTGTGCTAGAAATACGGTACTAGACACCCTTTGATGTGTCATATTTCGCGGTCATTCCTTCTGGACATCATGGGTCTTGTAAGTAGATTAGTACTGGGTAGTAAGTGAGTATGTACAATGGTCGATTTTGTCTGTCGGATGCCCATTCTGTCGCTTTGGGCGCTGTAATTTCAGGACGCTTATATAACGGAGCTTGACTACCTTTATTATGGTTTTGGCCGCCTCATGCATCAATGCATCATAGGGCACTACAATCTACTACAATGGACCAACCACAACCCCCAAGATCATCATACATAGGTGTGCCTAGCGGTTCCACCCTCCGACGGATCTGATGCTCCTCCGCATGCATAAAGCGATTTACGACTTTCAGATCGAGTACGCTGCTCGGTATGTCCCTCCATCACAGTATCCATCACTATCTATCATCACATCTTTTCATTTGGCCACTCCTTCAAAATATTTCCAACTTTCCCATCCGATTCTCTGTTTTTGCTACATGTATATAATTTCTTCTGACATACAATTCTAGGAGGTCCTCACTAAACAAATATCTGATTTCTGCAGTGGAAGGGAGATACGATTTGCTGGTCAAATCTATGTGAGCTGAGTGGATCAGTCAGTATCGCAAGTCGTCTCATACTGAAGTTTTGCAGCAATCTTCTTTCATAAAACCACACTCAGCGCAAATTACATTTCCATTCTAGTTACTCAACGGTCTCACGTCTAACGACGATTCACCCAGTCATCTTGACCCTGAAAGATGTTATCCTTCTCAGTTATCCTATCAAAGCTCAGTAGTCTTGTTCTCATATGCGTTCTCGTCAATTCCATTTTATTCAACACTGTGTGTGCCCGCCCGACTTCTTTGGCGGTGTTCGATCTTCGCTATGATCCTTCCGTAACAGGGCGACTTGGGCAACGTAGCAATCCTCACGATGATGGTCAGTATCTCTTGATGAAAGTTTATTCTGTTACATCTCAAAAGCGAATAGGTCTAACCAACCTCCCATTCTACCGCGCCCGGTTCAACATCCATGACTTCCCTATCGTCATAGCAAGTAGCGAATCGTATAATCTCGAAGAAAAGCGGAGGCTCTGCATCGGGATCAGATGCTTTTCAACAGATGAACTTGGTTCGTCGGAATTTCGCGTCGAGCTATCGGAATATCGTGCAAAGGTTCCGACACATACAGATGCAGCATATGAAGTTTTTGGGTTCGTGTCGTTCCATGATGAGGAACAGAAGAGGAAAATTATGGAGTGCTTGATCAAGGAGGTCCCAGAGCAACTGAAAGGAGATGAAGAGTATTACCGGAACTGGATGATTCGTTATCTCAAAAGTGAGAATGTGTACAAGGCTTCCGAGGGACATTAGTATCTAGTGACGAAGTGTAACGCGACGTATTTAGTCTAGGCAATCAAGTTTGGGAGATCATATCATACAAGAGCACCAGATCCAGCGAAGTAACGACCTTTCTTCCTTTACTTTCGGACTCTCATCCACTCGCATTTCTTCCCCAAACCTCTCCATCCCGTTCCTGCGCCCGTCGTTTGAGATTGCGGTAATTCGGAAAGAATTTTGGCAATGAACAAAGGATCCGTGAGCGGAGTTAGGTCGTCTCGCTTTGGGAGGCGCTGGATACAAGTGAGATGTCAGAGTAAAATGCAGCTTGAAAAAGAAAACCACCCACATTCTTTACAACATCATACGGTGCTTCCCATCCAGTTGTTTCTCGTATTACTATCGTTCCTTCATCGTTCTCCAGAGAAGTGTAAATCCGTGTGTCGAAGGTTCGGAAAAGGACCCCGTCAACCCGAAGGGTGAAACGAGAAAGGATGAATATGCACGTTGGCATTACGCGCTATAGATAATGGTATTCAGTGGAAGAATACAAGTTGCTGAAAGCGCGAAAACTCACGATCCGGACAATCAACGCACTGGACCCATTATCGTGCAGCTCATCCTCGAACAGCGGTACCTCGGCGTAAAAGAGGATTGGATCTGGACGGGTTAATTCAGCGAGGGGTATTTGATGTTTAGCGTGGGAGGGGTGGTTTAAGTCGAATGGTACCCATTGGGAAGATGACGTGTTTCTTGGCGAGTGGGAGGTTATAAGAGAGGAAGCAGCAGAAGAGGTATCCGAAGGTGTGGTCTCCACGGATGTGACTGAAGGATAGGAAGGAGAGTGTCCACAATACGTAGTAGTATACGTCCAATCATAAGGCTTCGTAGGTACGGTCTTGGGCATTGGTAGCAGCGGAGATGGACCAGTACTATTCAGCAAAAGAAACGAATCAGAGATTTATTCCGGATGTAATCAACAGAACGCGTATTTCGCGCACTTACCGACTCTTCAGCCACTCTTCCGCATATCCAACCTTCACACCGCCGTCTCCAGGTTCTAACTGTCCCTTTTTGACACCCAGAAGGGCGTGCAGGGTGTCGAATTCATATATCCATTCTGCTTCTTCTTCTGCTTCTTCCTCAAGATCGCTCTCAGCGCTGGTATCACCTTCCTTATCTGCACCTGCACCTGCTTGATCCCGACTACGATTTCGCTTTTGCCGTTTATCCTGACCAATGAATCCACTTGTCCTCCATTCCATCTTCAGCGAATTGCTTCCAAAAGTCATTTCTGGCAATGGCAACCCCCCATCACTCCCTGTACTGAGGTATGATTGAAGCTGATCGCATTGGGGAGCATTTGAGATCGGATTTGTGGATGCTGTAATGCGCCAGTTTCCTGTGTTTCTTATTAGTTTATGGACATTCAAAGAGTTGATTGAACACAGCTGGATGAAAAGACAGACCTACCTACAAGAATAGCCCGTGAATTAGGAGACTCTAGTAGAGTATGTTTTGGGAGGTGAATAGCTGGCTTGAGCAGCGGATCGAAGGTTGGTGTTGCGGAAAGTCTAGGAACTGTGGTAGTAGGAACACTCATTTTTTTGATTGGTAGAGTTTAGAGGTGCAATAAAAGACCTGGGAAAGTCGTAGTACTATGTAGTAGAATATGGAAGAAGGCGTGCACGAGGACGCAGAAATAGCCCCTAGGCTCTAAAACTCTCTTCACCATGCCGCAAAGCGCTCGAGCTATTTTGTTCAACGAGTCTCAAATTCCTGTACATTCACCATTATTTTACGCTACACCCCCCACGCTATGCATTGCTTTAAAATACGCTTCCCATACATCCATTTTCATCTCAGCTGTTATCCCCTCCGCCTTCGCATTGTTGTGGAACCAGTGGATTACAGCGTTCAGAAACAGCAAGTTGGATTCAGGTTCCTTCGCAATTTCGCTCCTGAACCAGTTGATGACACTGTACATCTGTTTCTTGTTCTTGAAAGTGACTGTTCCAATGCCAATATAGTCTTCTGCCCATTCGTCGTTCCAACCTGTGAGTATGACCTTCTTTAAGTGTCGTGGTGATACGTCAAACAGAAGTTTAAGGCAATATCCGCCAATACAGAGGTCCCAATCTTCATTTGCCTTTGGGGGCGCTACCACCGCGCCGTCTCTGTCGATCGGATGAGCTACCGGTTTGCCATGTGCATCAACCGCCGGAGGTGGTATGATATTGTCGTTCTTGTCGAATTGAGCCGCTATCGGAAGAATGCCGACGTGCGGTTGACGGATGAGCTCAATGTCAAGCACTACCTTGGGCTCTGGGTCCAAAGGACTTGCAGAAGTTATGATGAAGACAATCGAGGAAAGGACGCATAGTAAAAGTAGATGCAATGATGAAAATCGGAGGGAGCCGAGGGTCGGCATCGAAACTAACGACGAGTGTCTGAGATAGTAGGAGATAGTTGATATAAGGAACGAAACTGATGAAAAGAAGCTGAGAATAAACTTGGATGTCAATGAAAACGGCAACACACCGAGAGATTTGAACCAGCAGATCTCACGGGCCTCTAGAACGTTGCTGAACAATGTCAGAAGTGTTTCCTTTGATGATAACTTCAATTAGCAGTTGCGCAAACAGCAAAAGTAGAGAGAAGATATCAGGGAAGGATGTCAGCAAGTGAGGAGAATTCCATGAAGACATACATACCGTACGCGTACCAGCGTAACGTTCAACGTTCAACGCTAACAGAAACTTCGAAACGGAAATTTTGGCGACGGAACGCGCCGGCACGGGATATATTTCACGTGATGAACCACTGGAGACCACTGGTCTGGTTCAACAGATTTTAGCTCAAGAACTCTACAACGGCTTAGCCAGTATGTTTTCATCCATGAGAAGAAGATGTGCACTATTTGTAACCCTTCGCTTGTTTTCTTGCAATTCACAACGTTCACTCAACGTTCCCAATAAAGCCCAATCTCAAAGTTATGCAACCCTTTGAAATTGTCAATTGTTGCCTCCAGGTGTATCCTCCCTTGTCTACATTATGCAAGCTACTTATGTACATTATCCCGAGATCTCGCAGGTTATTCGGCTTCATGTAAGTCTCTCCAATATTCTCCTTCTGACTCCTCGATATTCACGCGTCCGGCCAAGGTGAATTGGGACAGGCATTTCTATTTTTCAGATGCCTGATGTGAGCCCGAGATTCGGTGAAACGTCTTCCGCAATATTCACATTCAATCTTCTTTTCGTGTTGCAGATGCTTATAGTTGATATGAGCTAGACAAAATGCAGGCCAAGACATCGAAGTGATGAGTACTGGATTGTTGGAACTTGAATTGTTTGAACATACATTGCAAATTGTGCTTCGCTGTGTATTCTTTCCCGCAATCACAACATTTGAATCTCTTGCTCACGTTGGTGCTGGCATTCTAGTGTTGATATATGAGTTGTTGGAGCCACCAGGCATTCGGATTATGACACACCGCAACAATGGGCTCGAATTCCCTCGAACTCATAAGATCTGTACAGTCCATCTTGGACAAATTGACGTGAACTCCTGAATGACATTCACGGTGACCGCCTTCTAGCATTGAAGAGGAAGGTCCTGATATTTGACTCGCAATGAAGCCAGACGGACTTGCTGGGACCGATACAGCATTGATGTTTGGCAAAGGCCACGGCTCCTGTTCATCGAAGTTCGCCACACAGCCTGTCAAGTCTGGAACTAGGGCCGTACTGGGATGAGACACAAAATCGAAGACAGGTACGTCCTCAAATAACGCTGGCCCGGGAGGTGTACTAGTTTGATTACCAGTGTCCGAATCCCAGTCAAAATGGTATTCTAGTCCATAGGTCGCTGGCATGTCGCGCAGACCTGAACACGAGCTGGAAGAACCTCGCATGAAATCCGCGTTGGATGAAACCTCCAAACGCCGTTCAGGTCGTTGCGACGTCCTGCACAAAAAAGAAGACGATTATCGTATGTCTAGAATTGAGATCGTTTGATAGGCAGATCTTACCGGAGCATTTGGTGAAAACTTTCCGGTGAGTTTATCTGCATGGTAAGTGGAAAGCGGGGAACTAGTACTGGGGATATCTCCCTTGAGGGCAACGTGTGGGTCCTTTAATACAACAAGATTCATGCCAGGCTATCTCATTTTAAGGTCCATCAAGACTCTATGAATCGAAGCAAATGTTCTCCTGTCAATTTTGCGTTACATTCATACCTGTTTCGTATACCGGAGCCCAAAAAGCTGTATGGAGATATTTCTCTATATGTACCATCCGATAGACTGGGCCTCATATTTCAATGTTTTACGTTGCTATCTTGTTTGCAAGATCGTAGATATGACTCGTCTATTGACTACCTACATACCCTTACATACCCTACAAGCAGTTGACTGGGGGGAATTTGCTCGCGAAATCCATAGGTTGTTGCACCTCACTTGGAGGTGTAATCGGAGGTAATCAGGCTGGTATGTACTATATTTGTATGAATATCTCAATGCTGTTGCGCAATTTGGAATTGCACGTATGACTGCAATCAGATTGCAGACATCGCCGCATCTCTATTCAATTCTGAGGTGGGCAGTGGGTACTAGGCAGCCATTGTGATATGTAGTTTCTCGGTCGCTCCTTCAAGCCTCCCGAGGAGAAGATATTCCTTCGGAGCCAACTAAGGATATCCGCAGGCAGAACCAAAGCCACGAACAAATGTATATCGTTCTATCCTGCCATCATTTGGGTCGAGATCAGGTCGCCAAAATGCTCCTTGACGATTGGTAGAAATTTCAACACTGTGTACTTATTGGATTCATTTTATTTTGGAGCAGTCCTCCGCGTGTGCATTCCAATCTCCGAGATAAGTACATACGTCCGTTATGTATGCAATCCAGTTAATACAGGGTCCATTCGCTGAAACAAGAGTCTACGATATTAATACTATCATTCCAGCCTTGCTGCGGAACAGCGACCAAGGATTTGGTGTGTATAGTGAGTCGCCCATCTCTAACTGGAAATTTCGAAAATAATTGCCATAACGTCGCCCCTCTGCTTCGTCAAGGTTCAACCCATTTTCAGGTCAGGTGTAACATGGATCTCCGAGGAGCAGAAGGGTATAGAGCATTCCTATAGCCGCATGGAACCTTGGACCCTGACGAGTCTCGGAAGTATGGATAGAAGTGATTGCGAGAGCATCATCTACAATTGTTGTATAGAAATGAACGATAATCTGGCTTGACTGGACAAAGGGGCAGGAAATTGTTCACCCTAGGAAAATCGTTTTATGTGAGTAGACAGAAACAGATCCTCGTTGCGCTTGTATTGCTTCGTACCAATATGCAAACGTCAACTTCCTTTCTTTCTTCCCCTCCTACCCTCCCTCAAGTCATTCAGAAATCAACCGTAGAATATCCGTGTCTTGCAAAGATAGCCGGCACGTCTTTTGATGTCTTTTGAGTACGTGTTTGGTGCCAAATGCGCGGCTGCAAGAACAGGAATATGGCCTCTTTCCCCAGTGTGAATTAACGTGATCTGCGGGATGATTGATCGAGGGATCATAAACACTTGAGAGATGGGCTACTTACTAGTTAGGTTATGCTTTGCTGTAAATGTTGCCTGGCACATGTGACAATGCAGGAGTTTCGCTCCCGGTTTCAACTGTCCACGCCGTCTTCGACTAGCAGCCAGTACCCGCTCAGTAGCGACTTGAGTCTTTCCCTGGGGAATTAAGACAGGATCATTGAAAAAGTTCAATGGCGTCAATTCTTGTTCAAAACTCAATCCAAGAATCTGAGGAGAGACAGTGGTACAAGTCAGGGCATTGGGATCGGAATGAACCATAGCGTCGAGATAGAGCGCGTCTGATCCCGACAGATGACGACCATCATTATCATCGGGTCCTGTTCCACAATGGCATGGGAATCCGTTTATGAAAGAAGATTCGGACCGTGTCGAGCTTTGAGGAGATCCATATTGCTGGCTTCTAAGATATAGAGCCTCGGTATCAATGGACATGCTCGAAGGTGAAGGACTCCATGATGTCGTCGATGCTGAGAGTGAATTGTAACGATGACCCATGTCATCAACAATACCAATATCAAGTCGCGGGACCGGTTTCATGTTAGAGTTCAGATATTGATGTCCTGTAGAGTTGGAGGCCTGATACGAAACGGTGGGAGAGAAGTATGGGCTATGATTATCTGACGAGGAATGAAAGTCCACACTCATGTCCTCGAGACTTGAGCCATCATTAACGTGAGTTGAAACCTCAGCATGATATCGGTATCCCGGATCAGTATCAACCTCCCCAGAATATTGAGGAGAGGGAATCTGACATCGTGTAATCCAAAGCCTAAAAGCAACTAGCTGTTAGCAAGGCAACGACTACCTTGAGACCCTACTCACTCTTGATAAGTGGTATCAGCAGAGGACATCTTGTTTTCTTTGTGAAATTAAGGAAACGAGAAGGCAGTTATTATACACCTCATCCTTGGGACGACTGAAGAGCTCCGAAAAAGCGTCAAGACAGCCATGCTGTGAGAGTACGAACCGATACAGCTACAACTTGATGCTGTTCATGCCTATTTTTCTAAATTTCTATGAGCCGTACAAATACAAACTGAGAAAATTCCCAAGAGCATTCAAACCTAGTTGGGTACAACCATGCTTTTGAAGGAATGTTTTATTTTTTGAGTCCAACATCATCATCCAAATACCTCGACTGTCAACCAATGAAAAACACTTCGAAGGCAAAAACCTGTAAAGACTGAACAAGAACCTTACCTATATTACGGAACGTTGAGCCCCAATCGGGGGCGGGATTGTTCTTTCTATGGCATAGGATTGAAAAAAATCTACAGCTCCGTTAGACAGCAAGACTCCTTGTTATTTATTCACTTATGAAGTAGGGAGTGCAGTAGGTACTAGTATGACGTCTGATCGTGCTAAAGACACAAGATAGATATGTGACCTGTTGAAGGAAATTAGATTCGACATGCTATGGCCATAATCTGTGGAAACAAGAGACAAAACACACCCTCTCCCACCCCACTCCGCGACGCCTGTGTGACGGCTGGTATACTTAGGTAGGCGATAATGCGTCGTCTTAGGAAGAGGTTGGTTTAGGCGCCAGCAGTTGTTTGGTGAGAAGCGGAGCAGAACACAGTGGAGAAAACAGACAACATGCAACGCTGAACCTCCCATGCACATGAACCCAATACGAATGTAAATGAACCCAATACGAATGCAAATGAACACAATGCAAATGCAGGGATTGCATTATTAGCCAGAATCAAAAATTCCTTCCTCCAATCAATCGACAAGAGCGGAGCATGTGTATTTATGTTGATAATTGGCAAAGTATTTTGGTGGAGTTCAACGCAAACCACGGAAATCCTGAAATGTGGAGGACTCCAGAAACGATTTAACCTTAACCAATTACTATCACGCGGCTCACTTCCCCAGAGCTGTGATAATCTATTCAACAAAGTGAAAGCAACTGAGGCAATGCCAGCTCTTGACGACGTCTTCACCGACGTCCCCGAGTATTCTAGGATGCGCACCCTGGAAATTTCATGTACAATGCTCAACTGCTTTGCACGTCCAAATGCGCCACCAATACATTTTTGAGCCCGAAAGAATTTTGGACAGATTCCTTTTTCAGGGCAAAATGTATCGGAGAACAAACAATAATAAGCAGCTGCGCATGTGTAAAGCTTTCCGAAGCAATGGTCACAGTTTACGCAGAAATCGAAGCTGTAGTAGAACAGATATAAGATTTAGAAAATATAAATCAGTTTCTCCACGGTCAAACAATCCGTAATATGTGAAAAAGTTTGAACCTAGGTCGAACCATTTGAGGAGATAACCAGCGTGGACGTAAGAATGACGGATTGTCGATCGACGCTCTATTTTATGGCACACCAAAAGAGAATACGGAGAGCAACCACGTACATATCTACACTTGCCGCATTCCAGAACCCAATGCAATCAAGACTGAGCACATCATACTCAGCTTCGACCCAGGACCCAACATTGTCTCTAAGTACGATGGAACCAATGACAGGTAATATATCTCCACTGTTATCAGTTAATGGCTATTGGTGAGCAGGTTCTTGCGTATTTGACTCGCAGCCTAATGTGCGTCGGCTGCTAGATGGTCATATAGTGGTCCCATGGGAGGCTTGAAATTGGGATATCAGCCTAGGTGTGGACATCCTCTAGAAAACAGGAAGACGTACGGGAATATTTCTCTCCCTATTTCGTGAGCAGGAAGGAATTGATGATTATACCAGGCAACGGTAAACTGTACACATACCACTTCGTACCACCAGGGAAGAGAGGCGCTACGGGATGGTATGCATGAGAGAGGACCGAACAGAAACTTCGACTGTATGGTGCTCACAAATGACTGGATCTGGATGTTGGTTGCGAGCTAGATCAGCCTCGGCCTTGTCGAAAATGACAGCCAGTTGACGAGGGTCATGAACATTTCTAAAGATTATCAGGGATATCGTCTTTGTGTGGAAAGATGGAATAAAGACTCACCGATTCTTCTCAAATTCAGCCCTTATGATAAGAGCGCGCCTACGCCAAAGTTCGCGGTGAACAGTCCAATTGAGACTATCGGTGAGCATACGCCTGTACAGGGATTTAACATAGCGTCTGTGTGCCCCAGAAAAGGTGGAGGTAGACATTGTGGTGGCGATAACTAAGAGGAAACGAGAAAAGAAAAGGACAGGGGAATTTGAGTCAAAAATCTAGTCACAAGCCGAGGCCAACCCGGAGATGACCGTTTGAAATTTCGCCTTGCTGAGCTAATCTACTCACGGGAATTGGAAAAAAATCATTTTGTCGCTTTGGCCTTTACAAAGGCGACTTTTATCGCAGCGTGCTGCATTAAGCTGCAAACCTCCTCATTACCAGGAGGTAGAATGGACCCACATTCCCGCTTTTCGCATTTTGACAACAAGAGGAATCCTAAAGCTGGGCCTCAATCTTTATCTCAAAAACCACGCTTCATGGACAACCCAATCAAGCCTAATCTCGAAGATTTCGCGTCTGCGAAGCAACAGAACCGTAAGAGTTCTGCTGCTCGCGAAAGTAGCGCATCGATATTGGTACGCCGGCCATTTGTGACCAATTCGCGAGTAAAGCAGGACGAGAAATCACGCAAGGACATGTACTTGGCGTTTGTGAATAATGCATTGCAGGAAAAGGCAAACGTGAGTTCCTCAAACCACCAATCATCGCCATGGCTTGATGCATCTATCTGAATTCAGGGAATTCCTGAGCCTTTCGAAGAACTCATCAGCCAGTTCAATCCGAAACGTTCTCCGAACGAATTACCGTTTCCGCAACCAGCTCAATTGCGTCTCTGGATTTTGGCGTTATCACATGTGGTCTCAAGACTCGAGCGAACGCACTCATCACTTGTCGAAGCGATCATAAACATGCCTTGGGTTACCATGGATAATGCCACCGTCAGATCGTACACAGTTTTCATCGGAATGTTGATTTCCGCTCGACCAGAGTACCTATCGCTCGTCCTTGCAAAGCTGTCGTTAGGTTTTACGTATCGTATGTCATTTTTCTCCTGAATGAATACTTCGTATAATATTTTTTAACACCACAGAAGCTGGCTTCCAGGCCTTGTCTGCATCACCACCCGAACCATCGTCAAGTCCTGTGACACGCAGACTAGTCTATGACCGTCAGCATTACCTTCTTAGACATCTACTGTCACTGATTCCGACCCTTCCCTCAACTCTCATGCCTCTCTTGTCGCGAAATTTTCCCCATAAGCGGCAAAACCAAACCGCTCAAACGACCTACATCCGAAATCTCCTTCACATCTCGGAGTACTGTCCAGAACTCGCTGATCAGATCCTCGGGGTTATCGTAGACAGAGCAATTCAAATAGATGTACAGTCTCAACTCCTTTGATCATTGGCTGTACTCTAACGTTCATGACTAGGTTGAGATACAGATAGAAATAGACGAAATCGAAGAAGAGGTGGACCAAGAGCAAGAAGGAATCTTCGAGCTTGATCCTTTTGACGTTCTCGTGGGTCAAGAAGGTGACGAGGAAAATTCCGAGGAAGATTCTTCAGATGATGAATTCGAGACTTTCAGCGATATCTCATCTGAAGGTGGCGATATGGATGATGACGGTGGTTTGGCTGGACGAATTGATCATCTGCCTCCAAACCATGAGCACCTTCGCGAAATGGTGAAGAAACTGGATTCCATACTATCCCTTGTTTTCGAACATTATGAGGCTTACGCATCCATAGTCAGAAAGTCTAACGAGGAAGACACACCTTCACCGTCTTCATCCTTACCCGAGTTACTGCCATTACCGCCTATTTCTACTGCGGTCAACCCGTTCTTTGACGCCTCACGTTCTTCACCCATGATGAATTACTCATCATTCAACCAACCTCCCCCGTCTAATCAAGCTCAGCTGGCTCAATTAAATCAGCTCGCTTCCTCGTCTCGTCCCTCTACCCCAACATCAATCACACCCGGCTCTCCAGCATGGCTATTACCCAACCAACCGCCATTACCTGCACCAACAAGAAAGATGCTCCATACTCGATTCCACGCCCTCCTATCCATATTCGATCGTACAATACTGCGTACATTCAAGTCCAGATACACGCAATTCCTTATCTTCTGGTACACATCCTTAGATCCTGAATTTGCAGATATATTCCAGGGCATGCTCGTCGATCGTGCCCTTTTCCAACCTGCAGATAACGGTGGCAATTCTGCGCAGACGCCAATTGTCACTCGCGCGGCTGCTGCATCGTATATTGGCAGCTTCGTCAGTCGGGCGAAGTTTGTTGACCGAGAAGGAGCGCGACGTGTCGTTGGAGTTTTATGCGAGTTCCTCAAGGCGCACCTCGATAGTGTGGAATCTATTTTGAAAAACTCTACTTCGCTATCCAATAACACGCGCTCATTGAATACCGAGGCGCTGAACGTGACTGGTGATCAAAATACGGTGTTCTATGCGGTGGCGCAAGCATTATTTTTGATCTTTTGTTTCAGGTGGAGAGATTTGTTGGAGGACGATGAAGAACCGGATGATATGGTCTCACTTCGGCTTCAGGGCACCAAAACTGCCGCGGCAGGAAAAAAATGGATGAAGCAATTGGATGTAGTCCAGAGAGTTGTAAACTCCGTACTAAATCCCCTTAAGGTCTGTATCTACTCCCCCCCTCTCAGTGGTTCTTTGCTGATGATTATCCCAAGGTTTGCTCACCTAACGTGGCCAATCAATTCGCTCGTGTAGCGCACGCAACGGACTTCATTTACTGCTACACCATCCTAGAATTCAACCGCCGTTCCGATGCTTCTTCTGGAGATGGGTCTGTCCTACATACGCTCACGCATGGACACCATCTCACCGCCGAACTTAACACGTTCTTCCCCTTCGATCCATACAAACTTCCCAAGTCAGGCGTCTATATTCAGGAGGTCTACCGCGATTGGACTTCCGTGGCTATCGACGAAGAATCTGATGATGACGAAACATCAGATTCAGACGAGGATACAGACCAAGAACCCGCGCATTTTTCGAGTGATTTCGGTATGCCAATATCAATATCTGTGGCGGGAGACGAGGCACACGAAAATACAGATGAAACAGCTCCAGGCCTGGGTGCCTCTTTTGATGCGATGAGCATTAGTCCCGCAAAAGATGGGATGAATGCCGCGGAGCAGGTTCTTGCGTTGGCTTGAGCGTCACTCCATCGGAATTTTCATTTTCTCATTTTATATTGCTATCCATTTCGCATTTGCTTTTTGTTTTAGTTCTGATTACGCTCAACTGTACTATATGTGCACTTTCACAATGTAGTTACCATGTAGATTGGAATGTCGACTTGTGGTTGAATTTATGCCCTTCGTATTTACCTCCCCCTCCGCAATACCATACATTTCAAGTTCGGCTACAACTTGGATATCCGCTTCTTCCTCTTTTGAGTTGCGTACGATTTTGACTAGAACTACGTGGGAATTTTCTTTCTGTGGTTTGGTAGCTAACTCGCTTGGTTCGGAAGGCTTGGAAAACGCAGAAGGTGGAAGGTGTTCTTCCTTGGTCGAGGGAGTTATATTAATTGCCACCGTAAGCTGATCATGACCAAAGGGATGGCAATCAGACGACGAAAACTCTGGCCAGAAACGGATCGAGGTTTTTTATTTAATGTTTCCCTGGTTTCTAATACCAGGCCACAGTTCAACATAGAACATGCAAGATCGACGATGACAATGTTCAGATTTGATATTAACTATGATACGCAAGGGGCTCTAAAGGCAAAAAATTGATAGAGAGGGGGGGAAGAAACAGATACGCTACGGGAAGTGAAATCGGGGTCCATACGTATATGGTCTATGATATGCGTACGCGTGATCTCCACTACTCTACCTAGGTACCAGGTACATGCCTACGATCAGTCGCAGATAAAATAGCAGGATTCTTCACGGTTCCTGTTCCTTGAGTGTTGTTTTTTGGGCTGTTTCCCTGTTTCCCTCCTCAGCCGAGCTCCTGCTCTCATACTATAAGGCTGAGTTTGGTGTATATCAGAAAGTCAATGTGAGAACTATTGAAGTTCGTGTCAGACGACACCTATCGAGGGGTACAGCAGCGCATATCACAATGTATGCCAGATCGAAATCAGATCAAGTTATCAAAGAGATGGAAGGATGGAAGATGGACGGGAGGAAACTTGTATAGACACCGAATAGACGTAAAGCCGTCATGTCGGCACAGTGAGTAGGGCTGCCGAGACTGCCGGTGTCACCATCGGCAAGCCGGCTAAGGACTCCGCCGACTGATCTTGAATATGACCACCGACTCTCACGCTAAGTTACCTTTTCCTCGCTTTAGTAAATTTGGGGGAACCCAGATTCCGTCAGAATTCAGGATTACGTTCTACTCCAGACCCTCACTTCTCGACCACCACGTCTAACACACATCTCGCACACACCGCGTAACACAGCTATTTGTACGCCAGCTGTTTTTCCCCCTCATTGTCGCTTTCTTGCTTTCTTGCTTTCGTCGCTCTCGTGATTTTGTTTCTCTCGGACGCCTTTCTCTCTTGCTAGGTTACATATTGGAATTATCTAGGTGATATATAGCTGAAAATGATGGAACGTATAAGAAGAAGAAGAGGTCACAGTCAGACTTTGAGGCATAGTGGAGGAGCGGAAACCTGGTTATGGGACGATGTTAGGAACAACCAAGATCAAAATCGACAATCGTTAAATTTTACGCTACCTAAATACATCAAACGGCCTTCCCTTTCCTCCCTTTCCTCTATGTCGCTGAAGCCTTCGAGCCGTAACCGCAAGCAAGTCGTGGGTGGTTGGCAATTCGACGCATTGGACGAAACGAGGCCTGGGAGAGTAATGCCAGAATTACCCAGAGAACTTTGGATAGAGATTCTGGCGATGGCAAGTTGTCAGTACTTGGGTAAGGCCTCAGGATTGGTTGGAAGTGGAGGCAAGTATGACTACCCGCCGAGAACAGCCAACGGTCGACTCGGAGCTAAATCGGACATCCTCTCTTTCTCCCTCGTTTCAAAAGCGTGGAATACCTATTCCCAACCCGCACTTTATCACACAATCCATATCCGAAAAAGTTCTCAGGCGAAAGCTCTGGCTTGGACGTTATTGAGTCAGATCTGCGGTGGGCCGCCACCTGCACAGACATTGCCTATTCCCTCTTATTCTCCACAGCCGATATCATATTCTGCTTCTTGTTCGAGTGTCGGTTCGTCGTCGGTAATACCAAGCACCGGACTTGAAACCAGTGGAAGGCATATCCGATACTTGACGCTTTCCACACTCTCCTACGACCGGTGTGATCCTTCTGACGTCCTTGTTATCTTGTCGTCGTCGCCACATCTAGTAGGCTTTTGTGATGAGGGAGGTATCAGATGTCCATTATTGGACGACTGCTGTGATTGGAAAGCGACCCCCGAAAAGTTGTTAGGTGTTTTAGTGGCTGCTTCGGCGCAAGATAAGGAGAAGGGAAGGAAGAGCCGAAGAGAAAGTAAACGGTATAGTAACGGTAAGCCGGCTTTTCTAGTTTATGTATTGTCTCGGTGCAACAATACTGAGATTTTCCCTTTTAGGCACTATTTCCGCTCCTTACTCCTCAAACACTGCCCGATTAGAATGTCTAACATGGACTTGTTATCCACATTTACCGCTCCCTCTACCTATTCCATTCTCCCCTTGCGGTGAATTTACCGGCTTCAACTCACTCCGCTCCCTTCACCTTTACCTCCCATATAACGACGGGATGGAGTCTTTTTCTTTTCCCGAATACCCGGAGCTAGACGGGAGTATCAATACTAAATATCAACCTCCTCTACATCTTCCCTCACTAACCAAGCTTACTTTGACACTATCCGATCCGATTTTATCCAAGTCACATAAAGGGTCTACGGGTTACACGTACTCGACGCCACCCAACACCCTCTTGACCCTCCTTGCCGAATGGGTTCTACCCTCATTAAGGATCCTGACAATGAACACGCCTTACACGTTGCATCATTCTAGTGATGGGAGAGGTCAAAATCCCCAGCAGCATCATGACGCGAATGATGCTGCTGATGAAAGACTAGGCTACAAACTTGGAGATGGGTTTTGGCGATTCTTCAAATCTCATGGCAGTAGAATTGTCGTGCTGGAGTTCGGCAGGATCAGCGCTGGGTCGCAAATTTCCCCTCGCCAAACTCTCAGTCCACTCAGCCGTCTTGCCTCACGTGCTTCTCACATTGCGAGAGAAGGATATGCTGAAGGCAGTGAAGCACCTGGTTATGGATACGAATATTCATACATCCGAGACGTACAGGAAATGGAAGACCGTTGGATCGAAGCTCAGGTGCGAGATGCGAATCGGGAACAGGTCGAAGCTGAAAGGCTAGCTGAGGTCGAAAGGGAGAGGGAGGAATTTGAGTCTTGGACAAAACCTTTTCCTCCGAGTGCAGGGGCTGCAGCCGCCTCATCACCAATGTCCTCATCCTTTTCATCCATGTCTGCATCTTCTCAAAACCTTGCCTCCCTCACCCCCAACCTCAGAACATTCATCTGTTCTGCCTCCCTATCCTCTTCTCATGATCAGGATCTCACCTTCAATGGCCTCGATGCCTTCGACGACGCCGCTGATGCTTTTGATGCTTTAGAGTGGGACTGGACTCACCCTGATTGGGTCGCTCCTCATCCTTTGTTACCTAGTCATCCAAATGTGCGGATGATTGGCATCCGTGAAATCGGAGAGAGGGTTAGAGCTGATTGGGATGAGCGAGAAGAGGGAGTTATTTGGGATCAGTCTGAATTGGGATCTGAAAATGGTATGGGTGATCACAACAACCCTTTCTTTATGCTTTATCTCCAGTTATCTTCTCTGTTGCTTCCTTCTGTGGATGATGCCGAACATCCTGATGAGGTACCAGGATCATCAATCAGACGAGAAAGACAGAAGGTCCCTTTTCCCTCATTGAAATATATCAGGGATTTGGACCCGGACAGTGATCTCTTACGACGCGGTGTGCGTCATTTGGAGAGAACATCGATACCCTCTGTGATGGGACCCATGCAGGGAGCTTGTTCTCCTGTAATGTCCCAGACTCATGACCGAAGATGGTCATGGCGTCGTCCTTCACTCCCTTCACTTCATTCGTTCCTACCCTCGCCATCATATACATCACAATTTTCGAACATTATATCTGCTCGGAACTCCTCCCGACCACCACATATCAGTCTCTATTCTGTACAAACCCAAACTAGGTCGAGGCCGCAAAATGCCTCAGATGCCTCCCACAGTGCCCTGTTGACTCTCTGGTCCCGCGTCTTATTCGCCACCCGAGGAGGCGAAGTTTGGTTAGAAGACTGGCGCGGGTGGAATTTGACGAAGAACAATCTGGAGAGGTGGAAAAGGTGTTAGAATAAAATGAAGAGAAGCATAAGAGGGTTGGGATCTACATAGGGGGATTTGTCCACAAGGAAATTATGAAGGATCACACACTGTTTCTGAATTTATGCTGCTTGATATAATGCTTGATGTGTAACTTGATATTATGTATCTATCGTTTTGAGCGTATCAGAGCGTATCTGCATTGATAAGCGAAAGAAAGAACGATTTAGCGTAATAAGCTCAGTGCCGACCTTTCTCTTTAATTTCGCGGATGACCCCAGACTACTCCCAGATACACTCCCATCTTCAACGCTGGTTCGGTGTGTCAATTTATTTAGTGCACCCACTCATGACCTCCTCGCTGATTTTAACGTCCCTTTTGGCACACCGTGACACAGTTGTGGATCTTGACTTTCAAAGATTTGCAGTACGTCAAAGAAAGATTATGTTTCCTCATTTTTTGATCATTTCGCTGCCACCTCAGAAAAGATGTTACTCCTACGATCGCTCACGTCTCTCGTCACCCTGTCCATTGGCCTTTGCTCTTTTCACAGCGTAGTGTCCGCCACTCCGGTGAATGGTAGACCCTTGCAAAAAGTGAACTGTACGGATTCGTTCTTTTAATCCTACTATTTTACTTCTATAAATTATATAGTGGTACCCCCGCTGCCGTCACCCAGTACAGAAAACCCGTGTACGCATATTTGAGCCCCTCGTTCTTTCGCGAATTGTGCTTATATGAAAAGATCTGTAGTAATGCCCAAGCTCTCTATCCTGGCGCACCTTGATCATTCTTCAATATGGGCGATATGTATCGGTCGAGGTTGTTTTCAAGCCCAACCTAGTTCGCGCTCGTCACCGACCATCGAGTCCATAATTGGTCCAGACGAATATCAAAACAGGAAAAAAAGCAAACTTTGGGTTATTGGAACGCTGAAATTCTCTGATCACAAGTCGATGGAGATGATCGTGGATGAAATGGAAACTCTCCAGATTCCCGATGGGCCGGGGAGGGTCGACGTGAGATATATCAATCGTGCATATTCGTGGTTGGTGAATGAAAAGAAGGTACTTGTTGTCACTGAAGAGAGTTCTCGATCCTGGGGCAGTTGGAGTACATCGGAATCATCCATGAAGTGGTGAACACGCAAATTCTGCTTAATGGTTAATCGTGTATGAGAGTGAATACGTAGTGCGTATAAGCAATCTCCATCTCAACCCCTTGTGCAACAAAGCGACATCTCTTACAAGAGCCTGAGTGACTGAAAGTCTCTAAATGCATCGTACCCCTACTTCCTTCTATACCTCCCATCCTCTCTCGCCGCCTCCATCTCAATCATCTCCTTCTTCTTCCTTTGCATTTCTCTCGCGCTTTCATTGATCTCCTCCGCCCTCTGCGTATCCGGGAACCCAATGTCCCAATATGCCGGCGGCGTATTCCCTCGTGCCCATACAGCTCTATGTCGGGATATGTTCTGTTTATGGGCAGCTATTCCAGGAGCAGAGGTCGAAGGCGTACTTCTGATTTGCTGGTTTCTTTTTGATGATTGATTGCGTTTACTGGGTGAAGGAGAGTCGAGGTCGCCGAAGATGTGATCATCGGCTTCACTGTTATTACTTCCCTTTTTCATGGTCCCGACTCGGTGGTGAGGACAGCGTTTTGATAAGGGATCAGGATTATGACTGTCTTTGACTGGAGACTTCCATAAAGGAGGTTGTAAACGTGGAGGCATGGGACCTACGGCTTCATAGTACTATATAAAAGGACATCAATGCGCGACTTGAGGGAATAACTTTCAAGATATACCTCTCGACAGTCGTCGCAATCCTCACCAAGAAGCCGTTTCCGTTTCTCCCTCCCTCTCACGACCTCGTCATATTGGTATTCAAGCCCCGCATTCTGGGCGGGGTTGATCTCGTACATGCCATTGATTGCGGTGTCTTCCTCTCTACTCGAGAGCAAACAGATTAGCAACAAACGAAAAAATTCCCATTCAAACTCACCCTCGGATCTCGTTCTTACCGTACCTCCCCCGACCCTTATACATCAGATAGTCGTCCAGAGGGCCCTTTGGAGTAGATTTCGAAGTAGAAGCGACAACATTCACTTCCCCCGTCCTTGCTTTGGCTCTAGCCAGCCCCGATGTTGTTCGATCTCCTGCGCTCTTCCGTCTTTCTGAATGTGAAGGCTGCAGCTTGTTGTCAACAGTAGTAGTATTCTCATTCTCCTTGTAGTTGTCATAATCCCTTTCCTCTTTTCCCTTAGTAGTTCGACTCCGACTCCGACTCTTATTTCGGCTCACTAAGGCATGTCGCATGGTAGAAGGACTGGAGTTAGCATGTTCGTTCTCCTCAAAGGTTAGGGCACTAGGAGCACTTTTCCTTCGGAAACGGTCATCATCTTTTCCAGCGGCGTTGTCACTGCCACTCGGTATCCGACGTCCTGCAGTCGACTTGCGGTATTTAGTGGGAGGAAGCTCAGATCCCTGTTCATCAAGCCTGTCTTCGTTTTCCAGTTCCGGCAATATGGGTGAGATTGCTCGGCGGATCCTTGACACGGGCGTGGGGGACAGCGGGGACAGCGGGGACCTTCGAGCGGGAGGGGAGCTATCGGCGTGGCTAGAGCTGCTAGAGGCTTTCGCATTGGCATTTCTACGGATAGATGCAAGCATCGGAGAACGAATTCGTTGCGGCCGATGGGGTTGTGGAATATACGCGTTCAAGTTGGTGGTGGGTTGATCAGAGCTGGCTACTATTCGTGGTGTCGGACAAGAATAGGTGGCAGAACCAGGATGCGCAATTGGTTTCAGTGGTCCAGCTCGGACATTAGAGGGATTTGTTTGAGGTAAGCATCGTAATGGAGTCCGAGAGCGATCAGTGACGGGGGCGGTAATGATCGCATGTGGCGGAAACTGAGACCACCGAACTATGAAGTCAGTAATTTCGTTAATATATATTGACACGGTAAAGGATGTAAAGATATTGAAGGCTTGATATCAAGAGGCGAAAAACACGTACGGGACTGTGATTCATCTTCAGTCTCAGAATCAGGAGCAAGTATTGCTGACGCATGTGGAGCAGAATTTGCAGTCGATGGTTGAGGAGCTGCAAAGAACAGGGTGTAAGCTTTTGGTAACAATTATCAGCATGAGACATACGTAGAGTTTCTTCATTAGTTGGCGCAGTGACTAATGAAGTACCAACTGATTCTTGGCCATTGCCGTCAACGGTTGCACCGATTATTGGGAGATCTGACGTAGGCAACCGAGATAAGTAAATACACACGATGAATGGATTAGATAAAGAGAATCACCAAGTCCGGTGTGACCCTCCACAGAAGGAGAGTCAGGTGTACTCTTGATCGCATAAGACCTGTATATTGTTATAGCAAGTAGGTACAAAGTTGTGAGAAGGAGGAGGGAACTTGCCTAATCAGACGTCGAGCCGGAATCACTGTCGTATTTGGATCGAATAATGGTGATGGTGACAAATTATCATGATTGAGCGGTTTGTTGGCCTTTGAAGAAGGGCTGAAGGGCGTGAGAGAGGGGAGTTTCGCTGTGTTCGTGTTCTCAGTTCGGATGATTGAAGCGGGAGTTGGGACCATGCGAGACTCATTCGAATCTTGTTCAGCTAGATCGAATACTGCCAATAAAGTATTGACGAAAAGTGTACTGGAAAGTGAACGAAAAAACTCACGCATCTGATCTTCCAAACTGTCTAGTTGTGAGAGCTTATACTTCTTTCCCTTCACAATCCTGAAAAGTTCTTTTGCTCTATCCCCTCTATCCACTCTGTCAAGCCCAACCTCCTTCTCGTACTGTTTGAACTGCTCCAATTCAGCGACACATAGGATCCAGCGCTTGAAATGTGTCCATTTGTCGTAATCTTTTCTCCGACGCTCCTCAGCCGCGCAATTAGCTTTGATGGTGGCATCAAACCTTTCTTGGAGATTCTGGTTTTCTTTGCAGAGTTGACGATAGGCGGAGGCGCTGTCAGACGTTGAGATCACTCTTGAAGGGCGAGATTCTCGAGTCATACCTCTCATCTTTTGCCTTTCTCAGCGTCGTGTATTCCTCCTCAAGCTCTCTTTCTCTGTTCTCCATCTTCACAATCAGAATCTTTGCTTGCTTCAGCTCGTCCTCGAGATTTCCAATTGTCTTCAAACAGTCTCTATATTTCATTTGCCTGTTTGCTGAGTTTCCAGCATCAACATGCACCTGCGCTTCCATGAGATCACTAAAGCCAAGGCTCTGGACCAAACGATTCGACCGATTCTTTAAGTCAAATAGTGAAGCTCGTAGCCCCGCATTAGCATGATTCGCTTTATCGAGCATTACTTTGAAGGAGCGAGTGTCTTCATCGTGCTTGCGCTGTACAGCCTTGTCTCGCTCGCGAAAGGTAGCGCTGGAGAAAGCGTTGGGTGTTCCATCTTCCATCGGATGATGGAGGTGAATAACAAATGGGCAAATGGGAGGCAAACTACTTATGTTATCCGGCCGGGGCAGCTTAGCACGTGCTGCGCGCTCATTGCTCACCACAGCTATCAACTTGTATCGACTTGCCGACGATCGACGCGTCGTTTCTCTACCACTTCTCTACCAATGTACCCTGGACTCCAGAGATCAATCAACCTCTAATAAATGATAGTCGGACAAGTACAACATCTCGAGATTGCAAACATGACACTTTGTGCGGTGAACAGAGTCGTCGCAATTCGCTACCCTAATTTTCAAACGTTACTCCGAGCCGCCCTTATGAATGATCCTGGTTTCGAGAACTCAAAGTACGGAACTGCATGCAAAGCTATTGAAGCTAACCCGTTCGGACGAAAATCTCAAGCCTAGAAGGAGCTGTAACTTCGGGTATACAGAATTGTCCTTGTAACATCTGTTCAAGGATTTTTGCGACAGTCAACATCTAAGAACTCTAGGCATTTCTGGCTTCGCACCGCAATGCTGGAAGATTCAATCTATGGGCCTGGGAGTAAATTCAATCCTTGGAGCGGGTCACCATGCAAAGGATTCACTGGGGAGCAGATAATGCAGTTTGAAGGCGCATGAAATGTCTTCGAATCTGTCGCTGAAATCAAGATGCTCATAGAGCTTCGAGATCGGGTTGGAACACTGGTAGTTAAACAGGCTCGAACTGACATTATCGAAGCGACCTTCTTGCAGTAATGAATATCTTTAATCTCAGAGCCACTATTCTACGTGCCGTCCATTGTCCAAGTTGGGTCCTGCGTAACTCCAACTTCGTCGTAAGAATTGTTTCTACATACAAAAATTATCGCTGTTCAGCATGGCAGAACATGAATCATCGGAGAGATCCTCTATAGATTCGTAAAATGTGCTGAAACATCATATCACGATATAATTCTGAATGCCGGACACTTGCTCGGACCGTGCAGGGACCGTGACTCCGTCCTCCTTTGGTCACTAACCGTCATGAGAGGTCCCCTTCCTTTCCTCCTTGTTGTTCCCTTCGATACTTCGCTCTTCGAACAGGATTCCTGCCTTTCTGGTAAATTTCTAGGGAACTATAGAGATGGGTCCAATATCAATAGTGTTTTGATTACCAATGAGGAGTGTATATCTTCGTGGACTTCTCAAACCCAGCCTCTATCCGCTGCCTTTGCACCCGCAGCGCAGGGCTTCAGACAACTTGTTTGGATAGAGGAAGAGGCTGTAGATCCTTCCTTGAAGACTGTGATAGCTGAAGATGAATTCAAACAATTCCTCGAACGCTTATCTTCGCCTCCTGCGATGCCGTTCGAGCAAACTTTCCTTGAATCCGAGCAGAATATCTTCATAGGAACTTACCAGGATGCCAGCTACGAAATCTTCTATCAAACCCCAACAGCCGCTCTACTGTCCGTGAACTCCCGAGTTGCTATCCACCTAGATGCAGTCTTGCCTCGATACTGGAAATCCACACCGGTCCCATCTTTTCCAGTTGAATATATTCCCGTTCCCCCGTCGTCTGTTGATCCGGTCAAGTCCGTCCTTGCTAATCTGGCTTACGACTCGACTGTTGCTACTCTCGTCGATGGCATCTCGATCCCACAAATGCGAAATGACATTCGATTCCTCACCGGCGAAGATGGCCAGTCTGGCATTGTATCACGTCATTCGTTTTCCCAGGGCGCCAGAGTAGCTGCTGCATGGCTCAAACAACGATTCGAGGAAACCGGAGCTACATGCCAACTTATGCCATTCATGCAAGGTTTCGCTCCTAACGTTATCTGGCAAGTTTTGTGTCCAGCTTAAGCAACCCACTTCTGATGCGTCTTTTGATTTTAGCCGTTATGAATCCGTCGTGAACACTACTGGAACTGTTATCATTAGTGGGCATTATGATAGCCGTGGTTCGTTTGGTAGTACTCGGATGCCAGGAGGAGATGATGATGGCTCAGGTGTGTTATCAGCATGAACGTTATCGTTTGTGCGTCTGATTTTGCTCATGAATATAGGAACAACTGCTGTCCTCAGCATTGCTCGCGCGATAGCACGCAATGGAGTAAAATTCCATCAAAATGTCGAGCTTGTTGCATTTGCTGGCGAAGAACAAGGTCTCTATGGCTCTAGAGCATATGCTCGTGCGTTCTTAGCTCCTTTTGAATATCGTATTTCATCAACGAACCGTCATAGGCGAACTTCGAAGTCTAGATGCGAACATTACACTTATGATTCAAGCGGACATGCTTGCGTATCGCAAGCCAGGTGAACCTATGCAGCTTGGTCTCCCAAAGTCGTACGTTCACAGTATCTATAAAACTATAGCTATTTGTAACGCGTTCTCGTCAGAATTGGAACCTCAGAAGTTGCGCAGCTCGTCGCGAACATATCATCCTTGTACAGTCCAGAGCTCGAAGTTGGCTTCACATCAGCATGTTGCAGTGATCATCAAGTATAGAAACTGTTCCGGCTGGATTACCTGTCTCCCATCTGACCTTTGCCTTATCATCTAGTCGTTCTTCGAACAAGGATATGCATCGACTCAAGTTTTCGAGAGAGCGGGACCCAGTGAGCACCGCCTCGACTTTTTTTGCCGGCAAGCATTGACGAATATACTTCTTAGTCGCAGATCCCATGTATCATAATAGTGGTGATTTGAGTGATCGTGAAGGTTATGATTTCGACCAGTTGAAAGCCATAGCAAAGGTCCAGGTACGCTTCGCATTTCATCTTTTAAATCAATGCATCCTGAGTAGTGGCTTACAGTTTGCCACTATACTTCATTATGCTGGTTTTGAACTGCACAAGTAAATCTTATAACTAGAGTAATTACTCGTCACCTATAATAATTCGCAAGTCTACGAATATTTGTCAACGTTCTACGCTGATATAAATATCATGGAAGATAAACATTTGTGTTTAGCAGTCATCAAGGCCAACAGCTGCGCGAATGGCGTCAAGAAGAATATCATTGAAATCTCCCCCCGCTTCCCACATAGCGAAACCAGCCAGACCGTATTCTGCAATGAAGTTTCCCTTGGCTGTAAACGATTCTGCGTTGTCGAAAGATATCATCAATTCAGCGTCTTCGACGTAAAGGTAAGGCTGGAAAGTAATATCAGCGATCCACGGGTCAAACCCCCTTGTATCTACGGCTACGTACCGTTTGACTGCATTCATCAAATCTATGAGGAAATTCAGAAGTAAAGTTTCCTTCGGTATCAAGATATCCATTCTCAATCAAGCTCCAAAAATCGTACACTCCTAGAAAGGTTGATCAAGATGGTTTTACATAAAACGACCACCACAATCCTGCGTACCTCCATTGTTTTCCAAGAGACCACATGCATCAGGCTCAGTAGCACCAGTATCCCAGGAATCACCGAGAGGAAATGCGGTAGCATTGAAAGGGGGATAAGCAGCAAGTTCTGTCGATGAGACAAAGGCGGAAGTTTGGTTGACACTGAATGAGTGACCGTAGCTCGGAACACCAAGGACAATCTTTTCCACTGGCATACCAGCAGTGTACCATGCAGCGACGGCAGAGACGGCGGACCCTTGTTGATTGGGTTTTGCAGCACATGAATCATTCAATGGTGCATTGGGTCCGACACCGGTACTCCAGGATCCCCACACGTCGTAATTCATGACGGTGACGAAATCGAAGACATCAGCGAAGGCAGACACGTTTGTTAACGCATTCCCTTTCGAGTCAAAGAAAGGTGTAATAGCTGTGGCGGCAGAGAGCGTAAGGTTGGCACCAACGGGGTCAGTTCGAAGCTCTTGAAGAAAAGCTAGGAAGTTATCTGTGTCGTTTGCATTCACGATATTACAACCTATGCCCTGCTTGTTGGGATACTCCCAGCTATCAAAAAAGGTGAGACCAACGTTACATGCAGTCAGCCATCACGCTTACTCGAAGTTGATACCATCCAATGAATAGTTCGTGGCGAAATCGGTTATTGCTTTGACGAACTGTGTGCGATTCTCTGCAGAGCCCATTGCAGTGGAAAAGTAGATTGATCCTCCCCAGCCTCCCACCGAAACATGGGCGTTGACACCCTAACATCGAAATAAAAGAAATATAGAATTAGTAGGTGGTGATCTTACATTGGCATGTGCCTGATGAACAAAAGATGGGAGGGCATCGCCATTGGAACCATTCAGCGTGAGCACCTGAGTGTCTGCAGTGGGCAATCTTGAATCGCTTTCAACTTCCATTCTATAGACTGGTAAAAAAAGTGCACTCACGCAAACGAAAAGAACACGTCCGTGTACTTCGACCAACTGATGTTGTTTAAATCGAAGGTCGGTGTAGCATTGGCAGTATGCCAGCCCGCTAGCCATGCGGAGGATATTATCTTGGTCTCTGTCTCAGAGATGGACGTTATTTGACCATGTGCATACAAGGTCGTAAGCGAAAGCAGGGAAAGAGCTGCAGAGAAGGGAGATATCATGGTGGGAGCTCAAGCGAGAACAGTAGGAGAGCAGTCGACAGGCGTTGCTCTTATACGGGGAAACGATCATGATTCGAAAACTTTGAACTGCCTCGTGCATATGGTGCAGTTCAATGCCTTGTCCTCAACTGACAACGGAGACAAAAATGGAACTTGAAAAAGCGCCGCGGCACAAAATTTGATCCGCTCAGGAGCCAGATCACCGAGCACCGATCAGCAAAACAATTCGCGATCGTTGATCGTTCAAAATCAAAATCATTGCGGAAGACTCGGGCGAAGACTAAAACTCAGAACTGGACGAAAATAAGATGTACAAACACAGGACGGAGGACTTATGTACTAGTACACTGAGTGGTATATGAGTTGAAGGGAGTACAAGTAAATTAAGGATCCGAATCAGACTATCTCGTTCTCCACGTGCATCACTTCTACCTGCCCACCTTTCTCGACCACTGCAATCTTTTTCTTGGCTAGAGAAGCTTTGACGGGATTGGGACTCTGAGAGGATTCTATGTTTAGTGGAGATCAGATGTCGAGAAAACACACAAACTTCGAATATCTCGTTTAGTTCCTCACTGTAGAGGGATCATGGATTCGTCAATATTTTTACCCCATGAAGATAAACTGTAAAAATGCGTACAGGGTTCTCCCCCTAGTCTCCACTGCGAAGAACCAGATCATCGTACACTCAAAAATATCCCAGCAGACATAGACAATGTAATACTATTTTGAGTCAACATGCTGACAACATGGGTCAAGTGAAACCCACACCTTCCAACCAATGTTTTGCAGTGCGATGGGTCCTGCGTAATTTCCGACGAGACCTGCACAGCTAACCGCTAACGAATACCTAATGATATTCAGAATTGTGGACAGACTCCAAAGGTCACCGTCTTACATTGCCATTCCTTTGGCGCTACACATTTACAATCACACATCAGTGCCCGTTCGAATCACCCAATTTCACAACTACGCACCGAGTGTTATTTGCCAGGCATTCCGTTGGTACCAGGGCTTGAAGGGGTGTGTATGCGAAGCTGAAAACAAATCCGAATAGGACTTGGGTAAAATGAGAAATCGATCATAGTCATTATGAGAAATTTCTCACAAATGAACGCAATGGCGGCATTTGCACCGTCAGGATTGGCGCTATTTTGTCCAAACAAGGCCGTACAAACTGAAAAGGCGGTCACGGATCATCTACGTAACGGTTTATACAAACAATATACCGGTTACGATAATCAAAGTGGATGCGCTAGCGAATGTGCCCCAGAACCACATAGTTCGTCTTCCAACTTTTACGAACATCAGCGTCAAATTCAGAGTCAAACGCATTTTAACTCACGTGTATCACAGAGGGATGTACCAATAGATGCTCCGATGGCAGAAACAATAGTGTTGACAAAGTTCAAGACCAGCCGACGCTCCTGAGATTCCACCCCAGCATTTTTGAAAAGAACAGTCAAGAAATAGCTGTCAATAGTGAGCATTTGAAGCCAAGTGAAACAGTAATTGATCCCGCTCACCCAAGACCATTTCCAGACCATTGTCCGAAGAAGCCCATCATGAGCATCATGAGTGTCCGGTACCGAGCATTTGAAGTGTTAACAAGCTCGGAGTAGTCCCACCTAGTACGGGAGAGGATTAAGTATATCAAGTTTCATTCAGAAGCTAATTCCTACCATCGCTTATCTGAAGCATCGAGTTTGATTGATTCTTCGAACTCTTTAAGCTCTAACTGTACTAATGGAGCATTCACGTCCCCATTTCCGTGATATTTTGCAAGGACCTCGGCAGCCTTGTCGACTTTTCCTGCGGAAACATACTAGAACAATCGTAAATTTGGATGTTGGGTAATCTCAGCCATACAAAACGCACTTACCCATCGCGGAGACTTGTATACCATGTTAAGATATTCATGTGAATAAGCGTAGGGAGTCAGGATACTCACTTCAGGTAGAAACCACACAAAAGAGACCAGAATGCCTGCAGGCACAATTTGAATCGCGAGGGGAGCCCTCCAAGATGTAGTGGTACTCAAACGAGCAGTAGCAATAGAAATTCCGGTACAGAGCATAGATCCCGCATAATAAAACGCTTTATTTTCCTCGCATATAGAGGTGTCCAACGAAAATTAGACAGGAAACTCACTATTGAATCTGCGGGACAGTATTAAATGTCAGCAAGGTATTTGTGATCAAGAAGGAAATTCATCTTACAGTCCGGTCAATCGTCCTCTCCACTACAATCATGTCAAACTGGCTATCGATATCAAAATTACAGGATATTTACCTGAGGGGGAGCCATTTCAACAACGTATGAAGGACAGGCAGTCGCGGTGATGGACACACCCAATCCAAGAACAAACCGTCCACCCAGAAGGTATGGTTTATCTAGTGCTGTGGTGATGGTAATAGCGCCTTTGGGATATTGGTTTTAGCATATTTCACTGTGATTCGTGTACAAGAGACCTACCTATTAAAATGATCGTGGCTCCGATAAACTATGAAACAAGCAGTAATCGTTCAGGTTTGTCCCAAAAGGAAATCACAATGAGAGGGTGCGTACCATCCCACCCCGTCGTCCGAATTTACCATCTGTTAGAGGCCCCGCTAGTAGAACACCGACAATACTTCCTGCAACAACGAATCGGTAACAAATCGATTGAAGTGCCACAGAAGAGCATACCTATTTGATACTGACCGGAATAGAAATCTGAATGTAGTGATCCTCGAATTATTCAACGATCGATAACACTTACAATACCAAAGATAAGAGCAGTAGCTAGAAATTTGCAGAGATCGTCAGAGTCAGCAACAAGATCATGATAATAGTATCTGTAAAGGTTCACCTGTCCCGACTCCTCCGCCCGCATCGGCTCCAGAGATTCCGAAATAATTCAAATATTGGCTGATAATAACGTCGGATCAGTGCAAAGTTTCCTCCCCCCAGACTAAGACACATACTTCATGCCATTCACAGCACCCATGACCTTCCAAACGATATCCCGATATCAATTTGGAATCTTTAATGAAAATCAGAGGCGTTCGCACCTGACCGTCAAAACCATTGGACATGCTGCCCATGAATGCGACTACCAAGATAAGATAGAGCTGGATGGACGCTCGGCTGAGTGGATCCAGTTGAGTTGATGTGAGGGCCACCGCAAGGTCAGCATTCTTCACTTCCATAAGCTTTGCGCCCTCCTTCTCGGCAACTACGGTGGGTACGACATGATGATGTTTAGCGTCGTGTTTCTCATCTGAAGATGAGCTAGACGGTCCAGTAGACTCCTTGGCTGAAGACATGATTCGACAAGCTGAGATAAGGTGCGGTGATTGGGAAAATCCAAAAGACAAAGCGATTTTATACTCAGAAGTTAACCATTCGGGTTTCTTGTGCCGGAATCAAACATCTTTGATAGAATTGAAAAGTACGTATGGTAAGGGCAGGTTCTGAATACTGCTCTTTACAGGCATACAAGAGGCGAGATTTCAATGTTCGAGTTGTATTAGATGCATATCGCGGTCATCGAAGGGAATACGCTGCTACGATTTCAGCGAGAAGTATTGAGGTGATGGACAAGCAAACGGAGAGTAGTCGGGGAATCCGTGTAGGCATAGTCTTCTGATCGTTCATTTCGACTTTACAAGGATTTGTGATTAAAAGTGGTGTAGATTTCTGAAAGGTGCGTCTCCGATGTTAATCCGTAAAAATAGGATGGAGGAACACCGGCATGAATCATAATGGTTTCATGAGACTCCGGTGAAGAACACACTCAATATGATTGGCAGCTATATAGATTCGTTGCACATCATACCGCGTCGAGCCACTGGATAGAAGATCGAGCCCTTTCCATATGTAACTAGTGGGAAACATTCAGGCAGTGAGAGATCTTGCAAAGGCCTTTGGTTCATCGACGCGCTCCGGACCGTCCTGTAGGTCCACGAAATAAGGAACAATTCCAATACAAATTGTCAGCTCTAGTCTTCAAGAACTATATCGACACCCTCCGATCGAGCTTTTTCAATGGCCGATTGCTCTTTTGCATTAACAAACGCAAGGAGGGAGTCGAGAATGTCCCGTTGGCCTAAATATTGCCCGGGATAAGTCTGGGGAGTATCTAGAGTAATATTCATTCTCACCTTCGAGGTAATTTCGGAACATCTCTATTACGTCAGGTCGTATCTGTCCCGGATCGAGAGATCTTTTGGATGTTGGAAGTTTCTCGATAACCGAACGAATCATTTCTCCTAGCATAGAAGACGCGTCCAGTTCGTCTTCGTAGTTATATGTAGTATCTTGAGATATCAGTGACAGGACCTCCGTCCAGAGACCTTCTGCCCCGAGACCCTCTTCCCCTCTCGAAGATCGTCCAATCTCCCATTTCTTTGTGTCTGAACCGCCACCTCCAATCTTCAGGATAATCGTGTCATCAGGATTCTCTGCAAGTGAGAAACCATAGCCTAGGATGAGCTCTGAATTGGGTTTAGCACCGTAGTTGTTGAACAGTTCGGAGCCGGCGGGGGTTGGACTATGGAGAATCAGGGAGATGCATGGTTCGGGAGTTTGATTAAGTTCATTGGGATAAGTGACAACCCATGAAACAGGTTGACCTCGAGCGTGATTGAGGGAGTCGATGCCTGGTAGCAGTATCGGTTCGGTGGACGGGGAGGACAATAAAGAAGGATTTTTGGATAAAAGAGTGGATGGAAAGGCTCTTGATGATATGTGAGATGCAGAAGTAAGATATAATTCCCTGAATGCACTGAGAAAACGACCGAGGGATCGAGAAAACGAGATAACTCACCACGTGAACGCGCGCGCCCACGCCTCTTCGACTCCAGCAACAACATTATGGCACTGGTTCCAGTCAGACTTCCATTCCTGTTCTCGTTCTTGTATGGCGCCGTACAGATTTGTACCTTGGAACAATTCCCGCTCCGCCGAGCTCAAGAAGAGGCCTGTTCGTAGTTGGTCGGGAGTAGGCAAGGTTTGGACGTAAGGTCGATGTCGTAAATTCAAGCTGGAAGCAGCTCAATAGGGCGATACGGATCCACAAGCAAAATATGTTACCTTTCTCCGTTCAAGATGTGATGAAAACAGAGATAGGATGCTATACATTGGCGTTCGTTCCAAGATTCCACCGCAGATTGATTTTTCAATATCTGGACTAGAGCCTCCGCTGCGACTTTTCTTGTTATCGCCAAGCTGAAGGGGGTAGTAACTATCGTCGATTCAGCTGCTAACGATGTCTTTGCAATGATAGAAAATCCGGAATTGGCTGCGTTAAAAGAGTAAGTAATTGCTTAATGGATCTTGTGTTACTATTGGGGAACTTTACTTTTACAAAATCCTGTGTTAGGGTCGAAATACCCATTATTTTGAGTGAGCCATACTTTCAAGGCAGTGGCGTTCGGATCTTCAGAGGCCATCATTCTAGCTCATTGAAGTATAGAACAGGAACACCGAGGCGCCCGCACTTCCCGGGTAGCGCTGGCGCTTGCAGCCTGTCAATTGTTCTTCCACGTCGTCCTTGATTATTTTACTGTGTTAGAAACGATGGATCACCCGGTAGAGCTACGGATCCCTGTGGAACCGATAAGCCTCCATGCACAAAGGGATCTTCTAGATGGTCCTAGTCAGGACGCAACGAACGCTTCTAACTCAGAAGAGCGGTTCAGTGTGCTTGAGCTGCCGCCAGTGGACGAGGTGACTTTTTCCTATCGGATCGAAAGCATACAATATCTCATGCAGATAGTAGGGATTCAAGGCCTGGTTGTTTTGTGCCTCAGCATGTGCGTTGGAAACATTCATCTGGGGTTGGAACAACTCGTATGGGATCTTCCAAGGTAATCGTGGATTTGGTACTCACTCATGTTAAACTTGATCTCATGTGGTTTCAACCGACCAAGAATTCTATTCTACACATACGCCTTTTCAAAGCTCTTCGTTAGTATCAATCTCTGCTATCGGAACAGCCTCTCTAGCGATCCAGTACATTGAAATCATTGCAGTAATAGCAGGTGCGTTGGTCGGGTAAAATTTCAGATCAATACACAAAATGTGCTTGTCAGTTTGTCAACGCTATCCCGAAAAAGTGAAGCCGACAATGTGGATTGCGTTACTCATCTGTGTAACAACACTCACAATATCTAGTTTTGCGAGTCAAGTCCGATAATTGATTTGATCTACGCACTTGCCAGAGATCGTTAATGTGATTATCTAGGTATGGCAGTTGATTGTTCTTCAGGGAATCATCTTTGGACTTGCTGCGGGAGTCTTGTATGCTCCGATCATAATGTGGCTCTCTGAGTGGTTTGTTCGAAGAAGAGGACTGGCGGGTGGTATAATATTTGGTGGTGCTGGAGTTGGAGGGTAAGTCTTGAGGGGCATAGTGCCATAGTCTGTGGGTAGACACCGCTCAAACTAGTCTACAGTTTTGTTTTTCCTCTTGCAATTGGTGCTTGCCTCGACAACATTGGTTTCCGTTGGACAATGCGGTATGTATATGCAGCTGGATTGTCTCCTTGCAAAACTAACTTGTGGCTATCTAGAATATGGGCAGTCATCTTAGGACTCTCTTGTAGCCTGGCCCTTTTTGGTTCAAATCCACGTGTACCAGTACAAAGACTCGGGACTAACAGGCCCAAATCGTTGTGGCCAGCAGGAATGACGGAGTTTGTAAAGAACCCTCTCCTTTTATGGATGGTGAGAACCATCTTTGCTCATTATCCCAAGTTCTAAAGCTCTTGATAAGCTAGCAACGAATATTTTTCAAGCTCTTGGGTTTTTCCCTGTTAGCATATTTATTTCTACATACACATCCGCTTTGACAACCGTCACCCTTTCTCCAACTGTTGTGCTTGCATTATTCAATGCATCTTCCGTTGTCTGCTACATATTGTTTGGTCAAATATGCGACTCATATCCATATGCAACTGTCATTCTATGCAGTGGTTTGGGTAGTGCATTGGGTGCATTTTTCCTTTGGGGGTTTGCAACAAATCTTGGACTCGTCTTTGCATTTGCACTTGTTTTTGGAGGTTTGGTCAGTGCTCATCCTTTCTACACGGAGAATTATTCTTGGGTGTACTCAAGTTTGCTGTTATAGAGTGGCGGATTCCCTGGTATATGGCCTGCAGCTGCTACCGAGATTGCTGGTAGCTAAATCCATGTTATTATTACTATTATATGCCTTACTTTTCTTTTGGACCTTTGCTTTCAGGATCGCGTGATGAACATACCAGCCTTGCATTCGGAGCTTTTGGAGTGGCAAAAGGCATAGCCGCCATCGTTGGTCCCATTATTGCGGCATCTTTGCACGACAAGAACAAATATGGTCTTGCAAAATACGGTGCTTATGGTTTTCTGAAGGTGGAAATTTTTGTGGGTATGTGCATCATATATAATCAATGTGACACTTTGAGATGGATTGCTATCTTACTAGGGGTTATGGCTATCACGACAGTTTTCTGTGCCATTGCTGTGGCATTTATATCAAGGGCTAAACATCGAGCATAGAATATAGGAATCAAAAAATTCATCATAGTGAATTTTCATAAATCACTGGTCTGACTCAGAGGCAATTTGGATCAGCTGGGTTTCGGTGAATGTAAGGTCAAGACCGTCCAAATTCGAAGTCTTGTTTCTTCTTTAAATTTGTTTGACGTTCGAATATAATAGGTGATATTCGGTATTGTTTACCATTGTAAATGAAGTACAATGGCTTGGAATATTCAACTATGCCCAGCCTATCTGGTAGTTCCGAATATCCAAACCAAACTCATACGTTGACAATCAATATGATGTGTATATAACTTGAACATTACATTCTACTAGTAACATGCTTTGACATAGCCTGCATATACGCACATATACGCGCACATGCTTGGACATGCCCGCATAATTTGTTGTGCCGGTTCTTTTCAGATGATCTGACTAACACTGAGAAATAAAATGGTCCACTGGCGGTCGAGCAGTCATTAATTAATTGTCAGTTTTCAGACTTAGAATAGGGGGGGCTCTATTTCACTTCCGGAATTCAAGGTAAAGTCAAATCGGAAGGATCGGAATGTTGAATTAGAGAGGTGCTCATGCAGCGCTCATGCCTCAGCTTGAAGTCTGGTGTTCTGTCACCCGTCCCGCCAGTAGACATAATACATAAAGCTAGTACTAGCGCTCATGTAGACTGTAATTCCGGTGTTACATAGGAGAGAAAGATGGAGGGAAGGGGACAGCACTAGCTAGATGCTGGTATGGATTCAATCTGAAGGAATGAACAACTGTGCTACTATACAGTGGTACTACTTATTTCGGCTTTTAAGTAATCAATGACCCCAGGGCGTGTTGCAGTGTGTTGCCTGATGAATAGTGTAAAGCCCTTGCTCCGATGTGATGCTGGATTATTGAAATCAAAAATTGACAAACAGGCATATAAAATTGTGAGCAAAATGACAGGGCCTGCTATCAAGGAGGATGAACCGATTGTCACCCCGGACCCGATGTCAATGTTCCGAGCTCAAGTCACTGAGACCTCACTAACATTATTTTCTACGTCGGATGCACGTCAACCTCATTAAGCCTTCTCGTCCCCAAGACCCCAGCCTATAGGCCATAGTATATATATACTCATATCCTCTCAAGTTCTACATCATCATGGCTCAGTCTCACTTGAATCTACTTGCCTCACAGCTCACAGCTCTCCAAGCATACAACAATGGTGCTCAGTTTGCCATTATTGATGGCCACTCATTGGACGTCCCTTCGGTTGTCGCTGTGTCACGGTGCGTTAACCTATTCAGCCTGAATCCTCCTCTATCCTGTCTAATTCTTTCCAAACAACTCGCTGTATATTCATTACAGCAAAAATCATGTTCCCAAACTTGAAGACTCGGATGCCATCAAAATTCGCGTCGCTGCTGCTGTCGATGTTGTTCAGAATTTGGCACTTGAAGCGCAGTCTCAATATGGCGGTAAAAAAATCCAAATACAGGTGCATGCATCTGTGCTGACTTGTCTTTGTGCAGTTACCACTGGATTTGGTGGAAGTGGTAAGCTGCGCGCGGAATTGTATCTGTTTCTAAATTCATAATATCACTTGGGTGACTAGCAACCACACGAACCAGAAGAACTGTACTTCTACAGGTTTGTGCAAATAACCATGTCCCAAATGTTGTACAAGCTTATATCTATGTTTCGTTCAATGTAGAAAGCTCTCCTAGCCTGTATACAATGTGGTATTCTTCCTGACTTCAGGTCCAAGGGCATGAAGGATTTGACTCCAGAAGATTATTCATTAATGTTGCCTCAAGATTGGGTTCGTGGCACTATGTTTGTGCGATTGAACTCTATTATTCGCGCGCAGTCGGGTACTCGTTGGAACATAATAGAGAGTCTCTATAAGCTTATTCAAGAGAATGTTGCACCTTGTGCCCCCCTTCGCCAAAGTATTAGCGCATCTGGAGATTTGGGTCCTCTAGCATACATCTCGGGTGTACTCACCGGTAACCCAGATGTATTTGCTTGGTACGGGGAAGGGTAAGCGTTGCATCATGATTCTCAAGAAATTCGACTGATACCTCGGACGAGCAGGGAGGACAGGAAAATCTATGACTCCGCTACCTTGTTGAGAAAACTGAATTTAGCGCCAATTGACCTCATTGCCAAAGAAGGTTTGGCCCTTGTGAATGGAACTGCAGCTTCTGCAGCGGTGGCGGCCTTGGCAATTCACGACTGCCATATCCTTGCATTGGCTGCACAGGTTCTTGCTGCCTATGGTAACATTACCAAAGCTCACATTTTCCTTGCTGAAAGTATACCTTCTCTAGCCGTCGAAGCTATCAAGGGATCGCAAGAGCCCTTCCAGCCATTTCTACATGATTTATCTCGCCCACACAAGGGCCAGATTGAGGTCGCAGCTAACATACGACACATTTTGAAGTCTTCAAAGCTTGCCCGCATTCAACACGAAGAATCAGATCCAGAGGGGCAACTCCGTCAAGATACCTACTGCGTTCGGGGTTCGCCACAGTGGATCGGGCCCTTGCTAGAAGATCTGATGCTTGCCCAAGATCAGATCGACATTGAGCTCAACTCGACTACAGGTAATTGAAAGACTTACTTTATATCACATTTAACTGGAAGATCATTCATTCAACATAGACAATCCTGTTGTTGACATTGACTCGAATTATATTCATCATGGTGCTAATTTTATGGCGATGTCGTACGTTCTTCGTTACAACTCGAAGCTTCTAACCCTACATCATTAACGATCTGCTGTGTCTGCAGAATTACATCTGTATGAAACATACCTCATATGAACCTCTCATTAACTAACACATTCCATTCCAGGCTAGCGAGAAGATGCGTCTATCTCTGCACCATATGGGTTAGTCGTTCAATGCATCTCACCGTATACATTAGTCTAAACAAGGCGCGGTAGCAAAACTTACGTATTCACAACTAACAGAGCTGTTGAACAACCATATGAACAAAGGTCTTCCACCAAATTTATCTGTAAATGAGCCAAGCGTGGATTATTGCATGAAGGTAGCAGACGTAGCAGCAGCTTCATACTTGTCTGGTACGTCAAATTATTTGATTTGTGTTTGTTAGTTCAACCTCTGATGACCCAAAAGAGATCGCATACCTTGCAAATCCAGTGAGCACACACGTCATATCCGCAGAAATGCACAATCAGTACGTGTCTCATACCCCCTAGTTCCGACAAAATTCCTCAACCATTTACAAAGGGCTATCAACTCTCTGGCCCTCATTAGTGCACGTTACACTGTGGATACGATAAAACTGGTCAGAATGGTAAAAATCTGGTGCCGACCATGAATCATAGAATCCCACTAACCACTTATCTACTTTAGATCATGTCCACCCATTTGTATTCCCTCGTTCAAGCAACTGATCTTCGAGCAATGGAGTTTAATTTCCGTTCTTTGCTGTTTGAAGCCCTTCGATCGGAAACTATGTCTCAATTCGGCCATATATCCTCTATCGCTGTCGACGACGACGATTTCTTCCAGGGCTTGATTCATCCTCTCGTCGTGCTCTTGAACGCAAGTACATGGGAGGACAGTGGTTACCGGTTCGAAGGTGTATTCCGGAAATTATCCGGATATCTTCAGAAACAGTTGAAGCCGAGAATTCATGCGGACAAAGACATAAATTTATCAGCTATCGAAGAATGGCAAGAGATTATGAGCGGTCGAGCTCGAGAAGCCTTCGTTCTTTCCAGAGATACCTATGTCCCTTCGGCAGGTTCAAAAGGACACGACATGCTAGGGCGTACGAAAGCACTATACAAGTTCGTTCGAGGGGAGCTGGATGTTCAGTTGCATTGGGGAGATCCCGAAAAGGATAAAAGAGAGATTGGGACAGAGATTTCGAAGATCTTCCGGGCATTCGAGAATGACAGTATTGCGCCTATCCTGCTGGATGTAGTAGGCGGACGACTGTGACGTTCAATCTGCGCAGTTGAATACATCAATCGGTAGTAGGTGTTATCTTGACGAGAATATGCAAGTTGTGCGAGGCAGTACCACATTGTATCCAGTCAGCGCTAGCACAAAGGTGTATAACTTTGAAAGAGAGCCAATCAGCAAGAAGAAGGCTTAGATTATAATGAATCTAGAGCCGAATAAGGAGGAAGCATCTGCAGCAACACTGAAAGAAATTAAGAGGCAATATTTTGGAAGAACAGATAGCGAGCAGGCTAGTCGTGACTGTTACAGTCAGAGTACAATGACTTACGTCACTCCTTGCCATCCCTGTTCTCCATGCGCTCTCGATAAACTCTACGTTGCACCATTCTATGGGTATGTTCTAATAATTTCATGTTGAGAATAGACCTCATTTCAAGTAGACTCCGCGGTCTCCAAGCAGCTGGTCGATAAAATCTACGAAAAACGGAAGGCAGCTGCTCTCGAACTCGAAAAGTAACAAGATCATTTTAGGTTTCCATTGACGACTTGGCTTACTTTAATCCTTTTGATAGACAGATTCGGGAATGTCACCAACAAGGAGATGACCGACGTATTTCCCTGATTATCGACCAGCTGGTGGATATGTTCAGCAATCCAAATAACGCTCTGCATGTACGGAACGGTGGCCTTATTGGATTAGCTGGCACCGCTATTGCATTGGGTGTCGATGTCGCGCCTTACATGGACAAATTTGTGTATCCCGTCCTCGACTGCTTCGTGGATCCTGAGAATCGTATCCGATACTTCTCTGCCGAGTGCCTGTACAATATAGCTAAAGTGTCGAAGGGCGAAGTGCTGATATACTTCAACGAAATTTTCGATGCGCTGAGCAAGGTGTGTGGTATCAATTTCAATCGTGTACAAGGGTTGACCCATGTTTCCTCTCTATTCGTAGCTCGCCGCAGATTCCGAGTTGTCTGTAAAGAATGGCGCAGAGCTTCTGGACAGACTTCTAAAGGATATTGTCGCCGAATCTGCTTCAGTCTATATTCCAATCCATGCCGAATCTGAAAAGCCTTACAACGAAAGCCAGGGCGTACTTGTACCGCATCCTGTTGATCCTTATTCCGCCAAGAAAGCATTTTCCTTGGCTCATTTCATTCCTCTGTTGCGCGAACGAATTTATGTCGTCAGCCCTTTTACCAGAAGCTATCTGGTGTCTTGGATCACGGTCTTGGACTCTGTTCCGGAGCTCGAGTTAATCTCGTATCTACCAGAATTTCTGGAAGGACTACTGTAAGTGCCCACTTATCTATCTCAGAATTTGTGCGCATTTAAAGACTTATAGGAAATATCTTTCGGATCCCACAGAAGACGTCCGAGTGGCTACAGAGGTTCTGCTCGCTGACTTTCTTCGTGAAATTCGTGATGTCACCGTGGTTCGCAGGCGCTCAGAAAAACTGGCCAAGTCTACACATACTGTTGGGGACACTGAATCTATCGTTCCTTCGGAAGGCGGACAAACCGAGCATTCAATTACTGATTCGCCTGAACGTGCTGTGTTCCTTGCTGATCACGATGATGCTCAGTATCCGGATTCAGAATACAAGGAAGACCGTGCTTCAGACTTTGATGTACGAGACGCTGGATGTATGTTACAACCGCATTGATGAAATCCATGTGCTTAGTCTTATATAGCTTGGGTCCCTGGACAGGGTGTTAAAATTGACTTTCCTTCCATCGTTGAAATCCTGATCGAGCAGCTGGATGGAGAACGTATGTCATCTGCTTTTCCCCTTGCTAACCCACGTTGATACACAAACAGACGACGAAATCCAGCAATCCACTGCTTTAAGGTGGTTAGCTGAGTTCATCAACTTCGCCTCTGAAGTGATGATTCCATTCACTCCACGTTTGATTCCGGCAATTCTTCCAAATCTTGCCCATCATGCTAGCATGATCCAAACTATCGCCGTCCGCACCAACAAGTTACTTCTCAGCGTCATACAGAACCTTCCTTCGCCGCCAGAAGTGCCAGCTCGCTCCCAAGAGAAACCGCCATCGACTCGCGTCCAAGCTTCACCAACTCCCACTGCTGTTCCTGCCCCCACTAGTTCCAATTCGAGGCAGCCTACGATGGCAAAGGATCCTAGTGCCTCTTTGAGGGATGCAGCATCTCCTGAGACGACAGGAGATACAGTCTCACCCCCACCCATGAATGCCAATTCATCTTCAGCCAGTGGCGTGTCCCTCGTACGTCCGCGTGGTAGTGGAGTAGATTTGTCCATGACTCCTCGAGCAATCGTAGCAGAGACTCTACCGCAACCTAGTACTAGTCGGCCTCAGTCTCCAGTGTCCGTTCTCAGTCACTCTAATCAAAACCTACAAGCCTCTATCACGGAGGAACCGGACGTTTTCGACTATCAGGCTACCGTCAACGAGCTGACGATACAGTTCTTGAGCGAATTTGAAGAGACGAGGGTGGCCGCCCTCAAATGGTTGATCATGCTTCATCAGAAGGCACCGAGAAAGATACTGGCTATGGATGACGGGACTTTTCCTGCGCTACTTAAGACCTTGTCAGATAGTTCAGAAGAGGTTATCAAGCATGACTTGCAACTGTTGGCACAGATATCTTCCAGCTCTGAAGAGAATTATTTCAAAGCGTTCATGATGAACCTTTTGGAGTTGTTCAGTACGGACCGGCGACTACTGGAGACAAGAGGAAGTCTTATTATCCGCCAGTTATGTTTAAATCTGAACACAGAGCGTATATACAAAGCGTTTGCTGAGATTCTGGAGAAGGAAGATGTAAGTGTCAATTTGTTTAATGAAGTGCGACTGCTGATGTTTACACTTTCTATAGGACCTTGAATTTGCCAGCGTTATCGTGCAGAAACTGAACATGATACTCATTACATCCCCTGAACTGGCCGACTTCAGGAAAAGGTTGAAAAGCCTCGAGACGCGGGTAAGCTATCCTACCCTCATGTCACTTTTCTCGTGCCCTGATGAAGCTTCTAGCAAGATGGTCAGGCACTCTTCACGACACTATACCGATCTTGGTGTCACAATGCGGTGGCGGTATTCTCGCTGTGTCTTCTAGCCCAGGCATATGAGCATGCGTCCAACCTGTTGTATATCTTGTGAGTTGTCTTTCATAAGTTACTCTCCCTTGTACTACCTTTGTACTAATGTTTTACATATAGTGCCGATCTAGAGATAACAGTCCCAATGCTTGTTCAAATCGATAAATTAGTGCAATTGATTGAGTCTCCGGTTTTTACTTGTGAACATTTCCAATAGATATCTTTCCCTGAGATATGAATTGACTATCCTTCCAGATCTCCGTCTCCAGCTTTTGGAACCTGACCGATATCCTCATCTTTTCAAATGTCTCTATGGGCTATTGATGTTATTACCACAAAGTTCTGCCTTTGTGTCCTTGCGAAATCGTTTGAATGCCGTCAATTCAGCCGGTTTTCTTCACATTGCTCCGAAACCGTAAGTGTGAATCTTGTTGCTTGAAAGCTTATTCTCATCTGTGACTTTAGCACGGTTGGTCCACTTTCCGGTCGTTCGAAATTAGCACGGGATGAGATCAAGTGGCAGGAGCTGCTACAACACTTCCGCTCGGTTCAGTCAAAGCATGAAAAAGCTCGGAGGCAAGCTCTTGGCACAGACATGACCTCCTTCTCCAGCTTCCCTGAATTCGACAGGCAGAGTGATCAGAGCGAGCGCGTCGGACGATCTCCGGTAAACGGTCGACCCGCTATACGGAGGAAGGTGACGGGTGACCTGTCAGTCAGTGTAAATAATACCTCGTCCTCGGGACCATTGTCCCGAGCACCAATCCTGTCTCCCTTGAACCCGAGAGCTCGTGGTTCTAGCGGGGCTACGCCTATGAATCCCGCTGCAGCAATTACCCAGCAAGCACAGAAGGGTAGACGAACCATTAGTTTGACCAGGAAATGACTTAGGTCAAGACGATTTTCATTCATGGGATATTCGATGCATAATTACATGTAGTTCACGCTTTTTAATGATTTCTAAACTGTCGATAGGGCGAGTATCCAAATACGAGAGCAGACGAGAACAGACAAAAAAAAGATATGTGAGAATTGTAGTGGATATAGTACTACATAGGCTATGTCTGAAGTCTTTAAATATTAAATCAAGTAACGTATGAAGAAGATCGGACCAGTTAGGTCATTGGGTGTTGTCAGTATGCTGAAAGCATCAAGTGCAGGAAGTATGAGACTAAAGTGCTCGGCCCTTCATGTCCTTCACTAGCTGCTGCACCATCTGGGTGAGTGCTGCAATCTGCTGGGTGAGCGCGGCTTCGGAGTCCTTCCGTTCTGTTTTGACCGTGACTGAAACCTTGGGTGTTGAGAGGGGGATCGATGTTCGATCTCCCCTATGAAAATTCTTGAGCCAGCTGGAGCTCAGGCATCGGAGAGGAGGAAGACAATAACCTTCCGAATTTCGTTGATAGTGTATGCCTGACCAACTTTTTAGTGGGGTAATGGACATACAGTCCAGTGTTAATACGGGCTCGAATACTCTCGGGGAATGGCAGGGCATAGTACTTAGCTATCAGAATCTCTGAGAATGTTCCCTGGTTACGAAGAGCTTTGGCTGCCACGGCGAACTCTCGATGGTACTCGGCGAGGTCAAGAGTCGTAGAGATACCTTAGCGTTCGCAGCACTTTGATCGATTTTCATCAAACGTCGCAGCTCAGGCGACGGGTTTGAGTCTAAGTCAGAGTTCCTTTCAAGGCGTCTCTCCAGGATAGAACACACAGCCGGCCTTCCTGCACCTCCAGCAATCGTGTGCAACCAATAATGGTAAGAAGAAAGTTTCCGAGTTTGTTTCATAAATTTTGCGTAGTTGATTTCCGATGCCTACATACGTGTTCGAAATAGAAGCAACGACAAGGAAGGGAACGGTTGTGGCCACGATGATATTTTTCATATTGACACGAGATGGTCAATATCAGTGGTCAGGAATCGCACAATACTCAGGCTTAGCACATCGCAGTCTTGGATTTGTTTCTGACATGCAGCTGCTAATTTGCCTAGACTTATCCCGAGCACTATCGGAAGATACAATATCAAGGCTATAGAAGTGAGTGCGAAGACACAAGCATATTATTTCGAATCACAGCAATATCGCTTTCGGAGAGATGTGTGTAATTCCTGATGTATTCTTCGACACCGCCGTACTTTGTATCGAGCAAATCCAAGAAAGCAAGCATGGTTTCCTCACTGCGAATATATGTGATAAGCATCTACAGCAAGTATGGTAGGCAGAACATACCGGCAAGTGAACATGATCAATGCAGCCTCATTGTTCGAGGCGAATAGTGGTTCTTTAGATAACCGTTCCATGATCTTTTCCCGTGCTGGTTCCCGACCTACACGCGTCAAAGAGTAATCGTTGGCGATGGCGACATTGTCTACCCCTGCAAGCTTGGTTTGGGTCGATGAGCGTTGCGGACTATAGGAGGACAATTTTGCAACATACTTTGAGCAGAATAGCCGCCATGATCCCAGTCCGATCTTTACCAGCCGTACAATGAAATAAGCATGCATGGTCAGAATGATCGCGAATGAATCGTAGTATCGAGCCGAAAGCTGGACCTCCGTGATCGAGAATTTGAGAGTAGAGTTCCATGAACGCCTATCAGATCGAATCAATCATCGAGGATGCATCAAGGAAGCCTTTGCACGCGCCTCGGTTTTGCCACTAGCGTACAACTGATAGCGCCTTGGTTGCGGAAGTCAAGCCCAGCGAATGCGAAGAAGAGACCAGAGGCACGTACTTACTTAGCCATCATCTCTGGGCTGTAGTCTTCAATTTGAAAAACGGGAACATGTAACAATTCTACGTCCTCAATTGTTGGTAGAGGAGCGTTATATTTCTTGATTTCAGTATCGGATCTTAGGTCGAAGACCGTTTTTATTCCTAGACGGCGAACTTGTTCCTTTCCTACACAGTTCAGCAAGGTCGCAAAGAAGATTCTCAATATAAGATCACCTTCATCTGTGATACTGGCTACTTCTGCAGAGCGATACATAAAGCCTGGTTTTGTACTCTTGCCTGGGTGTGTCATAGATGGATATCCGCCGAGATCTCGAACATTAATGACACCTGGTATGGAAGTAAATGGTGGTTGAGATAAAACTTCCTGAACATAAGAGGGATCAAGTGGCTCAAGGTCCTTCATGAAGAATGGAGGAACTGGTCAAGTTTTAACTTCAAGCGGGGCCAAAGGATGCACGTGGTAAATAAATATGTTAAGGGCAGGCCTTTTGGTGTAGAAACAAACCGCAAATCTATATCGCGCTATTCAAGCAGAACCATCATGTCAGAACTTTCATCCCCCGCTTCTCGTCGCTCAGCTCTTCCACCAAGCAGTGCTCCTATACCGACTCAATCTCAGTCTACAAATGGACGTTCAACACCCAGACGACGGACCGACGTTCTGGCTCTTGGTGATGAAGCAGGGGTCGAAGGAGGCGATGAGGAGGAGCCCTCTGCTGCAAGAAAGAGGAGAAGACCAAGGACGCAACAGCCGGGTGACGTGCCTCTGGTCCAGGATACAGTAGGAGAGCGAGTGACAGAGACCTTCGAAACTTTTCTTAGGACGTGCGCTCTTTCACTCATGTTTTAATCTACCTTTATTGATTGATTAACTATCCTCAGCTTCACAGAAGATGTAGCCCTTGCTTCTACTCCTATGTCCGATGGCGATCTACCAGATGGTTCCGAAGGAGAATTGGTTTATGTCGAGCAAATCCACACCATGCGCGCTTATGAACTGACCACTCTTTACGTGGATTACGGCCATATCCTTGCGAAAGACGACGTGCTCGCGACTGCGATCCAGACGCAGTATTATCGATTCCTCCCTTATCTTCGTCGCGCTTTACACAACCTCGTAGCAGAGTTTGAACCAGAATATCTCAAGATTAACCCCACTGCCGCGACTACAGATTCAGCTAATCTTCAATCGAGAGAATTCAATATTGCATTCTACCATCTTCCTTTGGTCTCTGGCATTAGAGAACTAAGGACTCACAAGATTGGTACTCTAATGAGTATTAGTGGCACTGTTACACGTACCAGTGAGGTCCGTCCCGAGCTACTCTTTGGGAGTTTCGTCTGCGAGGTCTGCAAAGGCTTGGTTAACGATATTGAACAACAATTCAAGTATACAGAGGTATGCTTCGTGTGAGGGCATGTTTGATCCTACTCACTTTGATTTCCAGCCTGCACTCTGTCCTAATCCAACATGTGGAAATCGAAGCGCGTGGCAACTCCAGATCGAGACCTCAACATTTACTGATTGGCAAAAAGTTAGAATTCAGGAAAACCCTTCCGAAATACCGACCGGTTCCATGCCTCGCTCATTGGACGTCATTCTTCGCTCTGAGCTGGTGGAACGAGCCAAAGCCGGAGATAAGTGTGTCTTCACTGGTACATTCATCGTCGTCCCAGACGTCAGTCAATTGGGGCTTCCCGGAGGCGAGAACGCTCAATTGCAACGTGAGGCGAACCGAGGAAACTCCACTAGTGCAGGTATAGGTGGAGGAGTCACTGGATTGAAGAGTTTGGGAGTACGAGATTTGCAATATAAGACTGCTTTTTTGGCATGCATGGTACACGATTCAGACACGATGGTGAGTTTTTCGATGTTGCACTCATTTTTCACTTACCTTACTCAGATTTATTCTAGGGTGGTACTAACATCCGTGGCGAGGAAGAAGTCGGCGAAGAAAGCGGGCAATCCTTTATCCAATCCCTCACTGAACCCGAGTTCGACGAGCTGAAGGCTATGATCGATTCGGATAACATCTATCAACGTCTGGTCGAGAGTATTGCCCCAACTGTTTATGGGCATGAAATCGTTAAGAAGGGTCTGCTTTTGCAGCTGATGAGTGGCGTACACAAGCAGACGGGTGAGGGAATGCATCTTCGAGGAGACATCAATATTTGCATTGTTGGCGACCCGTCCACCTCGAAATCTCAGTTCTTAAAGTATGCTTCTGCCTCATTGACTCACCCCACAACTCAACTGTTATCGTTCCAGGTATATCTGCTCCTTCCTTCCCCGCGCAATTTACACTTCTGGAAAAGCTTCTTCTGCAGCCGGGCTGACAGCCGCTGTAGTGAAGGACGAGGAAACTGGTGACTTTACGATTGAAGCGGGAGCACTGATGCTCGCAGACAACGGAATCTGTGCCATTGATGAATTCGATAAAATGGACATTTCTGACCAGGTTGCCATTCACGAAGCCATGGAACAACAGACTATATCTATTGCCAAAGCTGGTATCCACGCCACGCTCAATGCTCGAACATCAATACTCGCTGCTGCGAATCCCATCGGAGGCAGGTACGATCGAAAGAAGACGTTAAGGGCGAACCTGCAGATGAGCGCGCCCATCATGAGTCGATTCGACCTCTTTTTCGTGGTTTTGGACGAGTGTAATGAGAAGACGGATAGAAATATCGCGGAGCATATTGTTAACGTACATCGGTATCAAGATGAGGCCATTAATCCCGAGTTCAGCACAGAGACGTTGCAGAGGTATATTAGATATGCTAGGACTTTCAATCCCAAGGTATGCTGAAACCCTTTTTTTTTGTACAAGCAGTCGACTCAATTTCAATAGCTGACGCCGGAAGCTGCAGATGTTCTTGTCGAAAAATACCGCATGCTGCGTCAGGATGATGCATCCGGCGCTGGTCGCAATTCTTACCGTATTACCGTCCGACAGTTGGAGAGTATGATTCGATTAAGTGAGGCTATCGCCAGAACCAACTGTACTTCCGAGGTAGAGTGGATTCCGATTTGCACACAGGTACATCTATGAACTCAAATACCAACCTTCAGATTACACCCGCCTATGTTCGGGAAGCTTATACTCTCCTTCGACAATCAATTATTCACGTTGAGCAAGACGATGTTGACTTTGATGAAGAGGAACTTGATGGCAAACGAGAGAGGCTCGTAGCTCAGGACCCCTCTACTGAGGCTGCAGAAGAATCTCAAGACGTCGAAATGTCTGGCGTTGACCAGTCTGAAGAATCCCAACAAATTGATGGTGGTGAAACTTCTACTGTCGTAAACCAAACATCTTCGACTGCCGTTGCCGGTCAGTCTTCACATGCAGACCAAGTACAGCAAGCCGCTGCTGCAACATCGTCCAAACGACGTATGGTCATCTCCCATGACAAATACATCACGCTCAAGAGTCTTATTGTCTACCATCTTTCCGAGGTTGAACGCGAGACGCTTCAGGGGCTCGATCGTGATGACCTGATTGACTGGTATTTGGAGACCAAGGAAGAAGAGATGCAGGATATCGAAGACATCGAGTATGAGAAGGAACTAATCACGAAAATGTTACGGAAACTGGTAAAGGTGAGTGACATGGATATTCTTTCCCTTGTCCAGACGAGTTTACGATATTTATCAGGAAAACTACCTCATTGAAATTCGGGGAGACGTACAAGACTCTTTACCTGAAAGCGGCTTCTCGGCAACGGAGGGTGAAGATGTGCGAGTGTATTATATGGTCCATCCTTCGGTCGACGCCGATGAATCTTCCGAGTTTCCTTCAGGAGCTTAGTGTGCAAATATTGTGCAGATTCACTTCTTTGTTTGATTGTTGCTGCTTTCGACTCTAATTTATCGCATTTTTCGTGAGTATTTGACAAGATGGTACTGCCTCATTGCGATAACTCGCTTTGGCCTGTGAGAATTTCGGAGAAATCTGCAGACAAAAAGGCACGGCTTGGTCTATGGATCGACATATGACCAGAGACATAATATTCGAGCTAAAAATGAGTGGCCGGTGCCACATTGCTGAGATTTTTGCAGTTATCGAGGTCTGACGTCCGATGAAGGCACTGTAACGCGTTCAAAGATAGGAAATATTACGTAAGACGAGTCCCGTGCACTCAGCGAATAGTCTTCCGTGTCAATGGGTAGATATTATGAGGTTTATAGGATCTTTTTGGGTATAGCTCAGTATTACCTGCCCCAAAACCGATTGTCCGAAAACCCAGGAGGAATGATTTCAATAAATAGTAACATGGTAACATCAGACAACCGACGGCGCTCGGAACCGAGCGATCTCTGGCTCGTCCCTCCATGTCTATTTCATATCACTAAAATCACCTATTGTCATACACTGTCTACCTGCTTCGAATAACGCGAAGATCACTGCGCCGTCATGACTAGCCCGTCTCCCTTAATCGTTCCAATAATCCTCGTCAACGGAGACTTGCAATTCGTTGAAGTAGATCATGGTGCTACGGTGCAGGACGTGTTAAATGAGCTGCTGGAGACGTCGGACGTAAAGAATAATATACTCGGAGACTTAGAAGACCAAGGTTGGGCATTGCAGAGACTGAGATTCGAAAGGAAGGGAAGAAGATGGGAAGAAGAGGAGCTTGAGGCGCTTGGAGATGGCAAGTCGGTGCTTTTCGAAGGACTACTCCTTGCTGATTCTTCCATGTAGGAACTCTTGACCCATCGGAAATCATCGAACCTTTCTTAAACAATATCTCTCCAGATAATAATACATCAATGAGGACATTTTCGACATTTCCAATGACTGGTCATATGCAACAGCCAGTTTTACGTCTAGTTTCGCTGAACTCAAACCTGACACTTAATTTATCTTTCCTTCGCTTGCCCGAAATTCACGACTCTTTCGCGTACAAGCTCTTCATTTCACGGCAAACGTTAGTATCTACTGTCATCACACAAGTCATTGATGAACTCGGATTGGCTCTATCGATTCCTATCCCCGGCGGAGGGCCATTAGAGTATATAATGGAGGAAGTTTGGACAGATGGGTCCTCTGAAAGTGCGTTCTGCTTATTTCCTCTCGACCTATATCTCATTCGTGGACAAGAGTCTTCTAGATTACCAGGAGATTCATTGATATACAGCACCGTTGAATTTTCCTACATCCCGAACCCATTCCCTCCCAGTGCCACTAGGGCTTTTCGAATATGCATACCAGACGAATGGTTCCGTCGGACGAAGACCCGTACAGCGTCAATGACTTCTCTTGAGCCCTCACAATCCACCATCAGACGGCTTGCGTCTCTGCAGGAATCTGAGGAGGAAGATGAGGATGAAGATGAGAGGGAGGAGGAAGGCGAAGGAACAGCCAAGGTCAACAACATTGCGTCTCCAGAGAATAAATCATCTTCTAGTGATTGGACGAGTACAAATCGACTGTCTACCTTATTCACTGGCTGGTTATCACCTTCTACAGAAGGACCCAATCGAAGTACTGTTGTTGCTTTTCCGGACAAGAGGGAAAGTGTTGTTAGTGAACCTCGGCCGTTCGAACAACACACTGGAGGTAATCACAAGGAATCCTCTGCCTCAAGTACCGAAGATGAATCTGATTTTGACGAAAATGGGTTCAATGACATGCTTGTCAGTGGTTCCTTCTATATTGAATGTAATTTACTAGTTAACATTATTCCCCTTCCTCAGGACAAACTGGGTTTTACAGGGGACAAACGTGCAAATATACAAGCTCTATCGCAAGAAAAGAAGAAATTTCTCGCCAAGCAGAATCAACATCTTATAAGCTCATCACCCAAGTCTTCACCGACGCGAAATCAAACTTTTGGCCCATCTTCCGGTGGCGGTCTTATGCCTCGTCTCGTTCCACACCTTACGGGTGATTCAGTCATGCGCCGCCTGTCTCTGACATCTTGGAATAATCCTTCAGAAGAAACCGCAGACCAAAGTTCTGTCACCGATTCTCCACAAACTCAAACAGCCACTGTCATTGCTCCTGACCCAGATCCACAGCCTGTTGCTTCTCAAAGTACTGGCAGTCTCTGGTCCTCATTATGGATTCTTTCTGGCGGAGACAAAAGCGACAAGTACTCTTCTGACAACGACAAGAAAAAGACCAAGCCAGCCAAGTGGTATGTCGACCAGCTGAAGTCCGGTAGGCTCAAAGGTGATAGGTTGCAGGCCCTTGTGCTCGGTTTACGGGTACAACTATCAACAGTGAATTTGGTATGGATACAGGAGTTTATCGAAGTGGAGAAAGGCATGGATCAGCTTGACGTTCTTTTGGTTGATCTTGTCGGAAAGGGACCGAAGAGTAAGGTGTTGAGTGAAACGAATGCTTCGACGTTGCTGGAGACTGCAAAGTGTTTCAGGGCTCTTTTAAACACTGATGTGAGCTTGTTCGTCATTGGAAAGTTCAATTACTGAATCTTTCTTCTGATCCAAAGGTTGGCCTCAACAAAGCTTTCCAATCTTCTATTATTATCACTCACATCACATATGCCCTTTCGTCTCCCTCGCCCAAGATTCGTGCTTTAATATCCTACATCCTCGTCGGATTCTGCCTTCTCTCCAACCCGGAGGGGTTCCGCGTAGCCATGTCCAGTCTAGCAGAATACCGAATCGCGTTCGGAGAAGAATTTAGGTTCGAGATGATCATTTCGACTTTGAAGTTGCCCGAGTTGAACAACGCTGTTGTTGGTGATGCGTCCCCAGCAGACGGATTTGGTTACGGATACGAGGAATCAGACATATGGGAAGCGAGAAATGCTGCAATGTTGTTGTTGAATGCTATCGCGACTGCTACTGGGTCGGTGGAAGATAGGATTATGCTAAGGGAGGAGTATGGAAGGAGAGGTCTTAACGAGGCCATTGTCGTAAGTTCAGGGTGTTCAGCTTGCAGGCTTTGCTCGAGGTCTGATCGTTCCTGTTTGCCTCAACCAGGCTCTTCGCTATCTCGGTCCTCCAGACGACCTTCTCAAACAACTCGACTACTACACCGAAGAAAAGTTTGAGGACGAAGAAACGATGCGTGAACGCGTACAAAGAGTCTTATCTCGATTAGCTGACAGTAATCTTGAGCAAAGCCGTCTAGGATCGAGGTCGGGGACTTCTGAAAGTTCGCTGAGTGACTTGTTGGAGGATATCATCAGACTAGCCAAACAGCATGGGGAGTTATACCCTATAATGGTGGATGTTTTGAATCATTATGGTCAGTTATTGGTGAGGGATATCGGGATGTGAGTTCAGCGTTTTCATCTGAAATCAATTCTTATTAGCTGATGGGATGATTTAGGCAACTCAAAACCGATCTACTCACTGTGCTAGACCAGTTTGTACAACAAGCTTCATTGCTCGATAGCTTGTACGTCCTTGCTCTCTTTGGCTCCGGATTCCACGATCTCAGTCCCAGCTTTTCTCAACACACAGTGACGACAACTGGCACATTTTCATGAAGCGGTTTACCGAATCCGTGGAGAACATTACTGGTCAACCGTTGGACGTCAGAGCGATATCGGAAGACACCCAGATGAACAGTGCTATTGTCAAGGAGGAGGTTGCGCAATTGAGGAAACAAGTTGAAGAACTGAGCCAGGAGGTGGGTAATTCATAAACTTACAATGTTTTTTTGCTGATTGATGTTACCTGTCAGCGGACAGCACTCCAGAAAGAGAAGGACGAGCAGTTGGTGGAAATCAATACTTATAAATCCCTACCTGTAGCTTTGACTTCTCAAACGAAAATCGGGGGGAAGGTTGCTCCTGAGGTCAGCGGTCGAACCACAAGGTCAAAAATTGTAGCTGAAATACGTCACACATAGGTTCAAGGCTTTGTTCAACGTGTAATTGCGAAAGAGAAGGAGGTTCGGAAACTACAATCCGAACTGGACCATCTAAAATCCCGACTGCCTAGTGAAGCCGTACGTAGTTACCTGGCTTTTGAGATTTTATACTGAATTTGGTACTTGTATAGGAAGAGAAGGCAAGGCGAGAACGCGACAGAGTCAAATGGCATAATTTGAATTCACAAATAGATGAACTTAGAGCAGAAGTATGTCTGTTCGAGTGTAACCTGACATGTGCTCATCCTGCCTTCAGTTGGTGGAACTCACCGCAAACTCTAAAGTGAAGGATCAGCACATCCAATACCTGAAGCGCGCTCTAGAAGCGGTGTGGAGTCGATTCAAGTCCCGTGAAGAAGAACGAGATACAGCGGAAATAGATCCTGAACAAATGGCCGCTCGATCAATCCAAAGTTTGGAGCTCAAGGACAACCAAATTGCCTCGTTAATTGTGGAGGTGGCGGACTTGAAAGCTCAGCTTACGGCGAAACCAAAAACGGAGAAAGAATTCAAGATGAGGTCTCCACCTCCTCTGCCTCGTTAATTGTGGAGGTGGCGGACTTGAAAGCTCAGCTTACGGCGAAACCAAAAACGGAGAAAGAATTCAAGATGAGGTCTCCACCTCCTCCGCCTCCGCCTTCAAAACCAAGACACAATTCGACGCCGGTATCCGATTTATCGCTGAGGTCACTTTCTCCATCCCCCGCGCCTCCTCCGCCCCATAACCATGGGATGTCAGCTCCTTCTCTACTATCTGTATCCCCGATAGTTTCCAGCACAGATTCCACCACCCTTTCCCCATTACCGCCCCCGCCCCCGCCCCCACCTCCCCCACCCCATACTGTCTCTTCTGCTTCTTCGACGATCATCGCTGCTCTGCCTTCACCACCACCTCCTCCGCCTCCTCCGCCTCCTCAGCCGCCTTCTCTAGGTAGATCACAGCCTCCGTCGCCTCCGCCTCCGCCTCCGCCACCTCCACCATCTCGAGGACTTAGCGGGCTTCCTCCTCTTCCTCCCCCTCCACCACCTGCTCCGGGTGGAGCTCCGCCACCTCCGCCACCTCCTCCCACTCCTGTTTCAGGCCGAGGACCGCCGCCACCACCTCCCCCTCCTCCGACCGCCTTCAGGATGCCTGCTCGTAAGCCTAGCAAGCCGGTCAAACGATTGAAACCCTTTTTCTGGACCAAGCTAGCTTCCTCTGCGTTGGAGTCTTCCATTTGGCAGGAAACAACATCTGAGTCTCAGTTCGACTTGACCGATCTGGAAGCAACTTTCGCTATCGATAATACCCCAGGAGCAGGGACCGGGACGGCTTCACAGATACCGCTTAGTCCCTCCAAGAAGCAGGCTGTAACGACGTTGCTGGATATTACTCGGGCAAACAATATTGGTGAGAGTTTTCTTGTGTCTTTTATGAAGTACTACAATATTCATGATCCTGTTGGACAGCTATCATGCTATCACGAATCAAACTGAAACTGCCTGAGATTCGGGAGGCGTTACTAAAACTTGATGACGAAAAATTATCTACAGATGATCTGAGGGCGATCAGTAAACAGCTTCCGACTTCTGACGAGGTATGTATTGATTCTGCTTGCAGATAGATGTTCTCATCTTTACTTTCGTTTTGGTTATGTATATACCAGGTCATGCGCATTCAAGACTTCAACGACGTCAGTAAACTGGCGATAGCAGACCAGTATTTCGCCGAAGTGCGTCCTATTCCTTTTCGTTATCTTTCGTTCTCTCGGTGCTAAAATGCATGTAACAGATCATCATCATTCCTCGCCTCTCGGAACGTTTAGAATGTATGCTCTTCCGACGCAGGTTAGATCTAGAATTAGAGGAACTGCGCCCAGAGTTGGATATCTTGCGAACTGCGTGTCTTCAGTTGCGCAATTCGCAAAAGTTCAAACGCGTCTTAAATGTAAGCTTTCGCGGTTTCTGTCGAGAGCTTGCTTTCACTCTAATGTGCCCATAGGCAGTTCTCGCTGTCGGGAATGCATTGAATGGGTCTTCATTTCGTGGAGGGGCTCGAGGGTTTCAATTGGACGCTTTGATGAAGGTACATACTCCACTTGAATTCTGACTTCTTCGTTTCACCGTTTGTTATCGTGCCATAGCTGAAGGAGACTAAGACTGTGAGGGGTGGCGCCGAATGTCCGACGCTTTTACATTACCTGGCAAAGGTGTTACTTCGGACAGATCCCTCGCTCCTCACTTTCATTGAAGAGATGCCTAACTTAGAGGCTGCTGCTCGAGGTTGGTCCTATTAACGTTGCTTCTCTGGAATTCACAATTGACAAGAATTATGTAGCATCAGTGCAGACCACTGTCCAAGCAGTAAACTCCCTTGTTACTGGTCTCAATCAGGTCAAGAACGAGACGAGCGAACTGAAAAGACTACGCGACATACGACCGAACGACCAGTTCGTTCAGATCATGCAGGCAAGTCTCTTTTACAGTAATGTTCAAGTCATCTTGATTTTTGTGGATGTAGCCTTTCATTTCGCATGTAAGCCCAGGTGTAGAGGCGCTCAAGACCATGGCAGTAACTGTGGAAGCTGGATTACGATCATTACTTGCATATTACGGGGAAAATCCTGATTCCCCTGAAGCTCCCAAGTCTGAAGATTTTTTTGGTCTCATATTATCTTTCTCGTCCTCTCTCCAGGTACGACATGCTTTGAACTCTCTGTATGGACATTTATCAACCATGCCCTAGAAATGCTCTTTGGAAGTACATGAATATCAGCGAAAGTTGGAGACTTCATTGCCTAAGCCCGAGATAGTCGTGTTACCGGGAGAAGAAACGGTATGTCCTGTTTTCCTTCATTCCAATGTGGTATATCTGACAACTGAATCACAGACCATCAAATTACCGGCTCCAGTTCCACTTCTCACTCCAGGATCGCAGAGCTCGATGGGCAAGTCTATTGGTCGCGGTGATCTCGATCAAGCTATTCGTAGCATGCGGGATGGAAAAAGACGTGCTCGTCCAACTGCTGCTCGTCCACTGAGTAAGATTTTCTTAGATGGTGGCCCGGCTGGCGGACGCCCTCTCAGCAGGTTATTTGATTCATGATGTCTCATTATGAAGTGCTACGTTTACACACATTGTATATTTCCCATCATCTAACGCATTTATCTCAATAGGACAATTTATATCTCTTTACATAAATATGATATTACAGCCACCAAGAATCTTGCATGAGTTTTTCTTCCCGTTTTGCACTCAGATAAGTTGCTGGCTGGCTTGTCTCTGGCATCGCGATGCCGTCGAGGAACCAACGTCGTGGATCGTGTCATATCTAACAACATTGATACGTCGTCAAATGAGCAATCATGTGTTCGCCGAGGAGGCACTCTTATCTGTGGTTCTCAACTTCATGGTATCTTCCCCTTGACCTCCTGATAGAGCCTGATACAATTATTCCGGAACCGGTGCTTTATTATAGGAACTGTCTTGTGTAGTCACCTTTTTTCCTTCCATCCTTCATATGCTCTCCATGATACCATCAAGCCTTTCGTATGAACTTCCTCTTTCAAAAAAAAGAAGTCTATTAGCTAATGACTTTACACGCTTTCCCTCATGGCATTACGCTCGTCGCCGCGCGGCTCTACTTGCTTCTGACGATCCGTCGAGTCCGAGTATATAAAGCCTAACACTATGACTTGGTGACCACCTCCTTTTGTTCGACCGCCCTCCCCGCGAATAGGAGTGTGTCACTATGTTTGTAGCAAGCATCCTCGGTTCTTTGGTCCTCTGTGTACAGGTCGCGGTCGCTCTACGACCCAATGGTAGGCTGAATCGTGCGACTCCGATCGCGCCTATTCCTGAAGAAGCCCTGAGTGAGGGGCCTGTCGTGAGCCGCAATGGCACGCAGTTACCACCGTACAGTGAGTTTTTGTCAACGGATGTTGATTGCACTGACCACGAATATAATTCTTCATTTTTTCGTAGATACAACCTACATTTTTAACCAGTTGGTATGACTATGACACTCGCATTCGTCCCTTCGAGTCCATCTGCTGATTATCAATGCTTAGATCGACCATACGAACCCTTCATTAGGAACATTTCAACAACGATACTGGCATACGTATGAGTGGTACGAGACTGGTTAGTTTTACATCCTCCTTGATTATGACTAATAGTTTGACTGACCTTGTGGCAGGCGGTGCGTCCTTTGATTCAGAAAGCATGTCCTCTCATAGGTTAATTGCGAGTACTCAGGCCCAGTCATCCTTTTCACTCCCGGAGAAGCCAACGCCCAACGTACGAAACCTTGTTTCATTTCTGGAACCTTAGCCTGATGATTTTTTATACTATCTCGTTCCCCACCCAGCGTATACCGGCTATCTCACAAATACGACCATCAATGGACAAATTGCACAACAGCAAAGTGGTGCAACGATAGTCCTCGAGCATCGATTTTACGGTCTCAGCAACCCTGTCCCCAATCTGTCTGGAAAGAACTTGAAGTTGCACACAATTCAACAGGCTATAGATGATCTTGCATACTTCGCAGAAAACGTCGTGCTTCCTATGCCAAATGGTGCGGAATTCCCATCGGTCGAGGTGACACGCTGATTTCTCACTTTATAAATATTCTTTGTCTCAAAGGTGCACACCTTTCCCCCGCAGACGCACCCTGGGTGAATTTCCTTGAGCTTCTCAGTACGCTTTTGAGTATTGACTATTTTTATTTGGCTAATTAGATCTTGATCGGTGGAAGCTATTCGGGTGCTTTGACTAGTTGGACTTTGGTCAAGTGAGTACCATGAAATTGTGCGGCTTGTTCCCTTCTCCGACTCTTATCCTAAACTTCACAGCAAACCAGATGTATTTTGGGCAGGATATGCATCCTCAGCGGTCGTTGAAGCAATTCTGTGAGTAGACTGAGAACAAGCCTGTCTAAGAGCATCCAAGTACTCACCGCCCCAAATCGTTGCGGCGCATTCTGATAGAGACTACTGGGGGTACTTTGAGCCTATTCGCCAATTTATGCCAGCCAACTGCTCCGCGGACGTCGAAGCTGTCATTGCGCACGTTGACGAGGTATTTTCTGGAAACGACGCTACTGCAATCCAAGTACTCAAAGACAACTGGGGTTTGGGTGAGATGTCTCATTTGGACGATGTTGCTGGGTGTATGTGTTATTTTACTTCATCTTAGGAAATTTTGAACTGAGTTGATCTTGAACGCGTTTTAGCTCGTACGTGGTTTTACCCTTTTCAAATGTACTGTATATTTATACACTAGATACTTAGTCCGGAACAATCTCTGGGACTGGCAATCCTTATCGCCTACATCGGGTCCTGGTGCTACTTTCTTCCAATTCTGCGATGCATTAGAAGTCAAAGATGGCGTCAACGCACCTGCTACTGGATGGGGCCTTGACCATGCTCTCACTGCCTGGGGTTCCTTCTGGAATGAGACTTACCTTGATGCTCGTGAGCATATATCCTTTTCCTTTGCAAGGATGCCATATATCGTTTAATTTGACTTTTAGTTTGTGGCGGCGATGATGTTGTGTAGGATGCATTCTTAATCTTTTGTGATCTATTCGAGTCGCTGATACTTATGAATCACTTTGGCACAGCGACTGCCTGGGATCCTACAATCCTGAGTCAGCAGTCTACACAGATATCGCATTGGACAACGCTGGTCGTTCTTGGACCTGGATCGTGTATGTACTGCGGTTCTGTTGAAGGAACATTATAGTTGAATGAATTTTCACAGATGTAATGAAGTTGGTTTCCTCCAGGTGACATACATATTAAAGTATCTCCTGAACGTCTCTGAACAAAGATGACTTTTCATTAGGAGGGACCTCCAGAAGGGGTACCAGCTGTCGTGACACGACTTGTTCAACCAGCTTATGATATTGTGAGTGGACGATTAAACTCTATGATTTGATTTGATTTTCAAAATATCTCCTTTTTGATTCAAAGCGTCAATGTGTATTGATGTTCTCAGACGTATTCGCCTCTCCTGCAGACGTCCCCATGGCTGCTGGCGTTGCCAATGTTAACAAGCAGTACACCGGTTGGAACGTGAGCGTCGACCGACTATTCTTTGCCAATGGACAACGTCAGTGGCGGTTTTGCCTTCATCCCTATATGCCATAACTGACCCTTCCTCGAAAAACACAGGCGACCCCTGGAGAGAGGCGACAGTCTCTGCAGATGGAGTGGACGTTGCGAGTACCAACACTCAACCTATCGCGATCGGAGACGGGTTCCATTGTTCGGATCTTTTGACCTCTGCAGGGACTGTTGATAAAACTGTTCGCGCTGTGCAAACTGAGGCGTTATCATTTATGAAGACGTGGCTTGCGGAGTGGGAACCTCCTTCGAAGACGTCGAAGAGGGAGATTTCTGAAGCGCGGCATTCGAGGTTCTTCAAGAATGTTGCTGCATGATAAATTTATTTCGTAAAGTTAAAGTCTGGACACGGGTCCCTTCTACTAGGTTTTTGTCTGAATATCTACCGCCCTTGAATTTCACATTTTTACTCACTAGAACTGTGAAACCAAGTATATAACTTCTGGTTTGATAATAACGAGGAAACACAAGGGTTCGCAAGACTTGAGCTTCGCCGTAAGGGAATCAGCGGTGAGCTTGAGGACTTTGGTGTTAAGATGTGACGTGAGGTCCTGCACTATAATGTATCGCTACGCCTCCAGGATCTGTCTTACGAGCGAATATGTGTCCGTACCACGAGAATTCTACACCAATATGTAGTACCACAAATCGCAATTGGGTTAAAGATTCTATTTGGCAGTCCAACACTTATTCTTCCTCCTCGGGGCATATCGTCCACCTAATGACAACAATGCAATACTTCATACCCGGATCTGGGACACCTTGTTCGGCCTCCAGATCTCGTTCTGTCCACTTATCCCTGGCTTTGTCGTAATAAAGATCAGAAAGCCTACTGGGACCCATCCATTCTTTCTTAACAATCGGATTGCCAGCAGTGCTGAGGGTTTTCCCGTTGTTAAGCGTGTGGGTATACTTCTTGATTCGTTCAGCGATGGCGTAGATCTGAAAGGATCATAGAAAAAAGTCGGTAAGACGAATCGAAAGGAGAAACAAAGACATACTTGCTCCTTGTCCCTCTCCATCGTTTCCAATTCCAAAATCACTTCTTCAAGTCTCGTCGAATAATCCGACCCTGTCGACCATACATCGTTCAAATGCAACGGGTGGTTGTCCTCCCACCACCACCAATCACCGTGTCTGAGCGTGATCTTCAAAGATCTTGGTCTCATGGAAGGTAACTTGCATATTTCTGGAAAGTCTCCCTCCAAATAATATTGTTGCGTGAAGAAATGTACACGATCGACGCGATTCTTCTGCTCTTCGGTGAAGCGCGCGAAGTATTCTAGTGGATTGCTTGCATAGGTAATCCCTGGAGGAGCGCGATGGCACCAAAATACGTGCTCGGTTGCCATGACCGGCAGGAAACGGCTCTCGAGGTAGATCAGACGGCAGGTCTGCAATATACGGGGATCGATTCGGGAGGTATGTCGGTAGTCTGGGCGGGAATAATGTTCGTCCTCAGGGTAGACAGTGGAGAGATCTTCATAGCTTAGAAGAGCGTAGAGGAAGATAGTGTTACGAATTTCTGGGGGAATTTGGTTGAAGAGGGGAGAGTGTTCCTGGGTGTTGTGGTTTGAGATGAAGGAAGCAATGAGTTCTGGGGTGGGAGGTGTTATAGTGGGAGGTTTAGATTGACCACTATTGCCGCGCTGTCGCCGGCGTAGACCACGGAGCTGGCGTAGTGAGGACATGAAGGATGGCCAGCAAAGTTCCAGACAGAGGTTGGATCAGGGCTGCTGCAGCGTGTAGACATGCAGTGAGTCAACTATTGTCATACCAATAAATCAAATGCTTGGTATCCTTTGGTATCACTCATGTGCAGCCAGTTTCTATATATCCATATGGGATAATCACTGTGGAATTCTTCTCCTGGGGTTCATTTTTTGCAATTTTCACGAATTCACATTCGAGTTGGACCATAGCCTGGATCCTCCTGCGACGCGCTGATAGCGAGCCAAGAGGACTTTTGAGAGAAAAATAGTTAATGGTCAAAAACTAATGTCCCTGGCAGGAGTCGAGCCTGCGTCCCCACGGTTTGCTGACTAAGCCACAACGTGATGATCTAACCACTAATCGACGGGGACAACATATTTTATACCTGGTAGAGACACTTATTATTGGGCTTTCCCTTCTCATCGATATCATTCAGAATTCTCATTCTACGCCTTATCACTGGAGCATTATACGCTGAGAAACCTACTTCGTTCGCACCTTAGTGGAAAGCCCAACATCCCCACAATTCCAACAACCCCTCAGGGTCTTATCACAATAAACAGCTCGTTTCAGAGCGATATCAATCTAACAACCCCCAGAAAATATGTATACATCTCCGCCCCTTCCACTGATAACGCCATTCAAGCTCATACAAGCTCAAAAATCCTGATTGTGGCACATTGTGCCTCATCAGAATTGGACCACAATCAAACCATCCACTAACCGACATCTTTTCTTGGTAAATGAAAAGATTATCGATGATTTCTGAGACATTTTCAGCTCGGAGGGACTCGGAAGCTGGAGTATAAATCTTGGATTCAAAATGCCTTTTCCCTCATCTTTCTCTTTACGCTGGTTCGGTACGTGCTTTCACTGCTAATCCCATCGTTCTTCTCTGACCCTTTTCTTTTCTTCGTTTGTAGTTATCGATCATTTCAAGCCTTCGTCAAAACATCTGCTGGTTCAGATTTTTTGGTAAGCAGCTAAACAGCTGTCGCACCGTGGCCGTACTCACGCGTTCATAGATATCAACTGTATCTTTTCATCGTTTCAAGAGTTCCCGAACACTACTTCCTTTGTCCCGACGCTTTTTTTGTTCTGCACGCACCACCAACGGAAAATGCCCTCCTTCCGATCCCTGTTCTTGCACCTGCTCGCCCTGTGCATCATTTCTTCCACTGTTCCCAATGTGGTAGCCAGTCCCATCGCTCTGCAAGGTGGACTGCTTGAAGCAAGAGGCGGTAAGTACACCTCTTTGCTTTTCTTTTCATCCTACCTTGTACATTGTGGATGCTGGTATATGACCCTGCTCCCGGCTTATTCCCCGTAGACTTTCTATGCGATACCCTTTGGCTTACCATTTTTCTCTCTCGCAGTGGGTTCAAATCCTCAGGCTGTCAACGTAGCGCCCGGTCTCTCAGGACAACCGCCGCAAAAGATTGGTCGGTGGTTCTTCCTTTTTTTTCTTCATTCGTTATCTCATTCCCAATGCAGACTCAGACAACTCTTCTGATGCCGGGTCTTCCTCCGACAACGAGTCTTCGCATGATCCTGAAGATGACACAGAGGAACCGCATCCAGAGTTCAAGAATGTTCCGATCAGGCTCTGGCGAACCAAAAATGAAGACTTTCACCAGTGGGTTGACTCTAAACTCGCTACATTTAAAGGCGAACACTGGTGGCTCTGCGTCGGCAAGCAGTGTTACCGAGGTGACCCAGATCCGCATCAAGATGACCCAGATCCGCATCAAGAGGACATGTTGGTCGTCAACATGATTGTCATCAGCGACAACAAAGACTTGCAGAATTTGCAGAACTCTTTTCTAATCGGCCACATCAGCTTCCTTGATCTTGAGCACAGAAAATGGGCGCTTCGTACTATCCGTAAAGGTAATCTTCACTTCTACGAAACCAACTTGGATTTTGTTAAATCGGAAATCGCACAACTGAAACGCAGCAACACCGATTCAAAGTCTGTCTTTATGGATACACAGTTTGAAGCTTCGCTTGCGAAGATGAGGGAGATGAAAAACTTTGGGTAGAGGTTTTATGATTGACATATGCACTCGAGTTAATCAGTATGCTTCTTTGAATCAATCTACGACCATATGGTCCAATTCTTGTCCAACTACACGATTAATCAGCTGAGCTCTGAGAATAAGATCTTGATAGCTGAAGCTTAGATTGACGCTTGAAGTGCTCATTCTCATGTCTGTACTTAATGCTAAGCTCTAACGCGATGTACATTCATTTATTTAGAGGAGACCTTGTATCGCACCAGGAGACACAGTGCAAGAATATGTCGAAAAACTTGACAACCTTTAAGAACATCAGTCGTTTAACCTTGAATGATATGTACAATAATAAAGCAAACTCACATCCAACGACTGCGTGACAATACAGTTCTTCCCATCGCTTGCCCAGCTATCATCTCCGCAGCCGCGATAATCCCAAACATCGACTACCGTTTCGCCAATCGTATGTACGCCACTCAATTCGACGTCAACACGATACCTCTGTGTCTTGGTGAACAATTCCGGGTGGGCTACATATGCGATTGTCAACGCGTCGTGGAGCGGCGGACCGTCATTGAAGCCGAATGTGGATTTATAAGAGTCTGCGAAGAAGGAAATGAGTGTGGAGAGGGTGTGTCGGAGAGGGGTGGAAGCTGCCGGGAGACTGGACTTCGTGTCTGGGAGACTATCTGGTATGGGGCTCGGAGAGAGAAGTCGTCGATGGATGTCACGGGTGACAATAGCTGTATGAGTGATATTGATAGGGATCATAACCGCAGGTACAGGTGCATCGAGAACGATTTGAGCGGCATGGGCTGTTTTAGTGAAATTTTAGTTATTTATTAAGTTGACGTAGAAGTGAGCTTAAGCTTACGGTCACAGAGAATGTTGAATTCTGGAAAAGGTCGGTATCGTTAAGCAAAAGAGTACAAATGAGTTTCACCAGCAACTGCGGATCGGTTCCCTAATCCGACTCCTCCGCCCATAAAGACAAACTGGTCTACAGCATCAACGAGCTCTGGATATACACTGATGAATAGAGCCAGATTTGTCAGTGGTCCACAGGAAACGACAGTAACTTTTCTTCCAGCGCCGTTCTTCCAAGTCTGTTTGATATGTTGTGCCATTCCATCTAACGCACGAACAGTTTCTCCTTCTTCATCTTTGGCAATCATAGCTAAAACCGCTGAATCATCTACGGCCGGTAGCCCCTCAACGCCTCCCAGACCGTCTGGACCATGGATTTCTGGATCGTGTTTAGCTTGAAGAAGCAGAGGTTTCGATGCGCCTGGATAGACTTTAATTCCAAGTTGTGCACCGCCAAATGCGAGGATACATCGAGCGGCGTTGATTGCTGTGTGGTAACTGCTGGCATTACCATGCGTCTGTTGCAGGATTGCTTTGAACGAACACTATTTAGACAAATCATGGCGTTGTCGTTACCGTTGAGATTCCGAGAAGATGTATGTTGGGTAAATTTATGGCGAGCATTATGGCGGTAGCGTCATCGTGCCCCTGCGGGTAGTCTTGAATTCATGTTATGTGCTGGAGGCTGGGGATAAGAGCTCACTGGATCGACATCCAACCAGATCGTCTTGATAGAGTCGCTCATAGCTACTCAGCTCCAGCGCCTTTCTAAAAAAAAGTCCTCATTACATTCACAATAACGGCCGTTCCCATCACCCTCCAGCTTATCATTACGCAGCCTTCAACTCTATAAATCGAAGGGTGGAATGCTATGCAATGGCAGGACTAAAAGCAGAAGACATTATTTCTCTTTGTGCTTTGTGGAATTTATAGTGTTCATTCTCTCTTGTTCACTATACATGCGCAATGAAAGGCTTTCGAGGGCTTTTGGCCACTGGAAGAGGCACATTGATTTTACTAATATGTACTACGGATACACAGACCAGTCTTTTCAAGACATCACCCAAACAAATTCTTCTCTGCCTCCTCCTTTGTGTATTGCTCGAACTCCTCCTGGTTTGTGAACTGCGCTCCAGCAGATTTAGATTTTCTTCGTAATTGACGGAGAACAGCTGCAAGATAGTCCCAGTTGGATGGGTCAGATTTACCCTCAAAGAAGTGTCGTTGACCTTTGCCGAAATTAATAAAGACGTCACGTTTGTGATCGAGGTCTGTGAAAGAGATCTTGCCCAAGTCCTTCAATTGTTGCATGGTTCCGCGCCCGATGATCACGTCGGAGAGTAGATTGCTTGGTGCTTTAGGATCCTTGTTAGCTCGTAGACATCTGCTACCCACGCAAAGCCAGTATTTCTTCTGAGAATCTGGTGTGTTTCGTCCTCTGGATCGATATATCGCAATAGCGAGATCTTTAACTTCATTATTCGGTTTTCCCAAAACCTCAAGGACTTCAGGACTGTCCTCCACAGGATCTCCGTCCCAAAACATCATCCCTGAAACACATGTTTGTTAAACAACATAAACAATTCAGAAAAGAAATCCCTCACCGTCCTTATCGTGCTCCCATTTATCATACTGAACAGGATGAGAAACAGTAGAACTCGCTTGAGCTGCAGCTGCATGGGCGAATTTGAAGAAAAGATCAGATGAATGATTGAAGTGAAGATCATAAAAGAGTACTTACAGCCATGGTAATTGTCGGCTCTCGATACAAGGAGGGCTCCTTCATGAAAGATGGGACTGGCTACCACATTAAGAACAGTGGAAGATATCATGCACAGGCCGAACAGGTGTAAGAACATCGCTCGGAAGCAGAGCATTTTTTCGTGGAAAGAACGTGTCGGGATGAGAAGAATATATTCGTGTGAAGACGATGCGAATGTACGGGTGGAATCTGTGAACACGCATACACGAAAGTGAGTACGGGAATACTGCGACAGGGACCTTGAACGACGATGGCCACATACCGAAAATCTGGACCAGCAGATGGAGTTTTGAAATGTTTTTGTAAAAGTTTTGTGCTGAGGATGATCAATAACTACAAAAGTATTCGATAATAAGAGAAGAACAGGGGGATTGCTTAGTGGGGGAGGCACGTACCGGACCAGCGTTGAGGATGACCAGCGTCCTGGAAAAGATGGATGGAATGTAAGTTCGAATCCGAGCATGGCATTTATGTCCCAGCCTCCGAGTTTTTCCGAATCAGAAATCCCTCAAGAACTCAACGATAATGATCAAAAAAATGATTGTTCATGAGTTCTTGAGAAATTATTTTTGACTCCTTATGGTTTCTGATGTCGCTTGTTGGTAAGATCAGATTCGAGAGTATTCAAGTGCGTCACATGGGGACTGGTGCGACACTGCACAAGCGGACACCTAACGAAAGAACAGCAAGGGAACAGCACTGGAACAGCCTGAAACAGCATGGAAGGAAGAGATTTTTACCAAAACTGCAAGTTTTCACTGCCCATCATCAAAAAGTAGATCGCTTGGTCTTGGGATCCTTATCAACTCTGAGGCATTTGTTACCTTTTGCTACCAGCACAAAGCCGGTGCAGGCTGGTGCTCCAATATTGCATTTCTGCATTGATAGTTACTGCAGGGTGACAAGTCAGGTCCATATACTTCGCTTATTGTGATGTTGAAGGGTTGTCAGCCGATGGAAGAGTCTGTGAAATGGGAGGAAATGGGCTGTCCTTCGGTAAAAGGACAACTCGTGAGTCATTATCGATATCTTAGTTCAGAGATATCTGCTCGAGTCGAGGGAATATACGCCGGCGCCTAACACATTCTCGATTATCATGACACCGACCATCGACACCGAAATATGGCTCCCTTCATCGCCTTCACGACAACGGAAGACCCGCAAGCAACGACAACAGAAGCCACCACTCTTTTCTCGAGTTCAATTCGTTCAAGATAAATTAGATCTCACCTGGTTCAACAGTTGCATTCGTAAATCTTTCCTTTAGTTTGCCCAAATTCCTCCTAAAACGTGAACTAGGCATCTTAGAAAAATATTTCGAAAGTCGAATACTAGAAATATCAGAAGAGAATTCAGGGCAGAAGAAGAATGCGAGGCAGAAGAAAGAATACAACGTGACATGCCTAGGACTAGGAAGTCCCGAAACATCCGATAATGCTCGCGCTCAGCTGGCATTCCTTCTTAAGGTTTGCGATACTCTCAAAATTGTGCGCTTCAAGTCTCTTGTCGAATTATCCCATCCCATTGTTGCTCAAAGTAGGATTGCGCCAAGATATCCATCTATGATCCCGTTTTCACCGACGAAGATAAGTCCTTACTTCGACAATTTGGGATGTGCGTTTTGGATTGCGGTTCGGATGCAAAGGTGCGTCTATATACCTTTTCTTTTCAATGTATCTCATTACTCAATTGACAGGACACGCATATCTGCAATATTATTACTGACGAAGAACCGACAATTTTATTCATGCCCCATTGCGATCTAGCTTTATATGAGAGCGTGTTGTCTGCTAATTGGTCTTTGATTCGCCTCAAAAATAGTCTCTTCATATGTAATCATTTCGATGATTATATACAAAAGTGAGCTTTCCAGAATCTAAAATCTCATGATATGTGAAGCTATTTATCTTCTCTTCGTACGATTATAGTAATTCCGTCCGTTCATTGAAGGATAAAGCACCGCATCTACTGACTATTGGTGTGTACAAGCAATTTTCTCCGCTCCCAGCTGTCTTGTCTCATTCCCCAACCCAGCCCCGAATATAACATCTCATCCGTTACCAACATCGCCTGACTGGCCTTCCGCCTTTAACAATACTTCTGTCCAGTTTTTGTCCAAGCACAAGTTTGATGCTCTGGCCACGGCGACAGAGGAAAAGAAATGCGAGGAAGAGCAGGAGTAGGTTTTGGACTGGCTTGTGTATGAATACCACGAATGCATTTGAGTGTCCAAGGACACTACAAAGGTCTCCTTTTTCCAAAATCGGCGACGCTCTGGTTCACTTCATTTTTTGTGTCGCACGGAATTTATACAAAAGAACGGACGCGTCAATCAGGAGTCGTGGGTTGATAACGCTGGATGTTTGACAGGAACACTGAATGAAGGAGAAAAAAGAAGATCAACTTGAAGAGACTGGGTTATTCGAGTCGCAGCCTCTCGAAGCTAGTACTTCCCCTTTGCGTTGCAACGGTGAACGGGAAGGGCGGTTCTTCCAATGTACACATACCTTTGATGGAGATCTCAATGCAAATTCCCCTTGCACAGTCGATTATGCTTACAGGGCTCTATTGCACTGGCACCTGTGATTTCCAAGTACATCTTGAGTACATATCTACTGACTACTCGCAGATCGATCGTATACATATAGAGCCTGAAGAGCTACATAGTTAGAAACATAGTTATAATTGACATATAATGATCGTTCTGGAGATTCTTTAAGGAGATTAAGAAGAGGATTAAGAAGAGTCATCACTTAGTTCGATTATATCCACCACTGTCTTCGTTCTCGTCGTGGTCATGGTCGTCGTTGTTGTCCTTACTTTTGCTTTTGCCTTAACTTTGTATTGCGGTTGATCAGCCACCTTGACCCTCGCTCGGGCGCGTAGCAGCGGCGGAATATCATCGTCTTCGGTGTCAGAAAACTCCGTCCTACCAGCCTGAAAGGCACCGGATCTACCCAGTCTATGATCAGGATGACTTTTCGGAATATCAGACGTCGTAGCTGCCTTTAGTTTCGGTCTGGGACGCGATTTGGGCTGTGGAGCAATTATAGGTATGACTTTTGGGGGCTGCTGTTCCTCATCCTCGGAATCAGAAATAATTATAGGTCCTACTATTGTAGGAGCTATGGCAGAAGGGGGAAGAGGACGAGTACTGGAGCTAGAGAGTGGTGATGGTGGTGGTGATGATGAAGGGATACGTGCAGATACTGCTGCCTTAGTTACAGCGTATGTAGACGTAGATTTGTTTGGTGTACGTCTCATAGGTGTCGGAGACGCCGCTCGGGCTGCGCGTGAAGGATGTGGAATATCACGTATTGTCTTCCTCGCCTGCTCGCCATTAGGAAAATCTCCATAGTCGAATCCTTTCGGATACCGATGATCTTTTGATTTTCGCGGGGATTTATTCAATACGTCGACCTTGTCTTCCCGTGGGCTGGTATTTTCTTCAGAAACAGACGAATCCGAGCAATGAACTGCATTGGCTTTGCGGGTCTTCTTCTGAGGTGAAGGTGTCTGAGGTGGGCCAGGAGGAGCAGGAGAATGGATATGATTGGGATTGAAGGGACCGTTATAACCACAGTCATCGCTATCTTCATCGAAAGTATTTTCCACCGACACGGGAAAAGGTCGAGGTGTGGTTTTCTCAGGTGAAGAAGACCCAAAACGAGACATTTGGCGAATGTCACTTCTCTTATTCTTCTTCGGCGTAGCAATACCATCTATTGTAGAAAGCAAGCTATTGCCTCGAGATACGGTGGTGGCCTTCTGTTTGCCTTTGTCCTGTTGAGAGGATTTGAGGGAGAACTTGACATGTGTGTAAGATGTGTGAGAGGAAGAGCCAGCAGATTTAGGTTTTCGGGGTGGGGAGACGGAAGAGGTGCTCGGGGAAGGATAATCGCTAGATAATAGATCAGGTAAAGTAGATTGGGATATCCAACCCATGTGATCCTTTCGCGGATGTGTTGTGGAGTGAGCAGGACGACCCGAAATGAACAGACGACTGTCGTAGTCCATATCGTCATCAGAGGAATCTACCTGATTAGTTTTGAGCATGAGCTGTGACGAAGAGGATTTCGTGGTAAGTGTTGCAGCCGAGGCACTTGGTTTCGGTTTCGGTCTGGCCTTGGTTTTTGGTTCTACGACTTTTACCTTTCTTCCCTTCCCTGCCTTCTTTTCTTCCTTTTGTCTGCGCATCTCTTCATAAGTCTCAATCAAACCAGGAACTGCCTCCTTGACAAGCACCGCAGGGAGCCAAACTTTCAATGACAATGTGGGATCAGGATATTCCTTCTTCTTCGCCCTCCCTTTCGCGCCACCCTCATTATCAGAAGAATCATTCTCTAATTCCTCCTCGAATTCTGCCCATTCGTCTTTGTCGTCGGGTCGGCGTATTCCCTTCACTCCGCGAGTAGCAAGCTGAACTAGGATGGTGGGATCGATAGCAACTCGATACTCGAGTGTATTCGACGTGGATTCGTGTGTGCGTGTTTTGCTCACGTCTTTAATGAATTCAGGGGTTGGAGACTCTGTATCCTCAATAGCGTGGTCTCCTGCAGCAAAGTGGGCACAAATAGTCTCGAGATCAATCGACTTTGCACCACGAGTAGGTTTAAGAATACACGCGCGTCTCATGATTCGAAGGGTGATACCATGGAAGATGACGGTACGGAAACGTTTTATGATGCTTTCGAGGAACCCCCATTCGAAATAAAACTCGCATTTCTCAGCAAGCAGAGGTAAGGAGGGATCTTTCTTCAACCATCCGTCGCAACCTCCATCATTCACCAAGAGGTCATCATAGCGTTCTGAGCGGCCAAGACTCTCGCTGGTGACAGGCCTCAAGTAAGCTAGCAAAACCTTGATATCTGGGAAGGAATTGGGAATGGTGCTGGCGAGTTTAGGTGACTTTCGAGGTAGAAATCCGGAAGCATTGGTTTTTAACTCCTGAGCTAACTCTGACTTCCATTGCCTAATAAAGTTGCGCAGCTCGTCGGATTTTTCGTTGTGATTCAAGGCGGCCCGACATAGCTTTTTCCCGAACCCAGCGCGCGCGAGACCGTATGAGATCTTGATACCACAATTGTCGAGACCTGTACCGTAGTCACCGCCAGAACATAGAGCAATAAAAATGAGATCTTCGCGATCAACATCCGGAAAGGCAGGATGAGGGAGGGAGTATGTGTAGACTTTTGCCTTCTCAATCGTACTTTTCGCGCTGGCGTGAGTTGAGGAATGATTTCGAATTACGGTGTGTGCACCGAAAAGAAAATTGTCCACGTCATCAGATAAAATTCCATCGATAACACCGATTCTATTTAGGAATGCGAGCTCCGCCTCCGCCTCTCCAGGAGCCTAGATATGAATAACATTATGATTTTTATTATTGGCGAGGGCCTTAATACACACCGTGCGATATTCGAACCCGAAAGCCTCTATCATCGCCTGCATGCCAGTCACCAGCTTATTCGCAGACTTGTTAATTCTTTTGCCTCGTTTGATATCTGGCCTCAAGGGACCATCGAATACGAACAGGGGTAAAAATCCCTGGCTGAGCAACTGCGCGCATCGGAAGAAGAGCGTCCGAAGCTCTGGATTCTCCCCTTCTTTACCATACTCTGCGTGAAAGAACCATATCGAAGCGTCGATGCCTATGCGAAATCCACGACTGGTGGCGCCAAATTTAGTGAGGGCAAGCGCTGTTAGGGTCGTGACCGATTGGGCCGGTTCTAAGAGCTGAAAGCAGAGTTCAAACAGAGAGAATAGGCAGATCCAGATATGTTTTACCGGCCAAAGTCCTGCGACACCCATGGACCTAAAGGAGCGAGTGTAAAGAGCAAAGAATACAGTACGACGCCGAGCACGGACTCCGTAAAACAATTGAACCTATGCGCATGTGATTAACACTTGACTCATGGTGCACGGTGTGACGAGCACGTGTTCGATATTCACATAATTTAAATCACATTGGTGGTAGTACAAGATTTACCGAAATGATCAAAGTCCACGCCATGCTAAACCATTCCTTAACTCGACACTCCCCTTCAGCTTGATATCTTCAGAAGAAGCTCCAACCAAAACACTAAACACCCCCTTCTCCGCAACCCACTCTCCTCTTCTGTCATTGAAGAACCCTAACGCTTCTCGGTCCAATTCAGTTTCAACACTCTGACTCTCTCCCGCCTGCAAAGCTACCTTCTTAAAGCCCTTCAGCTCTTTCTGAGGTCGGGGAAGAGAGGCCTCATCGTCCGCTATGTAGATTTGTGCAACCTCTCGTCCGTATACACTGCTAGTGTTCTTGATAGTGAAAGCCACGGTAAATTTTCCTTCTGACGAGATTTCAGAGCAATTTAGAGCTGAGTATTCGAATGCTGAGTAAGACAGGCCAAATCCGAACGGGAACATGGGTGTTATATTCTTGATTTGATACCCTCTGTATCCTACGAAGACACCCTGTGCAAGGAAGGGTGTCAACCTCAAATGTTGGAATAATCAAGGCAGTGACTTACCTCATTATACAGGATCCTGCCATGTTCTTGTCCCTTGCTTCCATACGAAGGGTAAGAGGGTACATCCGCCAGTCGTTTCCTTCATTAATCAATTCGTCATATAAATCTGAATTCAGCGATGCGTGCTAAAAATCAAAACTTACGGGAAGGTCAGCGAAAGCTTTGCGGAAGGGTTCACTATTCCAAATAATACATCGGCGATCCCATTTCCTAGTTCGTTACCACCGTAAAAGGCCTTCAGGAATCCGGTGTCATTTATGACAATACAGCAGAGCAATGTATATAACATACCTGCAAAACAGTATGTGCCTCGTCAATCCACGGGAAGGTTACCGATGAGCCGGATTGGTTGACGACAATCGTGTTCGGATTGACTTCCAAAACCTCAGAGACGAGGCGATTCGTGAGACCCGGTAGCCTGATATTTAGTATTACTAGTTCAAATTGCAATTTACTTGTAGAAATAGTGGACGTACTCGAGGTCGGGACGATCATATCCTTCGCTTTCCCATCTGATAAACGAAGATGGGTATGAGAACATGACTAAAGTATAGTAAAAATCACGACGCACTCATGGTTTAAGCCCACAACGAGAATCGCGACTTGAGAGAAAGAGTGCGAATCAGCTAGCAGTAGAACAGACATAGCATGAACTTACCATCAGAGACTCTCGCCAAATCAACCGCTTCGTTGAGAGCGTCTTCGGGTTCAACAACTTTAACAGCTCCGATCCTCAACCCACCCCAATTGGGTATAATAGGAACTTGTTTGACGTAATCGCGGTTACTAGCTCGTATTTCAACCTTGTAACCTTGACCAGCTTTGAGGTCATTCACTTGTGCCTTCACTTCTGCGGTTCCCAGCCCCATAAAGTAGTCGCCAGGCGCGGGGGAGGTGCTGAGGTCGATGATGAGATTATCACCGAAGAAAAGATTGCCGCTTCCCGCTAGGGTGAGTGAGAATTCATATGTGCCCGACTCTTCTGGGGTAAAGACCGTCGAATACTGTCAAAGAAGAAAATGTCAGATGGTAAATGCAATCGAAGAGATTCATACCCGGAGGTAACAATCCTTTTCGACTTTGGTGTCATCCTAAGAATAGTGATTTAGTCAAAGGTAAAGTTTGAATCAAAAAAAACCTACGACGCCATCAAGCAATACGCAATTGCTAACTTTCGTAGTACAACTCCAAGTACACGGCTTGAGATTATCCGTCAATTTCGAGTTAGCGGTGGCAAAGCCATTGGCGGGGATTTCGTTCCAAAATTCCAATAGCGCACCAGTCCCTGTTCCGTCTAGAAGGGTGATGTACGGATCAAGTAATGGGTTGAGCTTATGAGTGGTTGTGCCTAGTGCAAACTTCACATCAAGACCCCGCTTCTCTGCGACAGCCTGGATAGCTTGCAGTGGTGTGACGGTATACGACTCGAGCAACCTCGCCGATCCTCCTCCTGAAGAGAACGCGTACTTCGCGTTCGGGCCGATCACAGCGATCGACTTGATTTTCGAATCCACAGTGAGAGGTAGGACATTTTTATCGTTCTTGAGCAAGACGATGGAATCAGCAGCTGATTCACGCAAGAGTTGTCGTAGTTCTGGAGTATCTACTCCTTCCTCTGGCGCATCGAAAGGGATACCTGAGGCATAAGCCTTCTGAAGAAGTTCGAGAACCTGAAAGACAACGGACGGATTTTTGTAAGATGCTAGTAGAGATATAAAATTTTAGGTGAGAGACTTGCCTTACGCGCCCTTTCATCTACGTCGCTGATAAATAGTTTCTGGGCTGCTAATGATCGCTCGACTGCTTTTCCACGCATGACTGTAGGTCCTCTGGAGAACTATTAGATTTTCGGATGGGTGGAAGAGATATAAACTTTCGTACGGCATTTCTAGATCCACGCCGGCCTTGATGCTCTCCACGGTGCTGTACACGCCAATCCAATCGCTCATTATAAGTCCTGCGAATATGTGTTACACGTCAACGATTAGACTGGGTCAAGCCGAAACAATTACCCTTGAATCCCCATTCCTTTCGAGAGGTTGAATGTGAGTTAATTTTTCAGGATTGACTTGGACTTACTTTGCGAAGGATATCGTCCAATAGCCGGGGACTTTCTGAGACATGGACACCGTTCACGCGATTGTAGCTATACAAGGAATGGGAAAAGGATGCAAGGGAATTCAAATTTCTAAGGCACGTACGAAGACATCAAAGCCCAAGGATCCGAATGCTTCAGAGCAAGCTGGAAAGGCTTGAGGTAAATCTCGCGCAGTGCACGCTCGCTAACATCACCTAGACGAGATTTACAGTCAGATTTTCATTGTTATCCGTTGTAGAATTTAAAAAGACATGCTCACTGCTAATAGAAAACCTTTCAAATTCTTGATCATTTGCGACGTAATGCTTGATCGTCGCACTGACTCCTTTGCTCTGGACTCCGTTTATGTAGGCAGCAGCGATTAACCCGTTCAACGTAGGATCTTCGGCAAACGATTCAAAGGATCGTCCACCCAGAGGCGATCGTTGGGTATTAACAGTAGGACCTAGAAGGATATGGCAGCCCTTGGCCCGGCATTCTTCACCTAGGGCAATTCCGACCTTGTAGGCCAAATCAACATCAAAGGATGCACCCAGCCCCGTCGAAGAAGGGAAACATGAAGAGGGGACACCGTTAAAGACTAAAAAGGATATTATCACTGAAATAGCAAACAAATGAGGAAAAACGGTACATCTCGTTCCACGGACGCCATTCGGGCCTACATGCAGGGTTGAGTGACTTGACGTGGAAGTTGTAGTTTACTTCTGTAATACACGTACCATCGCTCATCCTCATCGATGGGATTCCATATTCTGCTACTGGTTCCGTATGCCACCAGCCCTATTACTGCAGTCAATGGAAATTGCCTGATTGATGGATGAGGTGAAATTTTACCAGCCCAGATAAGAGCTTAATCTTCTGAATAACAGAGAGTTTCGAAAGTGTTTCTTCAACGTTGAAAGTTGTCATAGGTGCAGGATATATGTGAGATGAGTGGGAAACACAGGTGGAATTCGATGAGAAGATATTGACAGGAAGTTCTTTATAAATCTCCCCCTGCTTAAATCAGGAGATCAGGGCCAGGTGACGAGTATTAGGAAAAGCTTGTTGAAGGACTAACGGAGAAATGTCGGAAAATTCGCGAGTTCGACAGTTAACCTCCACTCTGACTGCAAACGGGCGAAACAGAAAGCTTGAGATACATTAGTATGGCGATAATGCAAGAGCATCGTAGAGGAGCAACGCAACGAGGCTGTAGCAAGTGTAGGACATGAGATTTTGAAACAGCTTGAAACTTAAAGTTAGTCGTCGAAGCTCGTGACCGTGAAATTCTTCCTCTACCTCATCATCTTCAAGTTCTAATATATCGGAAATATATTTACTATAGCACTGGAATGCCTCCCTCGAAGAAACGAAAAAGTTCTGATTCTGCGCCTGGTCCCACAACAGTGGCATTAGGGCCAGTGAGTAGCCTCAGTGATCGATTCCGAAATAATATGTACTGACTAGTAATTCATTGTGTACTAGACTCCAAGTGACCTACTCACACAGATGCTCAAATTAACTTCTCCAGAGGCCCTTGTGAAAGTCCTTGAGAGAACTCTTTACCCTACTCTGGACACATTACCCGCTAAACCTCGTTCAGACATTGTCGAGGTACTCCAAAAGGCATTAAAAGACACCGAACGCGTCCACGAACTTCGAACCACCATTGAATACGAAACACGTCGGAAGAGTCTTGAATCTCAGATCAAAAATCTTGAGAAGGACGCCAAACGGAATTGGAAGCACGGATATGAAGAACAAGGTGAAATGATGTCGGAAATTGCGACTGAAGTCCTTGAATGGCTCCCGGATTTGTGGAGAATTGGCGTAGAAGAAGGCATTGAAATCCAAGCTATTCAGAGGTGTTTGTCCCTATGCACGACCATCATTCGACGGATTGAAAATTGTGGTTCTCGGTGAGTACTTGTCTTATCAATCCTTCTTTCGTTTCAACTAAGATGAGAGCGTCGATAGTGCAGAGTTTAGCGACATGGACTTTGAATTGACCATCGAAGACTCAGATGGTCAAACCATTTACAAACACAGATATCAGCCTGTCAGTGACACCGTTGCATGGATGTGGCGCGAACTCTGGATATCCGCTTCTGCTTCCCAATCTCCATTCGAGGCGGGCATCCTTGATGACGTCGAAAGTCTGAATCTCAAAGACTCTGTGTTGGGACTTATTCGAACAGGTAATCTCGGTCAGTGTCAGTAAATTTCAAGAACTATACTGCGACTCTTGCTTATCGTATCAACTTCGAAAGTTGAGCAGGAAGAAGGCGACGAGGATGACGACGAATATCAAGATGCTCATTGGACTCCCTCCATGCGTGCTGCCGCTTCTAGGGTCCTAGATGCCCGTCACGCAGCTCGTCTCGTTGAATTCAATACCAATCTCTCGACAGCTGTGTACAATACCCTTCTTCAAGAATCACCGAAAATCAAACCAATGTTACTAGATACCCTGCGCAAACACGTTTTTGGTGCTCAAACTACAAATTTCTCCTCTAACGTGTATAGATCTGCCGCTGAAATCTTCGCGAAAGATTCTCCCGACGACCTCCCCAAACTTCACGATGCCCTTCCATCTTGGGAAAAATCCTCTGATATCATGCAGCTATTTGTCAAGCACTTCTCAACCCAGGAGTCTTCTACGCTTCGTGAAAAGGGATTGCAAATTATTGAACAAGGCTTTTGTGACGCAAGGAGTAGCGTTATGAGCGAGATTGAGGACACATTCCCCGGATTTGACGAAGCCTATGATTGGCTCGAGGAACGAGTTTCTGAAGGAAAAATTTCTAAAAAAGAACCTCAGCAGAGATTCGGACCTGAAGCTCGGAAACGAGACGCCTTCATTGACAAATTCGAGGATATCGCTATCAGAAATCGCTATGGTGATTCATACCGCGAAGAATTTGGATACTGGGATGACCGGGATGTCGGTGTGGACAGCGACGATAGTGACTATGAAGAGCAGATGGATATTCGTCAACCTGATATGTCGCGCCCATTCTTGATTTGGGCTACCGCACTCTGTGAATGGCCTGATAAGGAGGAAGCACAGAAGCTCTGGGAAAAAATGAACTCTTCGGGTGATGATGATAATTTGCTCTTCAGTGTAGAAGGAGTTGCTGATTCGCTAGCTGGGAAGTAAGTCGACATCTTGACTTTGATCGCTTCGACATAATCTTCACATATTTGTAACAGATGCGACTATGACTATAATCATAACGGTGCAAAGCAATATGTTTCGGATGGGATCAAGGCCATGTACAATGTGTTGCGTTGTCCAGATCTGAAGGCCTTGGAAAAATATCAGATGAAGACAACGTCGTCGCATGGTGGTATAACGTTCACAAGCATACCCACTTTTTGAGCATGGCTACACCAAGTCAAAAAAAGTATCATATACTATATGCTAGAAATAATATATGAATCAGAAATAAATTCATGCTTCCTGAAATGAGTGCTGTCAACACACTTATGTAAAATGACGCTTAGCTACAGAGATACACGGCGCCACCCAAAGCAAAGGTGTGGAGGGTAGTCCCGAGACGGAACAGCCAGTACAGTATTCCCTGTCACGCTCCTCGCAAAAATCGTAAAGGTGTATACATTGTTCCAAATCTAATGCCAAGATATGTAAAATATCTCCTCCTTTCAGATCACTCAAGACATTTCAATTTGACTCTATGTTCACTTCCGTTTAACGTTCCCTCGTCCAAAATTTCAGGCAACTTATCTATCACTCCACCTTCGTCAGGCCATCGCATGTCCCTAATCTCCTCTATACTCCTCTATACCCCCTGATAGAACTCTAATCGCCAGACGTTACAGAACGGGGTAAAGACGTGAGTTGAGACACAAGAGCCCGAGCGGCGGTCCGTCGATAATGCAGTTGTAATTGACCTATTTAGCATTCAGGCCCGAGGCTACCTCTTTGTACCCCTTCCGAATCGGACTGATGGAAAACATAACTTTGTGTGCCCAAAGTCGGATCTATCGGATGTCGTATAAATGGTTCCGTATAAATATCTTCAGTCTCTAGTGAATAAGTTTAAAGTTGGGGAGACACATTCAATCCCCCCAACTGACGGATAGCTTAACGCTGGGATCATCGAAGACAGGTATAGCGGATTTTTTATGGATGGGTATTATCTGGAGGGAAAATTTTGAAGGAAAAATTACTGTCTTCCCTATTTTGTAAACGCAAAGAGACATACTGGAGCTGATAGAATGACCGTTGGTACGTCTTCTTGAAGATGTCCTTCTCCTTCTTCTTGTTCGCCTGTTTCGTCTCTACCACGATACGACATCGTATTCCGGGATTGAAAAGGCGCACTAGCTACAGAATCCGAGTCATCTTGCACACTGACGCTATCTGATGCCGATACCGAGCGGGTAGTGCGTGCGGAGCTCATGGTGGAGGACATACGACTGTTAGGACGGTTGCGTTGAAAGCCTGAGCTTCGATTGAGGCTTTGCTCCCTACTACGATAGTTAGGGGTGACATTCACCATGCGCCTGTGTAAGCCGAGTCAGAATTTAGCAAACATATTCCTGATATGTATATTCACCCTTCCTTCGCTCGAACAATTGTTCCCAGCCTCTCTCGGAACTGGACGGGATCGATGAATACAAGGTTTGGTGTCCTATCAAGAATCCCTAATTAGCTTGCATAAGGTAAGGAAAGCGGTAGATAGTCAAACCCACAGTGCAGGCTGGTCCTCCGTCGTCGTTGTAGGTATCAAATGGGTTCGTTCATCCACTGTGTCTTCGGGTTGTAAGGTGTCTCTTGAACGAAAGCAGCATAGAATATCGACAAGAGGCATTCTGGGATAGCGGTGTCGCTTAGAGTCGAACTTGGAGAAGGAAGTGAGGAAGAGGAAGGGAAGGGAAGGGAAGGAAGGAAGGAAGGGAAAGAACAAAGTAAAAGGCCTTCGAAGGATAAATAAAAGATATGTATACAGTAAGTACAAGCGAAATGAAATCAGAAAAGAACTTCGCGCTGATAACGGTCTGCGGCCCTGGCCGCACTGAACTCTGACTCGGTCCGGGTTTGCCGTCTCCTTTTGTCGCGGGACTTCGAATCCCGGCGGGGAAATTGTCTGAGAAACTTTATGGGAATTATTGCCTTTCTTGGTATAAATCCTGCCCGTGAAAGGTTTTGAATCTCAAACCAGACATATAAAGGAAAACATTTCCTTTCTCAGTCATTTTCTTAGCCAAGATATATAGTGAAATTAAATCCCTTTTATGGCTTTGAAAAGGAATGTTTCTCATGTATAATTCTAGGGAATAAAAGAGATGGGATTGTTTTTCTTTGTCAGACCTTTTTCCTTCGGATAAATAATTCCTTTCTGGTCTGGGAAAGATATTGAAGTTTATAAAAATATCCTTTTGGGATTTAATCAATTTCCCAGGAAAGAAACAAATTGGGAGAAGGGCGGGAGAAGTCTACCCGATGCATACCCAGTGAGCATCCACTGAGGGCAAGCTCAGAGGGCAGTGCCGACTTCAGGGCAATGGTTGGAACACCTTGAACCCACAGGTGATATCCCATGTCCCATGGTATTATATTGACCACGAAGATTACAGCATTGAAAATACAGCAATGCACATAACGAGCACAGAATATGGCAAATGAGCGGAAAGGCTTCCAAATTGTGCATGTAAATGAAGCAAGAGCGTCCCTTCTTCATCTCAAGAGTTATGGTTATAACTGGGTTGCGGAGATGGGACAGGAGTGAACTTCAGACCGGAAAATAAATGGGCGCCCGGAAGCAGCTGTGCGTCACTTGGGCGTCACTTGGGCATCAATACACTAGTATTTGTTTTCTTTGTACGCTCAAGCAACGGGAGTATCAGGGGAGTGTATGCCATGAATCCTTCCTGCAAACGGCGCAGCACAAGCAATATGAGTATTGACACATCGCAAAGAAGCTTCACGGTACGTGTCTCTCTTCTTTTCCTTTATTTCACAAAGCTAACTGCATTCTATAGTCCGACGTATCTATGCAGGGATCGACTTCGACAATTGCTGGTGACTCATCAATGCAGATTGAAGTGCACATATCTTTTGTCTTATGAGGGCTCTTTGATCTGATTGTGATTTTCAGGAAACGTCGGAGAGCTCTGTACGTCCTTTTAGATTCCTTGCCACTAATGAACTGAGACGAGTTCCATAGGTCAAGTTCGTTCCAACAGGTCAAAAGATATGCATCATTCCTACCCTTGACATACACCCTCATGATAGACAAAGAGTGCATGCTCTTGAAATCTTGCTTGCAGCAAAGACTAGTGAGGTGGACACCCTGAATGCGGACATGAAGTCGCGGGGTGCTACCATCATCGCTCACAAAAAAGAGATTTCGAAGCTGCAAGAGGATTTCAAGGACAGTCAGCAAGAGTTTGAGGATGCTCAGGAACAGCTCAAAATAGAAAATAGAGGCACCTGAGCGAAGGTGGATGATCTAGATACAGCACATAAGAAGGTTTGGCTTCGATATTTTGGTGTTGCTCAATCCTGCTTAAATTGGATTATAGCTTTTGCAAAAGAACATAGTATTGATAGGCGAGGTTTTTGACCTGAAGAATACACTCAAAAATTTGCAAAACTGTTTTACTGCACAAGAGGCCGAGTTGAAGGAAAAACGAAACTTGTCTAAGGTATAATTCCTCAACTTTCTATGTTCACAACTCACAAACGTTTCAAATATCTGGCAAAACATTGGCATCGAGAGTCTGGAGGTACGCTTGAGTTTTCTACTGAGTGTTGGGGTAACCTAACCTCTTTTGCATAGCTCAAATGTCATAATTTGAAAGCGCAGATGTTGTCGCTAGCCCAAATCAATGCAGAACTTTCCGCTGCGAAATTAGAATTGCAGGTAAAGCACTGCAAATTGCTGCACAATGTGTCTCTAATTCTTCTAGAAATCGAATGATACACTTGGTGCTTTGACCAAGAAATTACGGGACGATGATGCTGCCCAGAAGATGATCATGTTTTCTCCTGAGGAAGTGGTTGAACTCAAATGTGATTAAGGCCTCATTGACTCTCAGTTCTGCCAAATCCAAGGAATTGCGAGAATTGGTTAATGCTCTGCAGGTACATAGATCTCTAATCATCATATAGTACTATGTAACAAATTTTAACAAATTCTCTCAGAATGAAAAGCAGTCCCTTCAAAACTCCTTAGCATCGACAGATGTAAGTCCACCATAGCCTGTATGAGGACCAGTCTTTGACTTACTGTTTTACATAGTTGCGCGCAGAACTTGTGCTCTCGAATCAGCAGAAAACAAAGTTGGAAGAAAAACTGTTCAAGGCATCTGAGAATATCAACCACTTAACCAAGAAGAACAACAAACTGAGCCTTGAGGTCTCTGTCACATATTCAAAACTTGATGAAGTTGAGGAAGATTGTCAGCAGCTGTCAAATGGCTTCAATTTACTCAAGGAGGATTATGAAGCTCTAGGAGCTCTTGAAGTAAGTCTTGATATGTCAACGGTGACTTGCTCACCGCTATTCCATCATAGAAACTCAAGGATTCTGAACTCAAAACTGAGCGCAACAAGGTTCGAGAAATGTTCAACAGCATTTCTCACCTTGAGAATGAAAATGCCATGCAGGCAGAGAAGATACAAACCCTCAAAGTTCTACAGGTGACCAAGGAGTCCAAGCTTGAAATCGAGCGCAACAAGGTTGGAGAAATGCGCGATGGCATCACTCACCTTGAGCATGAAAACAGCCTTCATACGGAGACAATACAAACCCTTGAAGGCTGACAGGTAACTAAGGAGTCCGAGCTCGAAATCAAGCGCAACAAAGTTCAAGAATTGATCAATAACATCACTTGCCTTGAGAATGAAAACACCATGCAGGCAGAGAAGATACAAACTTTCAAAGGCAGCCAGATGAGCCAATTCTCATGGCACCTATTTTATAGTGTCACTGATGTTTCCAGCAAATGGAGAGAGAGGCTTCTTGGGCCATATGTGTCCATCTTTGCATTCGCAAAAACACGGGCTTCATTGACATGCCTAAATTTTGGCTAGATGTCTATGCTGTGAATTGTGACATTTTTACGCATAGATTTGTATCGAGAGGACTGTAATTGAGACCCAGATTGACAGTCAAAGTCAATACTGAATCAGTCTAATAAGTTGAAGGGACCATATACCCATACTACCACAAGTTGGTTAGTTTACCCATCTCCAATACTACCTTCAGATAGCAGTCTACCTGTTTGTCAAGCAGGATTTTACCAGACTCGGACTACATCTGAAGAATGACCATTCACATATGACATACCAAGGGTATTCTTATTGGACCTTACACTGGCAGGAGTTTGGAAAAACTTACTCAAGTGACCATGAGCCGAGGATTGACTCAAAATGACTTTCTAGAACTCAGAAATTATCAAATACTCCTTCTAGAACGAGATCATGCATTAATCTAAAAGACTGCGATTTAGTCTAATAGACCAATCAGGATTGCAAGGTTGAGGAAAATAACTAGAAGAACAATCGAAGTACTGCGAGGCTCCGAAGACATATCAAATGAATGTCAAAGAGTCCTGACGTAGGAAATATTGAAGAATGCAATTAAATGAATACTATGCGTAACTCCCTTGATAGAGTATAGGCACAATGGGTGTCTATTGAAAGAGAGAAGCAATTAGTTTAATCCAGATGAATCAGATTGTTAGGATTAGAATCGAGGAGAGCTGATTTGCCTCCGGACGAGGTGACAAATGATCGAAATAAGTGTTGAACAGCAATGACAGTTGAACACCATTCGAGTCATTCTCTAAAAACAATTAAATTAAATAAATATTGAAGTACCTACCTATGTTTGGAGGTATACTAGAATCTTGGAACCAATATGGACCAAATAAGGACCTGTAGATTCGAATTGAATGGGATCTGACCGATTGTAGAAGTTTCCTTGCGGTTCCAAATGTTTATTGTATTAAATTAATTGTACTGTGCAATTCTATATTCTGTATGTATAAATAGCGATCCAATGTATCTGGAATACAAGTGATTTTGGGACGACGTTGCAGTGCTAATCCGTAAAAAGGAAAGACACACTCCCGCCAGACTGAAACCTCTTCGCTAGCAGCCATTTGGGCCCGGCACTTGTGAGTATAGGAACATCGTGTTCTGCTCCTTGTGACTGCGAGAAGTATATCCAGTTGTTGGGTATTCTTCGAACTTAGGATCAGTTGTTGGTCTTAAGGGCAAGTCACGCTGTGTGGTTGTGCCAGCGCATAGTTCTAGTGTCATGAAGTCTCATGATGCGCCCTTTGATGCGCCATCAGCGCAGTGTGTTCCCATCAATCTGTTTTCACATGTTTATTGTACTTCATCACATGATCATCCCATTAGTTCCATTTGTTTCCGTATGCTTCCATACAACTCATCCTTATTCATCGATTAGTTCATTATGGTTCATTATCGACTCATTATTACTCGTATATATTGATTCCTCACTCTTGTTCTATATTGCATCGTTATTTACAATCGCTTACTCATTAGACAAGAGTAGTATATAAAGGACAGTAGACAGGCCCTAGTTCCCCATCTCGACCTCTTGGTCATTGGGCAACTAGGCATTCTTTTAGATACTACCTATCTAACTTGGTCATTGGGCAACTAGATTCCCTTTTGATTACTGGTGTGATTGGCCTCTGACGCTATCCCACTGATTGTTCGAGATCATTATTTCTCGCATCTGTGCTTTGTGCTTGTTTCTGTACTTCTTCGCTCTGCTACGGTCGCTCCTAGGCGTATCCAGACCTCCCGCCTCCCGCTTCCTGCCTCGTCGCGACATTAGGTCGAGATCTTCTACTTGTACCATCAGCTTGGTGAGCTGATCTTACAAGGCACCCACCACGTCTACCTTCGGAGTCAACGTTGATTGCTCCAACCACTTTCACCCGCTTGATACTGCAACTAACACCACTTGCTACTGGGACGCTGAAGAAGAAGAGTGGGAACCCTGCTCCAGACAACCGTGCCCTAATCGATACGAGAACACATTTGACGCAAGTCCGACCGACCGTTACCAACCCATCCACAGACCAGCACCACCTGCCAGGGTAGGACGAATCAGTACTCCTACTACTTCCACTCCTGCACCTCCGCTAGCATCTGCGGAACCATTAGCTCCTGCTGTCACTGAGACCACAGCCGACCCCGATATCGAAATACAATCAATCCCTGAAGAAGACATGTCCTCAGCACAGGACGTTCGAGACACTATTACAGAGCTTACAAAAAACCAGGCTAAGCTCCAAGATGTGGTCTCTGAGCTAGTAAGTGGCCTCAGCACTACCAAAAGTGTTGGCAAGCCACAGAACTACAATGGAAAGCGAGGAGAAGATGCCCGGCGCTTCCTAGCTGCCTTTGAGCTGTGGGCCAACTCTATCCCTGCTCTCTCCACGGATCGTAAAAAGAAAATCACATCCGCCATTACATACCTTGAGGGGGATGCAGCTATCTGGGCCACTCCTATCTCCGAAACAATTAATAGATCAAGTATAACTGGCTCAGGAGTACCTTTCCCATACGATACATGGGAAGAATTTGTTACAGCTTTCAAAACACGTTTTGAGACCACAGATGCCTCGGCCGATGCCAAGCAGCTCCTTAAACGGCTCTACCAGAATAGGACCACGGTGGGAACCTATGCCTCTACCTTCCAACAGTATGCAGACCGCACTGGCTACTCAGACAAAGACTTGCGAGACCGGTTCTACGATCACCTTGCAGATCGAGTAAAAGATGGTCTTGTATTCACAACCCGCCCCACTGGCTCCCTTCAGGAACTGATTGAAGCAGCCATTGACGTAGACAACCGACAAATTACTCGAGCGTGGGAGCAAGGAAAGAAACTGGTCGATGATGGAATCCTGACCAACTTTAGACCCACCACTGTTGCGACCCCATTCACTGCGCCTACTCGAGACCCAAATGCTATGGACATTGATGCCACCACCACTCGATCTCCTGATGCCTTTCATCGCTTCATGATAGGACGATGCTATGGATGTGGATCTAAGGAACATCGCAAGGCCGATGGCCACCATGAGCGGGACATCTGTCGACACTGTGGCCTCAATGGCCATGTAGAGGCTGTGTGCCGTCGTAAGTTCTTAGGACTCCCTGGAAGGAAGGCTACTACCATTAGTGCCACCAGCATTCTGGATACAACTCAGTCTGCCGCTCCGGGTACCATCATTGCTGCTACACCAGATCTTGCCGCGCTACTAAAGGAACTTGCAGCCAACCAGCAAGTTCTTGCTGGGCAAATTGCCGAATTACACAAGAATTTTTAAATTGGGAACCCGCCACCGCTGCAGCGTCGTTCCCCAAGTCGTACTCAAGATCTCCATCATCTGTATATGCCTCTATCACCTCCTGTACTATTAGCGCACTAGAATTCAATGA